TTTGACTTGAACAACAATTAAGTTAGAATTAACAATAACTATTCAATGGCTGGCCACATTAAGCAAAAAATGACAAATGGATTGGAGTGCTAGAGTTTCGCATTATAACTAAGAGTGACTTACTAACTTTGAATGGATCTGAAAAAATAAGTGAATTTTTCTGTTAGAGACATAAAGCTTCAAAATAATTAGAATGAATAAAAAGGAATAGATGAGTCTAGGTGTTTATGCATGGTTGATGATGCGATTAGTCGGCGCTTCAAAGATCACAATACATATAAATGCTTCATTTGCGATTATATGAAGACTGATATATTAGTGGATTTGAAATTACATACATTATGCAAATGAAGAGCGTCAGTTCATTAACTTAGTATCATCCATCCTATTGTTCAAACCTTTTATTCAAATGAAGTATGATTACTGAAAGTGAGTTACCGAAAAAATGTTCTAAGTCGTTTGGTTAATCATATTGTTCGCCAACAGAATAAGGTACTCTGCATACACTTCTTACTGATACGTTGAGTAGATTTTTCATGGGAAACACGAAAAAGTTATATGGGAAAAGATGAATTACGTAATTATATGGATGTAAATATCAGTTACTATTAAAGATACGACCGGTATTCTAGTTTGGCAACTAGCAACCAGTAACATCTATGTTCGAAGCGTTGCCCAACTAGATCGGAAAGATATATTTGATACGTTATCAATATATCGAGAAGCGTTTACTCTAATCTGACTAGTGAACGTAGGAACTGTGTCCCACGCTGGGTCGTAACGTGATCTGGTGCGGATGCATGACCGAAAGCTTTCAGTTAAACAAGTCCACTTAAAACAATGTGGTCAGCATCCAATGTCGAACACTTAATGAGCTATTGATTTTGGAGAATTATTTACAGCTACACTATCTATATATGGTTTTCATCATGAACTGACCCTGACCAATCAATCATTTAAAAGCTATCCTGTTCTAGTTTGAACATCAGCAGTTTACACATAAGATCTTAACAGAGATAAAAGACATAGGCGTCAATACTCGAAAGGGGAATCGTGCCATTTAGACCAGTGAATTTTAATTAATTTGTGTATATTTCTAATGTCGGTAGATTTGTTATATAGCAAGATGATCATTCATCGTAGTTGAGGATTCCTATCCAACTCTTATCACATTTGAGCTAAAACATTCACAACTTATAATAAAAAATCCAGTATTGTTGTTTCTCTCTGTCACAGAAGGCATCTGACTTGATTCATGTACTGTGAATAAGATAATTACAGCACAACTGTTTGTTAACACCAACTAAAATCAACAGTGTTAGACAGTCAAAACAAGTATTATAAGAACAAATGACTCAATCAGCCGACGATGGAAAAAGATTTTGCCCAGATTTAGACTATAAAATCCTAGAAAAAAAATTAAAACTTGCTACGGGTCTACTGGGAATCTTAAGACGTTGGGTGGCTATTTAATCTTGTTTTTATATAACTAACTGATGCTTGAATGTGACCATTTAAAACTTTTAAGTTTCACAAGAATAATATAAACAATCTTCCACATCTTAGTAAAGTTGTATCCCAAATAAAGATGAGACTCAGAACACTCATTTCGTCATATTTAAGACTCGTTAGATGGATATATATGGATCTTAGTTCTGATGATTACATTGAGATTCAACCCATTACCTAACATTTCAAAGGCTAATGTGTTTTACACTCAGCTTTTGAATACGAAACTCCGCCTGTATCTCCTCCGGGGGATACTTCCGGTCCTAAGCCCGGGTAAAGGAGGAGGGTTGGGCATGAAGTTAGCGACGCCATCCCGTGGAAAGCCAACTTGTTAAAAAAACGCTAACCAGAAAAAATTATTTAAACCGTTTTGAATACGAACAGTCGTTAACTTATTTAATGGGGATCGGATTACAAACCCTTACAAATAGTCTTGATTAGCTGAATGGATTCAATTTGCGGTATAGTACAGCAATCACTTAACTTAGTTGGTAAGAATCTGCTATCAGTAGCGATATTACTTAACATATTACTTAATCAAACTGGAATCGTGACTAACTAAATGTCAGGTATAGTTCTAAGTTCCAAGATTTCTGTGCTAAATGTTCCTTCAGTCAATATATAAATCGGATTTATATATTAATTGAAGAAACATTCAACACACAAATATTGGAACATATACCTATTGTGATATGTGCTACTGATGTTGACAGACATAAGTAGTATATATCATCAATCGAAATGTCTGGAAGCAGAATGTTAGAAGATCGAAGGAAAGAGATTAATAACAAAGAATGATTGGTATGGAAACCAAAAGAACAATGACGTCTAAGACGATTGACTTATATTTGCAAAAGGAACAGTCAACTTTAAGACAATTGATTGATATTTTGTAAATAAAGTATTTATTGTATGGTTCTCAGATTTTATTGGGATGTTCGGTAACTTTGTGTCCTCAGATATGATCACGTTCACTACACTATGACTCACATTTAGTTAGTCATGAATTAAGTTTAGCTGGAGGCTCTTGATGACATGATTCAGAATCGATCATAATCGCGTAAGTGTGTACACTCTTTGTCTTTCCTTAAAATTGCTTTATAGACTTCTTTCTATGAACTAATTCTTCCTTCCTGTACTATATCCTTATATACAATCTTTCATCTATATATTAATACCATTGAAGTAAGTACTTCTATGAATTTAGTGTTCATCTTTTTGTGCTAATGAGGTGTGGCAACTTAGACTGATGCATATATGTTCCTGGTCCTACATTGTAGCTGACTGACTGAATCCGATTTAAGCTTATTCTTGGCTTTGATAAGCTTTTTCTATCCATCATTTACCGAAAGAAACTGGGGCCAGATTGTCGGACGAAATGTCAATAGATTATTTTAGAAAATTGTTGCATTCTATGAACTGCTATGGTAAAATTTTACGTCTGATGATTTTGCTTATTCGGCACACAATGTCTGTATAGCCAATTCTTTAAACGTTGACAAGTATCCAGACAAATTTAAGGATTTCCGTTTTGAACATGATTATTACTTACAATTTTTCATACTGAGAATCTAGACAACAAGAACAACGATTCGAGCAGAATCAGGTGAATTCATTTAGTCGCTTAGATTTTTATATTCACCCTTATCACACTTTACTGGTAAGTATTCGCAAATAACTCCCAAATGAGCTCATTTACGAAAGTTATTTCAATACATTGAACAGTTCATTGCTGAACTTAAAAAGGTTTAGAGTATGAACAGATGCGTTTGAAAGGCAAATACTTATAATCGTACTACATTAAAAATAGAATAAAGTCTGATATTAGATAATTAATGAACATCAAACAGTCGAAAATACAAATAAGCATGAATTAGATCTAAGATTGATTAACATGAAGTGTATCAGTAGGAGAGACTATAATTTATGGACGACTTTTGAACGAATCTTAAGTGACCTTGAGAAATGTTAGTCAATCAGTAAATAGTCAGCATAGAGTAATAATATATTATACAAAACTAAATAATTAACGTGGATAGACTTCTTTTAAATGATCCAAAAACTGGTCAGGGTTAGAGAAAGATTCCAAAGTTGTAATGAATAAGGTAGAGGAACTCATCCATATGGCTCCATAATATTTGGTCTCTGGAACCATGATAAGATCACAAAAACCCTCTCAGCCTCGACTACATAGCTTCATTATTGTTTGTGTGTACTCCGGTTGTGTTAGTTAATCATTTTTATTATGGATTTGTCCCTACAATACTCATACCACTGAACAGTCAAAGCTTCAGTAACATCTGCGAATATTAAAGCCAATGTTACTAGTGCTTTTATTATACAGTTGACGATAATTATTATAATATGCCTTAGTTTCAATCCGGATAGAGCGATAAGGACTCTTATTCTAGCAAACGTCTTCGTTTAACATATATTACATCAAAGAACAAAATCACGGTAGTCTGCACAAGGTGTACAAGTCATTTAATACTCGTAATTACAAATACAGGAACTTCTTAGTAGTTTCATTTATTGTAGCCGCTTAATTGTCAAGTATACTCTAAAATTCTCTGTGAAACGATCGTACATGAGCATCAGGCACTGAAATAGGCACCGTGACCTTGAAATCTCTCAGGCGCTTCTGATTGGCTCTTCCATAAATTATAGTCTCGCCGTATCAATATTTACTGGTTGAATTAATGTGTTAATTAAAGCTAGATCATCATGGAAAACCTAAAACTAATGGACGGCCGTTTCGTCCTAGTATGGGACTCCTCAGTAGGACACATTCACGGCCGTCCAGTACTTCTAGGTTTTCCATGATGGTCTAGCTTCAATTGACTTATGAAATCAACTATTAAATTACTAAAATTTCCACAAAAACCCCTTCTGATAAGTATCAATATTTATTTAAAATATCATAGTTTGATTATAAACTAAATTATACAGTTACTGAATCTTGAAAAGAATGTTTTTATCAGTCTCAGGCTGTGGAGATTATTATGTTTTTGATCGGGATAATGAACTCTTTGATATTAGACTATGTTCATGATCTCAATCAAAAACAAAATAATCTCCACAACCCCATACTGACAATTACCATATGCTCACTAGTGATTAGCTTCATGAGGGAATTCTCGGACTTCTAGTGAAAAGCCATGACCAGTGGAGCTAATCCATATCACATAAAGACAGGTATCTAACTCCATACAATGGAAGATAGTGGCGCAATTTCGTGAATTGGTTGAAGTTAGACATTAACACTATCTGGATGCCAACTCAGTGATCTAGAATTTAAACCTTAGCGTGCGAGACCGAAGGCCCTGAGTTTGAATCCCTTCAGCTGGATCGTGAATGCTCACTGCTGAGGAGCCTCGCGATAGGACAAAACGGTTGTCTAGTGCTTCCAGGTTTACAATGGTGATCTAACATGACGAACAGTTCATGATCTCAACTTTCTATATACTAGTTTATTAAAAAAACAAATCATTAGAATAACAAAATATCTTTTTATATATACTAATAAGATAGCACACTTAAATGTCTATATCAATAATTCTTTCACTGAATGTTCAAAATGGATCAGTTATTATAATAAATTAATTCCATTACGACGATAAAATTCATTTTCTACTAACATAATTCGATTATGTTTACGTTCATTATTTTCAATGTTCCTATTTAAACGATGTCCATAAATGGATGATGAAAGAGATGGTATAGTTTTAATTTTCTCCTGAAATGAAATCAGTTAAGGATCTTGATTAAAAAGATTCAACACAGGATATTAGTAATTATAGAAGAAAGAATTATGAAGAAAACTTTTGAAAAATTGACTAGTTGGTCAAATGAATAAGTTGAGATATTTATTTAAACACATAAAATTATTGGTACAAATTGGGCACCAGATGGATATGCGCCGCACAAATCTCATTTGATTTGTGTGAGAGATGTGATACTGCCCAAGTGCCCAAACTAAAGCAGGTGGTTTTCTTAAGGGACCACACCCCGAGCCTTTGACCTAAAGGTCTGATCTACAAGGCAGTGTAGCATCGTAAGGAGATGTGGTCTCATGGTAGACGGTGACCAACGATTGATTCATACACCATTTGTTCCGTCAGGATACTGGAGCCCATATGCACCATTGGTTTGGAATCAGGGTTTTCCAACCACCCTAGGTGGATTCTCCGTGTCCACTAACCCGGTTAATGCGCCGGACATTCGCTTTTCGTCCTCTCAATTTCGTAAACAACAGTAGTGCCGCGAGAAGGCAGTGAGTAGGACTTCCCTGAGATAAGATGATGATCAGTATTTTGATCTGATTATTAAAATTTTAGTTTAGCTAGATCATATAACTGTCAAGAATATAAATGGTTTAAGAACAAACAAAATATTATCATTACTTTGGTGTATCAAAATGGGCATTTATAACTTTAGCGATAGACGTTGAGTATTTACTTGGAAGGCTTTAAATTTAGAGTATAATAAAACTGTGAGTGATGGTATTAAACGACAGAACACTAATCTATAATAGTTAATCTCAACAAAGATTATTTTCAAATAAAATCATACATCAAATGTTAAAGCAAACGTTTAAACAACCAATCAAGGATACAGATTGAGATGCCTTGTTAGCTGGTCTTTAAGTCGCCAAAAAGAGAATCATGCATAAAGTAGAACCTGAAACTACTGTATTAGAATGAACCCACTGACGTTTGTAAAAAAAATTAATTAAGCCTTCAAAAAGTGATCAGTGATGACAATTGATCTATGAATTTATAATTTAGGTCATATGTGGTTTCCTACAGCCGAATGAAGTGAACTAGATAGTATTCTCACACTACATATCATCAGTGATCTTGAGTGTTGTTAGAGGTATGAGGGCAGTTATCACTTCCCGGTTGCCCACACCGTGGAAGGGTTCTTCTAAAGGTACCTGAAAAGGAAATTAGGTTAGAAGTGGTCTTAATGACCTGAGAGTGTGACTGCAGTCCCCAAGGGATAACTGCTTGAGATCGATCATACACGACCTTTTTGTGGGTAATTTTTGTGTTGGCTCCGTACTTGTTGAGACCTTACCGCCGAAGACGGATATCCATAGGATAAGGCGAGGTGTACATTTTTTGGGTCAACCTTTTCTAACCCCACCCTTCCTTGTGGGAAGGTAGCATCGCTGTTATGCTGGTTGTCTGAAGGAAACACTTTACTGCCGTCACACCTCTGTACAGTCAGCAGTACGACTTCGCTTTCGGACCTTTGATCTGCTGCTTTTAGTCTTACCGGTCTTCAACCGACCTGTCTGGCATGGTAGGACCTTGTGGAACGACTTTTCCAGCCAGTATAGCTCGATTGATTCATCATGATAGGTAAGCCCAACCACCACGTCAAGGTAGCAGTAACTTTCTTCCTTCCTATACTATATCCTCATATACGACCAATCTTTATATATTACCACCACTAAATTAACTACTTCTATGAATCCGGTGTTCATCTTGTTGTGTCAACGAGGTATGGCAACTTGGACCGATGCATATGTGTGCCTGGTCCTACGTTGTAGCTGACTGACTGATAAATCATTAGGACAGTACGAGAATATGACAAGAGCACTTAACAACAGATATCCACCTTTGTGTTATGAATACTATTGGGCATTCAGATATGATGAGATAAAAAGATAACATCATTTAGTTTGGTAATTTTCGTATCAACTCATCACTAATCCTGCTCAGGGTGAAAGACAATGAGCTTTGCTTAGTGTGACGTTCTAAGGTCGGTATTCTTTTATGTTAATTTAGCATTAACTTTGTCTGGTTTGACAGATGTGAACTTTCGTTCAGTGTAACAATAGTGTTCCTTGTATCGATTTAGGTGAACTATATTCAGTGTGTGTATCTTTATAGTAACACTGTATACCCTACCCTTCTGTGTGATGTTAATAAATGTGGAAAACTTAGTGTATAAATGATTGTACTTTGTTCTGATGAAAATATGATTTTGAACTTGATTCTGGGACTTGTTTTGGGACGCTTTTTTGTATAATTAATAAGCCTTTATCTCACCGGTCTTTCGTGTTCCTACTCGTTTATTGAGAATTGTACGTAGCAAGACCCTGGACCCAACATAATTGATACATATAATAACAGAGGTAGCCGCCACACAGAACAGTAGCGGTCCTTATAAAACCCTTGAAATCAATGAAATTATGATAATAGCTCCCATTCGTATTTTAAAGCAGTGACCCTGGCACATATTTACGGAATTCTATGTGATTAGCGAAGTCCCTAAACAACTTAGGAGCAAGTCATCCATCTGTAGCACTGAAAAGTGTTTATACAACACGAAGGCGCCGAATGAAGACTAAATCTTTGAATAGGTTGTAGTGTAGTGTAGTAAGAGCTCCAAAGTTACAGGCTCTGTCAAATATATGTTCGTTATTGTGGACTGATGAGAACTCACAAACTGTTACAAATCAGTTGTCTAGTGTACTATGGTTTACTGGACATCCTTAGGTCTTATTGTGATACAGTGGTTTAGACTTTCAATCTCAGTCTATTTGTGACATTGTGTAGTTGAGTTGATATGCAAATACAGAAGAAAATCATGTTTCAAAACGTATTTTCGTAACTCCGGGAGTCTAGAGACGAACTAACTAGTTTTTATGCACTTGCGGTGAAAGGTAAGCTTAGATTGAAGATAACGTACCACATTGAGCTGATCTCCCGTAATATATATTCTATAGAACATAAAAAGCTGGTATCAATCCTATAATGTTTGAAACTTAAGATTGTGATACTTTATTTATGCAATCGGATGTTTCAACATTATCTCTGGTCACATTCTAAATTATTCTGAAGTTCAATTTATCGGTAAATCGATTGCATTAATATTTTTGTTAGAAGTTATTAGCAGCATCAATACTACCTGAAGAAGATATAATGTTTGAGAATATCTTCAAAATGGATCATTACAATACTCGAAGGAAAATATAATGATTGCGAACCTCCATATTTTGGCTTGAAGTCGGTTGTGAAGCAATAAGTTATTAAATAAGATGTAACATTCAAATTTGTGACTTCTAAGTATATGTTTCAGAAATAAACACTAACAGTCAGACATTCATTCAAAAAGTTCTCACAAATAAAATTATATATTTCAATGTGGAAGTAAATATCACAACATATTGTTTTAAAAAAATAAGTAGTGTCCAACTCACTTCTTGATTTATTTCCAATCCAAGAAGTTTCTCATGTCTGCGATCACTGCGATGAAGCTTTGGATTGAAATCATCCTCTTTAGAAAAGATTGAATCATATATGCAAGGATTTTCCTGTTTCTAAAATAATAATAATCTTCCAGGATTACTTTTGCTGAACACTTATGTAATAAAATGACATTTTTTATTTTTTAAATTTTGGTTTTTCTTACATCCTTACCTATATGATGATCGCAAAATACAATCGCCAATTTAGATACGCTGACTTATACGACCAAGCTAATGACGCATACAGCAGTACGACCAGTCTAGAGTTCCGATTAATCCCTTTTCCTCCTAGCCCTGCCTGTTAAGTTCAGAAAATTGATCTCAGCCTCTGCTATACGAACCATATATTTCTAACACACTTGATTCATATACAAGCAAAATCACACATCACACCATAAAATAGGAAATAATATTTGTATAAGATCAAGCTAGAAAGTGGCTGTAGTTGCGAGAAACTGACTAATAGATTATTTATTTTTATTAATTTGAACACATAAATTTTGGTACAAGGGGGTACCAGATACACATGTACCACACTAATGGATTGAGAATAACATGAGAATAGTGTAGTATGGGCTACTTATATCCAAACAAATAGTATGTAATGATGGTCAGGCATTGAATGTACTTCAGTAGAATATCGATAAACAAAGAACGGGAACGGGTGCAATTAGTGTGAAAATGCATGAACAATAATAATCAGAGACAATGGACTGGTATTTGCAGAAGCAACGGTCAAGATTGGGACAACTGATTGATCGTTTGCGAATTAACTATTAACTACGTGGTTCTCATATTTTACCGATGTATTCTGTAATTTTGTGCCTAAATGCATTCGATCGTACCCACTCGTGTTCTTGTTCACTACAATAGCAGATCATATAACAGTAACCAATAGGTTAAATAAAAGCATATAATAAGAGGAATGTAAATACATACAGATTAATTTCTTAACGGTTATATAGTGAACGAGAACATGGGTGGGGATGATCGAATGAACTGGGACACAAAATTACAGAATATCACAATAAAATCTGAGAACCATACAATAAATACTTTATTTGCAACATGTCAACCAATCGTCTTAAAATTGACTGTTCCTTTTGCAAATATAATTCAATCGTCTCAGACTTCGTTGTTCTTTCGTTTCTACACCAATCATTTTTTGTTCTTGTCCTCTTTCCTTCGACCTTCTAACATTCTTCCTTCAGACATCTTACTTTAGATTGATGATATATGCTACTTATGTCTGTCAACATCAGTAGCACACACCACGGTCATGCAATCAGAATATATGTACTATATCAGTCCATAAATAGTCTCTAACGGTTACAGTTCATTCATTCTCGTCCGGATATAACAGTTCCAATTTTCTAATCTCAATGATTAACATGAAGTTAAAATAAGTTGGCAAGCGTAGTTACTACTTCTTTCCCAAGACACTCCATTAGTGTAAGACTATACGATACTGGATGGAAGGTACCATACAACATAACCTTCTAGGGCCGCACTTTGGTTAGTTACAAAAATGTTTATTATAGGAGCATTTTTGTTAAATCTAAAGATAATCACAAACGATTTGGGACTCGCAGCAAATAAAAATTATTTTACAATGCTAAACTTTGCGCTAGTACAGTTTAAAAATGTCGTCAAAAGAGAAATTAAAAGTCAATATAATAATAGTATCTATGATAGTGGAGAAACCAATCATAAGAAATAGAGTTCAAAAAGATTGAATAGTATCGCATTGCATAAATTAGTGAAATGTGATTGACAACATTCCAAATCACCAGTGTTTTTGTAAAATTACTGATGGCAAAACATCGCAGTTTTATACAAAAAAATGATTAAATGTAGAAGTAGTCGACCATTAAATATAATACTTGGCATTTTAGGAAACCTTGCCATAAGACTAAAATACCGGTTTTAATATAGGCAGCTGTTTCGATGAATTACTATTGAGTAAATATAGAGTGCCTGTTAAGGAAAATTGAATATAATGCCAAAAGTTTAGTACGTAGTTTAGGAATTAAATGAAAATGGCACATTCTTGTTTGAAAAAAGCTATAAACGTCTACAAACTGCCCACAATGAAAATAAAACAAAAACCCTGGAATGTCAATTTCGATCACCACATATCTATGTATCAATACTGTTGATTAGATTAAATGCAACAACTAGTTTTTTTTAAGAAATTACCATGAATATCCAACTTATCGTGTGGCATCTTACTTTAACTATTTAAAGCATTCAAAGCGTCTGTTTCATAAACGCGTGAAATGACGTCTAATAAGACACCGAATATGATTTTATAAGATATCCTTGGTTTGAACAATAGCAAATATACCTTCTCAGAAGAGTTGAAATACGTTCTGTCTTTCGGCAGATTCCGATGTGTAGGAACATGGGAAAAGGCGGAAAGAGTACATAGATGACCCTCTAGGTGAAAATTTTCTCCATTACTAACGACGTCAAACTGTACTAGCTCATTGGGTGTCGTCATGTCTTGAAAGATAGTTGTTTGGAAAATAGTTTTAAACAATACATCAGAACGTTTCAATATACAATATCTTTGTCAGGTAAAATCGACTGATTTCTCTGCTCTCGTGTCTTGTTGTCTTGGTATAGCTCACTGTATGCGTTTACTTTCAATTAGTAGTGGTCTAGCCACTAGATTGCACTCATTTTAGTCAGCCGAGGTAGTTATTTTTGTTTCTGTATGTTTTGTATTTCTGATTATTGGCTTGTTTCAGGGCAGTAGTGTTACTGTATGGTTTGCACATGACTAGGTAGGAGGTTGTTTGGTTGTCAAGTAAAAAAAATTACAGGGTGATATCTTTAGCACTACGAGAAGACGATTATTTCAAAAAATAAGTAAACAAACGATTTCAGTTTCAGTTTGCAAAGGGCTAGATGCTTGATAGTCTGTGTTATTTTCTGGGCTAATCCAACTTTCTTTTAAATATTCGATGAGCTGTGGCACAATATTTCGAATTCCTCGATATTGAGATTTTATTTCGTCAGTACCCAGTGGCCCCAATGTTTTCCACATTATTCTCCTCTTACGAAGAAGGCACACAGAAACTTACTTATAAGGAACTAACGGATATTCATACATATATTTTCCGGGTAAAAATCTTAATCAGAAGTTTGTTAACTTCTGTTAATCAGAACCCCGAGGCACATCAGCACAACATTTCTGTCATATCTCTTTTTTCGCCACTGCTATGTTGGAGATCAATCTTCAGTAATAATGATAGTAGGTTGATGATGCTGTGTTAATTTTGACAGATTGCCTTCCAGTGAAGGTCCAGCTTCCCCTTGAAAATGTTCACTGATGGGGCCGATACCACTTGTTCGGGTAAGGTGTTCCAGCCACTGACCAGTAGTTGAAAAAAACGGGATCCCACCTTCGGTTTTTTGATCGCGGTTTGTGAACCTTCTCGCTATGAACTCGGAGATTATCAGTGTTGGAGGGAGCAAAAAGATAAGACATATTAACATCCAAATCATCATTAAAGATACGAAATGCCAGTGTAAGGTCACTTCGCGTCCTACGATAAGACAATGGGAAGACGCTCATCCTAAAGGAGTTTACTAATTTCGTCCATAAACGCTGGACATGCTCCACTGAGTTTGTATCCTTTATCATACATGGGCTAGTATACAGTATTCCAAGTGTGGTCTGACGTAGGTAGGATATAAAATTCGAAACACCTCCTCGTCAAAGCACTTGAATGTCTGGCGAAGTGACCATAACGCATGATAACCTTCGGAAGCAGCCACGTTTCAGTGAGCAGATGTTTTCAAATCGTGACTTATTATTACTCCTAAATCTTTATGTTCTTGGACGCTTGAAAGAGATGTACCATTAATAGTATAATGGTAACTAATACCGTCCCGATGTGCATGAGCACGCTCTTCCTTGAATTAACTTCTAAGCCCCATACATAAGCCCATATAATTAAGTCGTCTAAGTCAGCCTCACTTCTTATTGTTCTCCAGATTTTGACATCATCCATAAACAATAATGTCGAATACTTAAGCGATAGTGGTAATTCATTGAAATTCAGAAGGAAAAGTAAAGGGTCCAAGATGGTCCCTTGGGGTACACTACCTTTGACTGGATTCCTTTCCTATAGCGTTCTATTGACTCTCTCTATCCGTCTGCGGTCACATAGGAAGTTTCCTATCCATTTCTGTATAACACATGTTATTCCAAAGCTTCTGTGTAAGACCTAAGTGTTAAACCTTGCCGAACGCTCTGCTAAAATCCATGAATATCATGGTAACAGACAGGTCGTTATCTAGGGCTGCTGTTAAGCATGGTCGCATGTTACGAAATCCATGGTGCTCGCGAGTTAACAGACTGTACGAATCTTTGAGACTTGGTAACGTAACCCGAATGGTCTTTTTTAGTAACTTAACGATTATGCTGGTCACTCTGACAGGCCGGTAGTTAGATGTGATCCGTCTCTGATCATCCTTAAATATAGGACTAAGTATAGCGTCTTTCTAGTCTTTAGGTAGTTGAGCGAGTGAAGGGGACATGTTGAAGTGCGATTCGAGCGGTCCTGAAATAATGTCCGCTAGCGACGACAGCAAGTGTGGATGTAACCCATCAGGGCCCGGTATCTTACAAGGTTTGAGGTTAGTTATCAATGGAAGATTAGTTTTCTCAGTAACGTGTATAGATCTTATGGCTGGTACCTTGGTGTAAATGGGACAAGTAGTTGTATTACTACACGTAGAGTAGACTTCACTAAAATACTTTGCGAAATTCTCGCACTTAAATGATATCTGTCCTGTTGACAAGAATAAGTCCCAGAAGTGTTTCCTACGCTTTAACAACTTCCGGGTAATGTGATAGCCTACTTGTTGACCATGGCATAAACGGTTGTGTTATGGACTCGAACGTAGCCTTAAACCTATTCCATTCGTCTACGATCGATCCATCAGCACCAACCGACCAGCCAATGGAGATAGCACAATCTATGATTGCCGAAGTATTAGATCTCCAGATATAGGGACGGGGTGGAGCAGATAGAAATTGTATGCCATGTGTCTGAAAGTTAAAGGACAGCTATTCACTAGCGGGGGAAGGCGCTGAATGATGGGTCATATTTCAAGTCAATATGTGTCGGTTTCACGATAAATTGTACAGGTGCACACTGAATAATTACTGAAAGAAGGTCACTATCGAAAACCCCACCTGAAGCTGTGAGCTCGATCCAGTTGATATGTGGTGCGTCAAAGTCTCCAATAATGGGACAATACTCTGCCTTACTCCAAGAACAGACGTGTCTTATGATAAAGTCGCCAGCAAAACAACAAGAAATACGATATATTCCCCCTGTAGTCACTAACCCGTTTCTAGACCTAGTTGTACAACTTGCTACCTCACATGTATCACTAACATGCGTCTCCGATATGTTCGATTGTATGTGAAAATTGTCTCTAACATATAACATTATGTCTTCTCCCTTGAGACTTAAAACTCTATCACTTCTGATACAGATATATCTATATATCTATATCTACAAGTTTCTGTGACAACAACTACATAGGGAATTAATTCATCCACCATCAAACTTAGCTCGAAAATTTTATTTCGAAGACTACGTGCATTTGTGTAGCACACATTTAAGGTGTTATGGGAATCATACGTTCTACCCACACAGGTCTCGGAGGCATTGGCTTCCAAAACCTGACTACCCGAAAACCCTTAATCGTAAGGTTTGTTTCTCCATTTAGCTTTCGAGTTCTTAACTCTGTAAGAGCATTCTTCCACTTGATCCGATCCTCAAGCGGCCAGTCTGGTCGAATAAGAATATTTGAATCACGAGTTTTGTGTGCGTTATTCGATGTTAAGTTTCTTTTCTCAAAATTCTCGCGTACCAACTTTAAGATTTTTCGTTGTTGGGTCTCGTCAATAACATTTGATGAAGCCGAACTTTTCCCATCTACGATAGGGCTGTCTTTGACTATCTTTCCTTCTCTTTTACTTTCCCGCGTTATTCATTTCCACCAGTCGCAGCATCCAGATTTGAACTACTCGGGACGATAATGATTCTAGCCAGATCATCAGTCGTTGCTGTAGAAACTTTTCCATCAATATTTAAAGGTGTGTCGCTCATTAATTGTTTCAGGGCAGAAAGCTCTGTTTCGCATTGCACAGTTGGGTGTCTGGAACGTGCTGTGACAACACTTCAGTCTTCAGTAATAAGGATAGGAGGTCTAGTGACCTATTTTAATCCTTGTAGTTTATTACACTGTGGAGGTCCAATCTCGTCTTGAATATATCAACAGAAGGTGCTGATATTACGTGTTCTGGTAGAGAATTCCAGTAATTCACTACTCGGTGCGAGAAACGAAACTCCAGACGTAGACGATTTGATCTCGGTTTTTGGACTTTCTTTGAATGTCCTCAAAAATGATCAGCCCTAGACGGGAGGAAAAGATAGGACATGTTAGTACCAAGGTCATCGTTCAGGATACGATATGCCAATATTAGATCACCCCGTATTCGCCGGTAAGATAACGGAAATAAGTTGAGGTGTCTCAGTCTGTCTTCATAAGATAGGCTAGATAAGCCTTTTACCATTTTTTTCCCGCGGCGTTGGACTCGTTCCAACATATCCGCCTCATATTTGAAGCAAGGACTCGCTGCTTGAATCCCATGTTCCAAATATGGCCGTACGAAAGATGGGTATAATAATCTAAACATTTCCCCATTCAGATACCGGGAAGATCTACGAATAGACCATAATGCCCTATAGCCTTTTGCAGCAGCAGCCTTACAGTGACTGGTTGTTTTGAGATCATTACTTAGTATGACTCCTAAATCTTTATAGTTTCTTACTTTGGGCAACACTAGTCCACATAATGTTTAGTGATACGAATCATCGCAGTTATTTAATTGCATCACAACACTTTTATTAGGGTTTACTTCTAGTGACCACCCATTCATCCATGCAACTAATGGGTTAAGATCTTCCTGAAGAGGACCTAAAATTGTGCCTTGGGGGACGCCACTTTTTACTGGTTCCCACGATGAGAGAGCCCCATTTACTCTTACCCGTTGTCTCCTTTCATGAAGAAAGTCACTTATCCAGTTTATGACTGCATAATGAATTCCAAAACTTTCTAGTTTCAATTTAAGACCAGAATGGGAAACCTTACCAAAGGCTTTACTTAGATCTATGAAAATGACACCTACCGGAATATTGCGATCTTTTTCCTCAGCCCAATCTTCTCTTGCAATGAGAAGATTTGTCAAACATGATAGACCTTTTCGAAAACCATGTTGTTCCTTTGACAAAAGATCATGTCTTTCCACGTAGTTTATAACAGCCATCCTAATAATTTTTTCCATTAGTTTTACAACTGCACTAGTTAAGCTGACGGGTCGATAGTTACTAACCAAATCCCTACCCCCAGTCTTATACACCGCACTGATTATTGCGTCCTTCCAGTCTCTGGGCAATCTGGACTGCAGTAGGGACATATCGAACAGCATCGCTAAGGGTTCAGCAATAACATCTGAGAGGACTTTCATAATCCGAGGATGAATATCATCAGGACCACTAGACTTATCAGGTTTGAGATGCTGGAGTAGCCTTAAAACAGTTTCTTTCTTAATAACTACAGGGTCCATCAACAAGTCGCCACAATCACAATGAATAGGTGATCGTTCCTCATTATTGGTAGAAAAAACTTTACTGAAATATTCCGAAAAAGCTTCTGCTTTTTCGGTATCATTTCTTGCCAAACTTAACGGATTTTCTTGTATCAAAAGTGATGGTATTCCATCACTTCTCTGAGTTCGCCTCTTTATATACGAGAGTAACCGTTTTGGACTATGTTTGCAATCCCTAACCAATTGTTTTTCGTATGACCGTCTAGTCCTACTAATTAACGCTTTACAATTATTTCTAATCTTACAATAACTAGATCTGTACTGTTCTAAGCCAGTAGAGATGAACATGTTCCGGTGTTTTTTTCTACGCCTAAGGAGTTTCTTAACTTCTTTATTTATCCACGGTGGACTATTGTTCGGTCTACGTGGCACCAAGTATGGTGCACTAAACTTGCCTTTAAATACAGACCACGCCTCATCAACTGATGAGCTAGTATCTACTGACCAATCTATCTTAGTAGCACAATCCTGAATTTCTGGTATGTTAGCTCTCCATATGTTTGGGCGAGGCTTAATCTGATCGTATATCATAACACTTACAAGAGAATTTCTATTTATAAACGACGTCAAATCTGAGAAAAAAGAAATCAGTTGGTAATGAGACAGTTCAGAAGATATTCAGTTTCAATAGAAAAATACTTCAGTTTGCTGCAATTATAAAGTTAAAAATAGCGTACAAAATAATAGCTGCGTTACACTGCAGTTGGGATTTTGGCGGGTTGTTCATCAGTCAGAGTGTTCATTGCCTTGTTCAGATTATTTGATAGGTTTTGGGGTAAGCTTGTCGTGAAATGCTTCTTTGGTATAGATATTAATTTTCAAGCCACTTAAAGAAATCGAGAGACAAGAGGTTTGTCAGAAAGAAAAGAATTGTAATTTCATTGACCTAAACTTACATTACCTCAGTTTCCTTTGTTCCTTCCAAAACTGGTGTTATTTCCTACAAATTCGGGTCACCACAGTGTTTTCCACAAATTTTGAGACGTATGGTCAATAATATTATAATAAATGTATAATTGAAATTCTGCACTACCTAGTATTTTGTGTTATGGTGCTACTCGTTGTTATCAATCGTCACCTAGTCACATCTTGCGATTCTTCCCTTATCATTCATCCTCACTGTGGAGCTTCGCGGATTTGCGTTTGTCCACGTTAAACACAGCGAGGTCAGGTAATTTAGACAGATTCTAGGTTATTAGTAGTATTGGTACCAGTAGTCAGAAATACTTAGTACAAAACTATGTTAACTTATGATAACGTCTTGTTAATTTGCTGTTCGGAAATACAGGAGTGATGAGATTTTGGTCCAAAAATTCAATCTCCAGAATTTATGAAGACATTAGTCATTCAGTAATCATCGTTGTAAGATGTGAGACGAATTTACATCAGTCTTAGTTGCTGCAACCAACATAAATACAACAAGAGAAAATCAGTAGGTTACGAAGCATCCTTTTGAAGACTAGAATCCAATGAATATCTAGAAATGAGAAATACAATCAAAAAGGTGGGCGGAAATCGTGAAATTTATTTATTTGAACACAAATATTGGTGCAAGGGGGCACCAGATTTATATGCGCCACACAAAACAATGAAAATGGGAGGAAAAAGGGAGTAAGATGCATTAAAAAAATAAGAGTATTGGTTGCGGAAACTGAAATATACAACCAGGAGAACTCTCTCAATTAAGGAGGTTATAACCACTCTTTATGCAGAAAATAAAATGTTACAACAGGATCGCCATTGGCTTCTGTTCTGAGCCATATCTGATAACGTCTCTAGCCACTGTGTGGCACCATCTCTCAGACTGCAGCCAGGGAGTCGTGAAGGACCAACAGAAGCCAACCATTTGCAGCTTTCTTTCATACCACGACACCATGTCATGCATCGTGAAAACCCGAAAACGACATTTAGTTATGGATTTAGAGATAAATAGGACAAACACAGCTAGACTATTGACCAAACTTGTGTTGCGTCGTCCAGCGTCTGACATTGGTCACAAGCATTACATATGTCCCAACCAGGAAATATGCAATTATCCACACTATGTCAGTAGTCAGTGATATCATGTTCTAATGCTGGTTTAAGTTGCTAATCCTAGTTCAATGCCAGCTTACATTGGTTGTCAGGGCAGGTAATAGTTGAGGCTTGTGTAACAGATGTCCTAACCACCTTATTCAATAAATCTTCTTAGTCCCGCCAACGGGCTTAATGATTCATCATTTGTAACTAAATCCTACAGTTTCTTACCAATTTTCGTTGCTATTAAGACATTAACTGAAATTCCACTTGTATTTCGTTGTTCATAGGACGTATTTATCTATTTATTCAAACACATAGACATCGGTACAAGGAAGCACCAAATATATGTGCGTAACTTCAATGTGTGAGGGCTGAAATACTACCGGGGCGCTCATGTGCGAGCATTTCGGGAGGGAGAGCTGAGTCTCCCCATCCTCGACCGTACCATAGCATTTGATGAGCATAGGATGTGTTCAAAAGAGATCTTTGGTCTTAATAATTTAGCGACATGAGTTATAGTCTAAGAAAATTTTACTACTTGGCTGTTTAATATTTTCTTGTAAGAGATACGGTAACATATTTTCATGTTATTAATTTCAGATATTCATTCAATGGTCTAATCGTAAATTGGAAATGGATTCGCACGAACAAAACCCAGAAGTCAGTTTGTCCTGGGAAATCCTTGAGAGTTTGATGTCACGACAACATGCTCAAGTAAATTACCTGTTTATGGATGATCCTGAACCGGTAAAAGGGAACAATGACAACAAAAATGTAGCAACAGTCCCTATTAGTCTCAAAAGAAGTAAGTTGTTGGATTAGACGTTTTTGGTTTATATACATTGTCAGGGCCTTTACAGTCAGCTTAGGACCAAAACACCATGGTAATAGCTGTAGGGCTACTGGTTATTCTGTTTATTCCCTTCCAACGCGTAGTTTATAAGTAGCATTTCTAGCATGTATACTGAGGATTGATTTTTATTTACTAAGAGTGATACCTTACGTTCTCAACCTTGGAATATCTTAAATCTGAGTACTAGATGGTACAAAATCCGTATATGAAACCAACTAATTAATAGAAATCATCTAAGAACCTGAAGTTTATTTGTTTAAACATAAATATTGGTACAAAGAGGCACCGAATGCATATGCACCACACTTCATCATCCGATGTGTGAGGGCTTGTATAAGACCCGTGCCTCCAAACCGAAGCAGGACCTGAAGTACTACTACTAGTCGAGATGTATCACTGGAGTTTAGCACTATTTTTATTTTCGATGAGTAAATTTAGTCTTGTAAAAAGTTGTAAAATAGTGCCCGCCTCTAAAGTCGTTTAGTGTTTACTGTGTTCTAGCTGTTAAATTATGTAATTATGTGATACACGCACTTGGACACGTAAACCCTTGTTAACAGGTCATTTGTCAGATTACCTAGGTCATCACAGTAAAGCTTCACCCTAGAATGCTGTCTATAATGATATCCAAATAATTATCAACATTTTGCTTTTAAACATTAGTTGCCTGCTTCTCACTGAAAATTTTTTGGTATTAGCCTCTTTTAGAGGATTGTCTTATATTTTTTCCAAACAATGAACTCGGTATGAATGGAACAGTGTGAAAAACAAACAGATGATAGTGCTATAGAACAGCAATCAAAGGAAGATTTATTTTACTTATTTTATTTAAACACATATATATTGGTACAAAAGGGCACCAGATACATATGCGCCACACAAAATAATGAAAGTAGGAAGAGAAGGGATGAAAAGACTCTTTCAGTTGAGAAAGTTAGAATCACTTTATGTAGAAAGTAAAAGAAGGTTGCAGCAGGATCGCCACTGGCTTCTATTCTGAGCCATATCTGATAACGTCTCTAGCCACTGTGTTGCACCATCTCTCGGACCCCAACCAGGGAGTCGTGAAGGACCAACAGAAGCTAGCCCTTTGCAGCTCTCTTTCATGCCACGACACCATGTCATACACTGACCTCCTCTCCGCTTTTTCCAACCAGTCCCAGAGTCGGCAAATAATGCACGACGTGGAAGTCTCTGGGACGACATTCGTAAAACATGTCCAAGCCACCGAAGTCGGTGTTTCGAGATGGTGACACCAATTGAATTATCGTCTCTGCGCCCGAACACACGATGCTGAACCTCTGCATTACTAATATGGTGTTGCCACTGGATGTCAGCAATCCTTCGGAGACAACGATGATCGAACACAGAGAGACGTCTAACATCCTCAACTCGGAGAGGCCAGGTTTCACAAGCATAGAGCAAAACTGCTCTCACCGACGCGTTGTAGATCCGACCTTTTACAGTCAGACTAACATCACGAAGGCGCCAAAGATGGCCCAGATTGGCATAAGCCGCTCTGGCTTTCATTATACGTGCATCAATCTCATCACTCACGCTACCACCAGCACTTATATAGCTATCTAGATACACGAACTTCTCAACTACTTCAATCTGCTCACCATCTAGGGTGAGTGCAGGATGAGAATCCTGCCAGTCTTGTAGGAGTACTTAGCACTTGGAGGGTGCAAAGCACATGCCGTACCTGCGGACACTGATTGCCAACTGATTAAGTGCGAATTGCATGTCATTGGGCATTATCGCACAGTAAGACAATATCATCCGCATACTCGAGGTCGAGAAGTCGTTCTCCAGGCAACATATCCACACCGCCATTACTTACATCCATCAGAGCTGTTTCCAGGATGTCGTCGATGGCAAAGTTGAAGAGGAATGGTGAGATCGGGCAACCCTGTCTAACTCCACTGCTCAAATGAACAAGGTAGAAAGGTGGTTGTATGCCCTCACTCTGCCTGAGGTGTTCGTGTACAGGGCCTTTAAGATGTTAATGAACTTCTCAGACACACCCTTCTTCAATAGACAATCCCAGAGAACAGTCCTGTCCAACGAATCGAAGGCCGCTCTGATATCAAGAAACACTACGATTGCTGGCCTGCGATAAGTATGACGGTGTTCTAACATTTGGCGGAGGGTGAAGATGTGATCAATGCATCCTCGACCAGAACGAAAACCAGCCTGCTCCTCGCGAGTCAATCGTTCTCGGGTTTTAAACAACCTACGAAGAATGATAGAAGCCAATAGTTTGGACGCAATCGAAAGTAGACTTATCCTCCGATAGTTATTGAAGGAACAACGTGAACCCTTTTTAAAGATAGGGACGACTATCGACTCATTCCATGATGTTGGAACACTTTCTTGTTCCGAAACCTTTCCAAACAACACAGTCAATTCTTTAGCCAGAAAGTCACCACCATCTTTAAAAAGAGCCGGAGGTAAGTCATCTGGGCCCGGTGATTTGTAGCGCTTCAAGAGTTGGAGTTCCTTGCGGACTTCCGCCTCGTTTGGTGGATCATTCGTCATCGGCCATGGAGGGAAGGACAATCTGGTTGATGTTGCCGGAGCAGCAGGTCAGTTGAACTGCCCTTCGAAGAATTCCACCCATCGTCCAAGACGTTGATAGATGTTAGTGATTGGCATCCCGTCATCCTCACAGATTGTTTCACTCACACCAAACTTCTTGCTGCTAGTAGCTCGGATGAGTTGGAAGAGCTTCCGGCAGTTACCAGATGCAGCTGCTTCTTCCATCTCATTAGCACGCTCCGACCACCAGGCTTCTCGGTCCTTACGCAATCTTTGCCCGATTTCATTACGTAACAGCCTTCGTTTGTGGTCAAACTCACGGTCACCCGGAGTAGACCGACGGGCTTCGATCAGTTGTAAGGAGCCAGAAGAAACCCAGTGCTTGTAAGCGGGACGTTTCGCGAAGCCGCAAGCGGCTTTACTCGTCATTTTCATGGCGTCGTGAAGATGCAACCAATGTTCATCTATACTTTTCGGTGGGATGGTAGCTAGCCTAGAAGCTAGCTCCGCTCGATACTTACTTGCAACAGAAGTTGCAGCCAGTTTACTAATATCAATCCGTTGGTGGTGGTCAATCCTTCGGCCACTGAAAAGTAAGGTGAGATTGGCGCAAACAGGGGCATGATGAGAGTCCAGATAGGTACTCCAAAAGGAGCGGCAGTCTTGTACACAACCACGCCAGCGGTAGCTGATCGCGATGTGATCAATCTGAGTCCAGGCTTGGGATGCAGAGGCAGGACGCCAGGTGGCACACCGGCGATGACTGTGCCGGAAGTTAGTGCTGGCCAGAAACAGGTTGTGGTCTGTGCACAGTTGCAGTAAACGGTCTCCGTTATCTGTCCGGCGACCAACAAGTCCCCATCGGCCACCTAAACGACTCTCTTCTGTGCCTAGACGCCCGACCTGTGCATTCAAGTCTCCGGCTAGTACTACAATATCTGTCGAGCGCGCTTTCTGGAGAAGAACTGTTAACTGGTGGTAAAACTCATCCTTGATTGCATCCGGGCTGCAATCTGTTGGGGCATAGGCAGAGATGACGAAAAGACTTCGTTTCTCATGCCGATTTCTTCCCACTTTGATGGAACTTTCTAATCTAACAGCACATAACCGACTGTTAATGGGGATCCAATCGATTAGTGCTGCCTCATCCCTAGTGCTTAGTGCAACACCAACGCCAGCAAGACCAGACGAAGATGCCACAGAGTCTCCGGATAAGCGCACGTGAAACAAGCTTTTCGAAGCGACAGATGGAGAGCGAATTTTTAGTACTTCACTAGAGTCTTGAATACGGGTCTCGGATAGACAGCAAACATCAACATTAAGACTTTCTAAAGACATAGCCATCCCCATCTGTTGTCCGATCTGCATTAGTGTGCGAACGTTGAAGGAAGCCAGCTTGAACGGTGTACGTGGTTTCAGAAAGACTGCTTCAGTATTCATAATCGGTGGAAGCATTCACTTTCAACCAGACAGTGACTGGAGATCGTTTAGATAGGACAGAGCTTCCACCATGGGCGAGCTACTGCATAAGTTGGAAAGGAAGGATACACAATTTGGGAATAAAGGGAGTGAAAAAGCGACATAGTAAATAATAGTAATAATAATAACAATAATAATAATGGTAATAATCATATTAATAATGTAAATTGTCTTGCTTCTAGTATGAGCGAGGATAGTATCGTCAATAGAATTCATCATTTCATTTATTTGTGTGTGAGCTGTGATACTGCCCAAGTGCCCAAACTATAGCAGGTGGTTTTCTTAGGGGACCATACCCGAAGCCTTTGACCTAAAGGTCTGATCTACAAGGCAGTGTAGCATCGTAAGGAGATGTGGTCTCATGGTAGACGGTGACCAACGATTGATTCATACACCATTTGTTCCGTCAGGATACTGGAGCCCATATGCACCATTGGTTTGGAATCAGGGTTTTCCAACCACCCTAGGTGGATTCTCCGTGTCCACTAACCCGGTTAAAGCGCCGGACATTCGCTTTTCGTCCTCTCAATTTCGTAAACAACAGTAGTGCCGCGAGAAGGCAGTGAGTAGGACTTCCCTGGCAGAAGCTATAGACTGTTGGCCATGTGAGGGCATTTCGAGAGGGAGAGTTGACTCTCCCCACTCTCGGCCGTACCAGGGCATTTGGGGGCCAAAGGAAGATTAAAGGGTTCAATTCAAATAAAGGTGAAAAGAAAGTTCCTTATCAAATCTTATGCTTACTGCTTGTCTGGAAATAAGAAAATATTAGAATTCATACCAATTTCTCATGACGTCCCATTATTTTACTGATCATTAGGCTGGATGATCACTGTATCTCCATCCTGGAAGTTTTAAGTTATCAGATAATAATCTGACAGGAAACCTATAACTTCGATATAGTGTTTCTAGCTGCTTATATTCAGCTAGGTATATTTTAGTTAGTGAGTAAATCAATGCTTCCTTTAATATCTGACCTATTATCGATTGATATAACAATAAAAGAAGGTACCATACCATTTTATTGAAACTAAGAACAAGATATGAAGTTTTTTCTGCTATCTATTAATTAATGGGTCTATTCCAATGGGGAATATACGTTTTCGGTGGAGTTCAAGATGGACCCTTCCAATGATTGTCAAAAACCATGCAGAATAGATTTGTGGTATCTTTATCGGTTAAATCCAACTATGCAATATTTAATAGTGTCTGCTAATCCGTCTATTTAATTAACATAATGGTCTTATCATCAACTTACTCGATGTAGCCCCATTAACACTTCAAACTGGACTAAGTAGTACTTCTGTACTACCTGTAATTGTGTCATTTATAACCGTTCTGTTTCTTTAAATTTTTTTATTTGTAGTGAATGAGAAATTTTTAAATGGTACTTATCGTGGTATACGCGAATTTGTTTGTGATTTCCGTTTGATGTTATTAAATTGTTATCGTCACAATGGAATCTCTTCACGTATTGGACGTTGTGCTGAGAAATTAGAATTGTTGCTGGAGCAAAAACTCCAACTTTTATCTCCGTAATTTAAATTATAGTGTAGCGTTTATTATTTTATTGCTTTGTGTGACTTCAAGTCTTTACTGTTAATTTAGATATGTCTACTTAAAATTTATAGAACAATGAAGGATCTTCGTTTAATACCGTTGTTTATAACTGACATTTCCACGTTTATTGTAAATGCTTAATTTGTGTTATTGGAGGTTTTAATAGAACTGTTGATCGACTAATTTCATTCGGTTAAACGCTTTAAACGTAGGTACTGGAGATTCTGGGTGATATGGCTCGGAATTGATCACAATGGCGTAGGTGTATACACTCTTTGTCTTTCCTTAAACCATGAGATTAAAATTGCTTTATACCTTTGTTTCTATGAACTAATTCTTCCTTCCTGTATTATATATCCTTATACCCAATCTTCCTTATATATATTACTACCAATGAAGTAACTGCTTCTTTGAATTTAGTTTTCATCTTTTTGTGCTAATGAGATGTGGCAACTTGAACCAATGCATATATGTGCCTAGTCCTACGTTTTAGCTGACTGACTGAGGTACTGTAAATTTGATTGGTTAGCCTTCATTTTACTAAATAAGTTGATTCTTTCATGCTCAAATAAATAAAGTATTGACTTAGTGATTAAAGCGTTCAACTCCATGTGATTAAGTTACGAGTGTGAATATTACCTTCATTTGCATAGCCCGTCAATCACATAAAACGATGTAACTCATTTGGTTACTAAGTTTATTTATCCCAACTGAATTTTGTTCAATAAAGAGTGATTAAATCGGTTTTATTTGATCGATGATGGTAGAATTAGATGCTGCTACATTGACGTGGTGGTCGAGCTTGCCTATAATGATGAACCAATCGAGCTATACTGGCTGAAAAAATCGTTCCACAAGGTCCTACCATGCCAGACAGGTCGTACTGCTGCCTGTACAAAAGTGTGACGGCAGTAAGGTGTTTCCTCCAGACAACCAGCATAACAGCGATGCTGCCTTCCCACAAGGAGCGGTTGGGTTAGAAGAGGTCGACTCTAAAAATGCACACCTCGCCTTATCCCACGGATATCCGTCTCCGGCGGTAAGGTCCTTTGAAGAACGGAGCTAACACGTCAAAAATCCCCCACAAAAATGCCGTATGTGACTGACCTCAAGCAGTTATCACTTGGGCACTGCCGTCACGCTTGCAGGTCGTTGTGACCAACACTAATCCAACTTCTTTTTCAGGTCCCTCAAGAAATACCCTTCCACGGTGTGGGCAGCCGGGAAGTGATAACTGCCCTCATACCTATAACAGCATTTAAGATCACTGTATTCTTAATCAATCTCAGAATTAGTTGAGACTAATCTATTTTAGTTTTTTCGTGTCGCAGGAAATATCTAGTTAAGAACGTGATTGAATCAAGTGTAAAAAGATCCATATATCGTTCAGTGCATGATAGTTAGATGCAATATATATAATGAGTAAATTAAATGTAATATTTCATCTTAAATAATTTTAAACAGTTAGATCAATAATTTCATAACTGATAGTTCAAATCTTGTACTTACTTACTTACTTACTTACTCCTGTTACCCCTCATGGAGTAGCATAGGCCGCTCACCAGCATTCTCCATCCAACTCTGTCCTGGGCAATCCTTTCCAGTTCTGTTCCGTTCTGAATAATGCTTTGATTATTTCGGATCCTTGTGATTCCCATTCTACAAGTTCATTTCGTGCTTCTCTGGACAGCATTAGAGCGACTCCCTGAGTGTGTGGAGCATTTTCCCCTTCATGACCGGAGTACAGCAGCATCTCTCCCGTACTTAAATCTTGTACATGTTCTATTATTTGAACCTGTTGTTTACACTGCAAAAAGTTGAAACTATCACTTGTCAAAATATTCATTCTTATTACAAGTTGTCAATGACAATATGTATCTGTATACGCAGCTTTGTCAAGTTACTTTATATTATTTTTGAATTTCTTCATTTATAACGTTTTAGTGAAATTAGAACTAAAGCATCGATACAGTCGACGCTTGGCTTTGGTACAGCTGAAGATGAGTTACTGGATTGTGGTAAGTGAATATGTTTATCATGGTCTAAAATTCTTTACTGGTATCAGTTACTTCTCAGATGATTTTTACAAGCTGAATGAAATCAGTTGGACAATTGTCATTACATAAAAACACTAACTTCCAGTTGGATTTCCGAAGAAATGTAAGCTATCTCATTGGTGGTCATAATATAGTTTTGATCACTGACTTGAGATGTTAATTAATATAGTTTGAAATCAGTCTCACTAGGGCAGTTAGATTAGTTATTTGGTTTCTGTCTTATGCATAGTATGATCCCACATTTTGGATTCTCCTATTCTATTAGTTTCTTTTAAACTCTATATCTTGTGTTTAAAATTTTGCCTTTTTTTGTAAGAAGCCAGATACCTCTAGTGATTCTGATTGCTCGTAGGGAACACCTTACCGCCATCATACTCATGTACAGTTGGTAGTACAACTCTGGACCTGAAATTTATTGCTTTCGGTTTTACCGAATTTCAACCGACTAGCCTGGTATATTAGAAACTCAAGGGACAAGTGTTTCAACCAGTGAAACTCGATTGGGTCATCATAATAAGGAAAATTAACCGTCACGTCAAGGCAGCAGCAATCGTGTGAACTGGAGACTACTCCCAAGCTGTCTCATCCTGATCTATATATAATTTTATTTCTTTATTTATTTGGTCGCTCAAACATTGGTATGAAGGGGGAACCAACATATATATGTACCACACAAATAAGTTATTCAATTAGTGTTTAGACTTGGATACTGTCCAAGTTCCTGGACCAAAATAAGTGGTCTTCTTAGGGGGCCACTCCCTGTGCTTTTGACCTAGCAGTCTAATCCATAAGGTAGTGGGGCAATATTAGGAGATGCAGTCCCATGGTAGCTGGTGATCAAAACTAGACTCAGACGCCATTTGTTCCGTTAGGATCCTGATGTCCATATGCACCAGTGGTTCGGAGTCAGGGTTTTCCAACTCTCCTAAATGGGTCGTCCGTACTTAACAGCCCCGTTTAGGCGCCTGACATTCGCTTTTAGTCCTGTCAGTTTCGTAATCAAAAGTTAAAACGCTTCTTATGGATGTTAAATAAACAGTTAAGTTTTTTTTCATATTTGCTATTACTCACTAATGTTGATTCGTGACAGAAATCATTCTTTATATAGTTGTGCTTAGTTTCGATTTTTATTAATCGCATATAATTTTTTTTCAAAACGTTAGGTGTAACTCGCCGTCGAAGTTCTGGACGTTTATTCCTTTCTGGTGATACACGTCAATTAACACCGATGCGTGCTATCATTGAAGAGTTAGAACATGTTACACATCCTGGTTCTGGTGGGGGTATCGCAGCATCATTAATTTCAAGTAGTATAGATTCAAATAATTCTATGCCATCTAACCAACAACAGTCAGCTACTACTAATAATATTACTAATAATTTAAGTATAGATGAAAATGTCGGTTTAATTATATCTAGATTAAGTTTATGGGAGCGTAGACGACATGAAGAAGAATTGTTAGATTCATGGAATGAATGGTGGATTGAGAAAAATGGACCTAAATTGCAAGAAATTATATACAATATACCAGAAGTTAGTCAAGTTTATTGCTTTACTGTAGTATTCAGATATCTTGATAGGGATTTAGTTTGTTGTTTGTTTATATTGTATTTCTTTAAAAAAATGTCTTTGTCAATGTCATTCATTGTTGTTTATTTATTTAAACACATAAATATTGGTACAAAGGGGCACCAGATACATATGTGCCACACAAATCTCATCCGATTTGTGTGACAGCTGTGATACCACCCAGCTACCCAAACTGAAGCAGGTGGTTTTCTTAGGGAGCAACACCCTGAGCCTTTGACCTAAAGGTCTAATCCAAAAGGCAGTGGAGCATCGTGAGGAGATGCAGTCCCATGGTAGCCGATGACCAACGATGGATTCATACACCATTTGTTTCTTTAGGATACTGGAGCCCATGTGTACCATTGGTTTTAAATGAGGGTTTTCCAACTCTCCTAGGTGGACCTCCCGTGTCCACCAACCCGATTAAAGCGCCGGACATTCGCATTTCGTAAACAACATTATTGCTACGAGAAGGCAGTGAGTAGAACTTCCCTGACAGAGGCTATATGCACGTGGCCATGTGAAAGCATTTCGAGAGGGAGGTTGACCCTTCCCACTCTCGGCCGTACCAGGGCATTTGGATGCTCGATAGTGACTAGCAGTGGAATCCAGGACGCGCGTTTCGTCTTATTTGGGACTCGTCAGCTGGATATACCTGCATCTGAGTTGATGTTCACTCTGGGACTCGAACCCAGTACCTTTCGCTTGAAACGCCATCGCGTTATCCACTCGGCCACTGAGTCCTAAATGGAGATTTGATAAGAGGTAACAATTTATATGATTATACATTCCCAGAAGTTAACTTTAATGCTTAATTTCCTTACACATATAAACTGAATTATTGCAACGTACCTTATTGTATATATGTATACATATTTTTTAGTTATTAGAAGTCTATCAATTCTTATGGCTAGCTGATCCTTTTTTGGGTATTAGTGATTGTTTAACAATTTATAGTAATAACAATAATAATAACAACAACAACAATAATCATAATCTCATTGTCAATTCATTGAACAATACAAATCATTCACGTAATTTATCGTTATTCGACTTAGAAATTGGATTATGCTCAGCTCCACAAGCTAGTCTAGTATTAAATGTTTGTATGTCTAATCTATTAGCTACACCAAAAGAAAGAAATCAAATTGTTGCTGTATTAAACAATAATAATAGTAATAATAATGGTAACAATGTTACCTGTAATCTTAATATTGGAGCAGATTCTGGTACAGATTGTATTTCTTCAACAAGACGATCTCGTAATCTATCAAATACATCTACATTACCTGTCATTGATTATAATGTATGGGAACGTCGATTATCTAGTCGTATTGATTCATGGTATCGTTTATTTTGGGAAAAAGGCAAAGGTGTTGTTGAATGGGTAAGTTGTATGAACTTTCTTCTTCATAGAATATTTATTTAATGGTTTTCTTTTGTTTTCGTCTTTGGAAAAAAAGTTGATTTGATGTCAGTCAGTCGTGGAGATAAGAGAGTTATTAGGTGTAGAAAGGATTTGAATATGACCAACTTGGTCTCGTGTGCAGTTACGGGTATGAGGGCTAATATCACTTCCCGGTTGTCCACACCGTGGGAGGGTATTTCTTGAGGAACCTGAAAAAGAAGTTGGATTAGTGTTGGTCATAACGACCTGCAAGCGTGACGGCAGTGCCCAAGTGATAACTGCTTGAGGTCAGTCACATACGACATTTTTGTGGGGGATTTTTGACGTGTTAGCTCCGTTCTTTAAAGGACCTTACCGCCGGAGACGGATATCCGTGGGATAAGGCGAGGTGTGCATTTTTAGAGTCGACCTCTTCTAACCCAACCGCTCCTTGTGGGAAGGCAGCATCGCTGTTATGCTGGTTGTCTGGAGGAAACACCTTACTGCCGTCACACTTTTGTACAGTCAGCAGTACAACTTCGCCTTCGGACCTTTGGTTTGCTGCTTTTAGTCTTACCGGTCTTCAACCGACTTGTCTGGCATAATAGGACCTTGTAGAACGATTTTTCCAGCCAGTATAGCTCGATTGGTTCATCATTATAGGTAATCTCGACCACCACTTAAATGTAGCAGCAACTAATTCTACCATCATCAATCAAATAAAATCGATTTGGTAATGATAATAATAATGGGAGAAACAGTTCAATTAGGAAAAATACAACGAGAAAGATTTTTTTCAGTTACAGAAGTCACTTTCACTTTTATGGATAAAGTAAAAGAAAGTTACAGCGGGAACATCGCCACTGGCTTCTGTTTTGAGCCGTATCTAATAGCGTCGTCTGCCATTGTGTTGTACCATCTCTAGGATCTCATCTATGGAGTCGTGAAGGACCGACAGACGCCAAACATATACAGCTTCCTTTCAAAACACTACATATGTCATAAACTGACCAACTTTCTACTTTTTCAAACCAACCTCATCGTCAGCAAACGATATACAACGATGAGAATATTGTCTCAGGCACATTCACTGTTTTTTCTCCTAAATGTTGAATGCTATCTCTAGACTAGCCCATGATATTGTCTGGTTTGTTGATGGGCAGTGAAATATTTTAGTGCACTGATCATTTCATTTTCTTGAAAGCCTCATCATGGGAGGTGGATTGTTTTTATGGTTGATGAAATCTTGACATGGATATTGTGTTTATACAATTCCTATAATATTCTGTATTTTTTTTCTGTTGATAGGCTACACGTCGTTTAGGTTTATCAAAAGGATTTTTCGATGTATGTGGTTATAAGTTGAATCCGTTAACCAATAAACGTTTCCATGAATTATCAATATATCAGCAAGTTGTAATAATCTATGCTCTTTGTGAATCGACAATGGTGAGTTATCGTTAGTTTTTGTTTATCTTTGAATACCATGTTCATTGTATCTGTTGTTGCCCTGTTCCAATCTAACTTAATACATTCTATTGGACATGATCTTTTTCGTGTTGAAGTTTTCTGTCTGTGAGAGGCCATTTAATTAATTTGTATGCCACAGTAATTGTGAGGCTTTTAAGGAGTTTAAATGAGATTTATAACAAACCGCTGTTATTCAGTCATGAGGATGAATTTTGTCACTGCTTAGTAATGATTTAGTAGCTATCTACTGAATCCAAGTAAGACACTACTGTTTTCAAATGTCAACTGATTGTTCGAGTTATGTCACCATTAAGACTGATTTATTGTCTGTAGAAAGTTGTTTCCTATGTTTTCGAGTTCCGAGTTTACTTCTTTTTCTTAACTGTTGAGGTTTGAGTTAGAAAGTTATTTGGTGAAGGTAAGAATTTCTGCTTTAAGTCTCTCATGTTATTAGATCAGAGTTTTGTAGCACACAACAGAAAATAATATGTTATAAGCAAAAATGGATAGTGGCTAGCAGTGGAATCCAGGACGCGCGTTTCGTCTTATTTGGGACTCGTCAGCTGGATGTACCTGCATCTGAGTTGATGTTCACTCTGGGTCTCGAACCCAGTAACTTTCGCTTGAAACGCCATCGCGTTATTCACTCGGCCACTGTACAGTATGCACATATGCCAATTAGAGACTGACCAGTTGAAGTCCTAAAAACATCAATGGGAAGATCCAAACAAACAATACTAAGTAAATAATATGTTATAGTTCAGTAAAGTGCATTATTGCCGTTAAAACTGATTTTTCTGGATAGCACTTTTTTATCAAGTTTATTTTCTACGCATTAGGATTACCTATCCCATCTCGAACCTTCTTCCTTTATTCGGGTCTGGAACCGGTATTAACCCTAGAAGGGCTTCATATAAAGTTGCAGTTAGAATTAGTTTGCTTTAATTTCCACCAAAGCGGTTGATTTTCACATTCCATAGAATATTTCTAGTTTGGATTTATCTGATGTTTATTCACATAGAATGCTTAAACGTTTTACAATAATAATGTTATATTCTTCTCTATCTATGAATGTATCTCAGTCAGAACACTTTACCCTGAACTCGGCTGGATCAAATATAAGACTAAATGGTATTTAATCTGTGTATTTTTGCTCCAAAATATCTGTCGACACAATCAACTTTCAAAATACTTCACTGCATTGTGGATCAGATCTTTAGGTCAAAGTCTCCGGGTGTGGCCCCCTAAGAAAACCACCTGCTTCGGTTTGGGCACCCGGGTAGTATCACAGCCCTCACATATATCAATTGAGATTTGTGTGGCGCATATATATCTGGTGCCCTTTTGTACTAATATTTATGTGTTTACATAAATAAATAAAACAATAACGGCCTTGTGAATTAAACATTTAGGTCGAAGGCTCTGGGTTTGGTTTTCTAAGAAAGCCATGTGCTTCAGTCGGGGCCCCTGGGCAGTATCACAGCCTAAATCACACATAAATCAAGTGACTTGTATCGAGCATATGTATTCGGTGCTCCTTTGTTTCAATATTTGTGTGTTCAAATAAATAAATAGGTAAAATACTGGAGCAATTAAACGTAACTCTATAATGTTTAAATATATGAATACAGTGATCTTGAGTGCTGTTATCCCTTCTCGGTTGCCCACACCATGGAAGGGTTCTTCTTCTGGAGGTACCTAAAAAGGAAATCGGGTTAGAAGTGCTTTAATGACCTGAGAGCGTGACCGCAGTGCTCAAGGGACAACTGCTTGAGGTCGGTCACACATAATCATTTTGTGGGTCATTTTTGTGTCAGCTCCGTTCTTTAAAGGACCTTACCGCCGGAGACGGATATCCGTGGGATAAGTCGAGGTGTGCATTTTTAGAGTCGACCTCTTCTAACCCAACCTCTTCTTGTGGGAAGGCAGCATCGCTGTTGTGCTGGTTTTCTGAAGGAAACACTTTACTGCCGTCGCACCTCTGTACAACCAGCAGTACGGCTTCGCCCTCAGACCTTAGTTTGCTGTTGTTAGTCTTATCGGTCTCCAACCGACCTGTCTGGCATGGTAGGACCTTGAGGAATGATTGCTCCAGACAGTATAGCTCGATTGGTTCATCATTATAGGCAAGCTCGACCACCACGTCAAGATAACAGCAATGATCGGGGTAGCAGCAATTAAACTCACAATTATATCATGAAAATAGGAATAAAATTTCAGTAGATATTTTCCTTTATTATATTACTAGAAATTTTATATCAGTAAATACTAATTAAACAAATACGTTTACCTTTCGACTTTTCTTTTTCATTTTTTAGCGAACATTTGAAAATCTTCGTTTATCTTTAGACAAATCAGCTGATTGGGAAGCATCGAATCCAGTTTATTTAGGCACAGATTTCTTTTCAAAATATACCTATATTCATTTGCCTAATTCAATTGGAATTGATCCAGCAACTTCATTAAGGATTTATCGAATCTCTTATGTGAAGCACCAACCAGTTGAACTTAATTTTGAAAAATCCTTAAACATTACAATTAATCGTAACCTTGATGATACTAGTAAAACTGAAGTCTTAAATGATTTTATAAAATTCGAAAATGCCGTCGCCGTCGATCAATCAACTAACGCTAAACGTCGACGTAGTTGTACAAAATCTAAACAACAAATTCAATTCTATGAAGAATTAAATAAACATAATACTTTGATTATGGAAAATGGTTTATCAATTCCTGGTTCAGTTCAACGTTTACCTAATTGGATACATCCATCTTTAGCACGTGATGTTTATCGTAGATGGTATCGTGTTACTGAACAAGTTAATTCTACTCCTAGTTCTATTGTTAATTCTTCAACTATTTTATCTAATGATCAAGAGTCTGAAGAATCTGCGAAAGGAAAAAAGAGGCGGTTATCAGAAAGAAATTCAAGAACTGTTGATGTTAATAATAATAATAATAATAATAATACTACTACCGTTGCAAATAAAACAACCACACCAAATAATAGGAAACGTAAACATGATAATGATAATAGTGATAGTACTACTACTACTACTATTACTACTACTACTGCTACTAATAGTAATCATGTTAAAGGGAATGTACCATTTGGAGATTTTCAAGATATTGATAATCAAATTATTTCAGAATTTATTAAAAAGGATCATTGTTTAAATCCATCACCTTATGCATCATTTAATGGTCCAACACGTCAATTTTTATCTTTACAATTAAGTCGTACTGGTAAGTCATTTTTGTTTCTTCTGTTAAACTTGAAATAGTTGATATCTTCTTAATCATCTTTATAAGTACAACATCATCTTATTTATTTGTGTTTATAAATTATTCTGTGGTTAGATCGACTAAATGATAAAGCTTACCCGGTGGTGCTTACTTATTTACTTACGCCTGTTACTCCCAATGGAGCATAGGCCGCCGACCAGCATTTTACCTGTTGGTACCCCCGAATGCCCTGGTACGGCCGAAGGTGGGGAGAGAACGCTCTCCCTCTCCAAATGCTCTCACATGGCCACGCGTATGTAGCCCCTACCAGGGAAGTACTACTCACTGCCTTCTCGTGGTATTAATGTTGTTTACGAAATTGAGAGGACGGAAAGCGAATGTCCGGAACTTTAACCGGGTCGGTGGACACGGAGGGTCCACCTTGGGGAGTTGGAAAACCCCAACTCCAAACCAATGGTGCACATGGGTTGGCTCCAATATCCTGAGGGAATAAATGGCATATGAATCAGACGTTGGTCACCAGCTACCATGGGACTGCATCTCCTTATGATGCTCCATTGTCTTGTGGGTCGGACCTTTAGGTCGAAGGCTAGGGGTGTGGCCGCTTAATAAAACCACCTGCTTCTGTTTGGGCACCTGGGCAGTATCACAGCCCTCACACAAATCAAAGGAGATTTGTGTGGCGCATATGTATCTGGTGCCACTTTGTACCAATATTTATTTGTTTAAATAAATAAAATAAATTACCTGGTGGTAGTGACCACTTATCTACTAATCGTAATAGGATTGTTTTTTTTCAAGATATTGAAGTTGTGACTTTGTGATTATAGTACTCGAACTTCGACTAGTGTGTTACAGATCTCAGTGATATTCCACTTAGTTTAAGTAATAGAGCAATGCCACCCCGAAGCAGCGTGGAATGATATCCGAAAAGCTGTGGAAACAGCAGTGATATCCGCTAGTAAGGTAAGCCATAAGGTTAAGGAGAAACAATGGATCTCGGCAGCATCTACCGCGCTGATAGATGCTCGAAAACTCATCCCTCCTGTCTCTGAACATAACGAAGAGCGGAGTCAGCTTAAGCGAAGGCTAATAAGAAGTCTACGCAATGATCGTGAACAGTGGTGGGTAGCGAAAGCAAGAGAGATGGAAAAGGCGGCGGCAATAGGTAACGGCAGACAGCTATTCAGACTTATTAAAGAAACCGATATTAGGAACCCAACTACTAGCGAAACTATCTCAGACAAAGACGGGCATATCATTCATTCTCAATCCAGGAGATTGGATCGATGGGCAGAACACTTTAGGGATCAGTTCAACTGGCCTTCAGCCACACTTCAGTTACCCGCGATCCCCAGTCGTCCTGAATGGCAAATTGAGGTAAGTCCTCCAACTCTCTACGAGGTTGAAAAAGCTATAGGAAATGTAAAGCGAAGGAGAGCCTCAGGCCCTGACAGGTTGACCCCTGAGATTTTTAAGAATGGTGGTCCATTACTAGCAGTGAGATTAACTGAGGTCTTAGGTAGAATCTGGGAAGTGGACGTAATTCCATCTGACTGGTCCCAATCACTGATTGTGCCAGTCTATAAGAAAGGACAAACGTCCTCCTGTGACAATCACAGAGGGATCAGCTTGATTAATATAGTGTCTAAAATATTAGCTTCAATAATACTTGGACGGCTAACCAAAGCTCGTGAAGAGCAGACTAGAGAAAACTAGGCTGGTTTTCGACCTGGACGTGGTTGCATAGACCAGATATTCACTCTACGTCAGGTCCTAGAACATAGACATACATTCAGACGTCCCACAATAGTAGTATTTCTTGACCTTAGGGCGGCATTTGACTCCGTTGATCGTGAGGTTCTATGGCAGTGTTTGTCAGTGAAAGGAGTACCAAAGAAGTACATTAACCTCATAAAGGCTCTCTACTCGAACACAACTGGTCGAGTTAGAGCCTATGGCGAACTGTCATCAGAATTGGTTACCTCAAGTGGTGTTCGTCAGGGCTGTCTACTCTCCCCATTCTTGTTTAACTTTGTCATTGACATACTTTTAGGGATAGCACTTTCATCAGCTAAACCTCCAGGAGTTGAACTTTTACCAGGAGGCTCACTTGTTGACTTAGAATACGCCGACGACATAGTTTTACTCGGTGAAGACGCTGACAACATGCAGAGTCTTCTGACCACTATAAGCAACTATGCAGGCATGTTCGGGATGCGATTCTCTCCCTCGAAGTGCAAAATGTTACTTCAGAATTGGGTTGCAGCGACACCTGAACTAATGATAGGGAGTGAAGTAGTTGAGCGTGTTGACCACTTCACTTATCTTGGGAGTCTCATCAGCCCTTGTGGTCTGGTGTTTGACGAAATCTCAGCACAGATACAGAAGGCTCGTCTAGCTTTCGCCAACTTGCGCCATTTATGTTGTAGGCGAGATATCCGTCTAGCAACAAAAGGACGGGTTTAATGTGCAGCAGTTCGTTCCGTTCTATTTTATGGCAGTGAAACATGGCCGATAAGAGTAGAGGATATTCGTAGGCTACTAGTGTTCGATCATAGGTATCTTCGAAGCATTGCTCGTATATCCTGGGACCACCGGGTATGTAATACAGTTGTTAGGAAACGGGTACTAGATAAGGTTGGCAATTCGATTGATGAAGTAGTGAAACTTGATCAGTTGAGATGGCTGGGACATGTGTTACGTATGCCCAACCACCGACTGCCCCGACATGGAATGCTTTATGGTGTAGGAGCAGGTTGGAAGAAAGCTAGGGTCGGCCAGACCAAAACGTGGCACAAATCCATGAAGTCACTGACACGTGGACTGAGCCATGTTGGTAGGTGTAGACTACCTGGTTGGGATTCGCGAGATGATAGCAACCGATGGTTAGAGACCTTGAATGACATGGCTCAAAATCATTTGCAATGGCGAAGGGCATCCACTCTTTGTGTTCTACCAAATTCTGATCCTCTGAATTCCACATGCACTTATCCTTCTTCTCTTTATAAATTTGTTTCGCTGAATTATACTCCTTGAATAACATCTTCAAACCCTAATCTTTTACATAATACTTATATTCTTACTACTTCTATCAATATGGGATTCGAATCGACAACTTCATCTCTGTGCAAATGTGGTACGGGAACTCGAACTGATGTTCGTACTTACGAAGTTCTACGTTGTAACTGGCTCACTGACTGACTAAACTTGCATATTGAAGTATATGTGATTTGAAATCAAATATCTGAATATGAAAATAGTTACCAAGTAGAGATTTCCATTAAATTTTTGTATTTCAGTCAGTCAGCTACAACGTAGGACCACGCGTCGTGGTAATCAAGGTTCAGGCATATATAACACGTGACCCAACCATCTCAGTCGGTGAAGATTCACCACCTCATCAACTGATTTACCATCATTCCCTTATACCCTCTGTATAACCTCACTATTACTTACCCGATGATCCCAGCAGATGTGAGCAATATTTCTAAGACATCTGTGGTCAAATACTAGTAACCTACGAGTATCTTCTACTCTTAATGGCCATGTTTCACAGCCGTAAAGTAGAACAGAGCGAACTGCTGCACAGTATACTCGTCCATTAATTGATAGACGGATATCTCGTCTTCGCCATAGGTGACGTAAGTTGGCAAAAGTCGAGCAAGCTTTTTGAATGCGTGCTGAGATTCCGTCAGACACCAACCCATTAGAGCTGATCAGACTTCCGAGATAAGTGTTGTCGACGCGTTCGACTACTTCACTCCCTATCCTTAGTTCAGGTATTGACGCAGTCCAGTCCTGGAGTAACAAATTTTTTGTATGATAGCGGAACTAATTACCAAATTAATTACATAGTTAACTTGTCAAATTAACTTTTAACTATGTAACATAAGTGGATATATGTCTCCTTGGAGTCGCTTGCCATTCAGTGTGTAGTTCAGAAAAAGAATAAATAACTTCTTGTGGAACTGCAATTGGTTTTTGTTATGTTTTAAGACGCTGATCGGTATCATCTACTGAATTCACTTATCAGAATTTCAATCATAATTTTTCGTACTACGTCTACTATTCCATCTATAGCGTAGCGTTCTATACATTCTGATCTGCATAGCTAACCTTGTGCCAAAGTAAACTACACTTCTATCGGTCCGTATATCTGCAAGCCTTTCTCTTTGTCTCCATCCTTGATTTTAAAAAGACATTTGCAGCTAAGGTTATGTTACTATTATTATTACCAATAATAAAGTTCTCTACTAAGCATGCAATCGAAATTTAAATAATGATGATAATCTGGAAAATAGTTCCGAAATTTCCATGTTTTCAAAAAATCTCATCATAACCAGTTTGATATTCCAGGGGTTTAATGACCAATCATCCGATCATTGCTGTGCACACTGACAGCTGTATTGAATTATTATTTTTAATTCCCAGTCTGGTTTACAATACTGTTTATTTTTGTAAATCAAAAGTAAGGAAGCCTATCGTGCCTTCAGAAATAAAACAATAAACGCTAGAATGTAAAATAAATGATGATACAAGCTTTACACACCTTTTTGTTGAGACTGCTGATAGCATTTGCCTTAAATTGCGATGATGTTATCCGATTTCCTGTATTGATCGAATGTATTTTTATGGAGTTTCTAAGGGATTTTGACATAAAGTAATCATACGATCAGTCAAATATTATTTAAAGGTTTGCCCACGTGCTGTTACCATGGTTTTTGTGCTGTACGCGTGTTTGTAGCTTTTAATGCTGTCTATCTATGTCCCTGACTTTAAATTTGGAAGTTGTTTCACTTCATTCGCTATTTTCATTTAGGATCGTTTCAGTACTTAACCTCAATAACTGAATTTAGGTAATAGCTGTCCGTCGTTTAGAGTGGGGGTTACTTTACCTCTCTGTGTTGGAAAATCGAAGGAGTTCAGTAAGTCCTCTACTGGTTGTGAGCTTATTTAGTTCAAGAGATCTGTCACTTTTTCTGTTTCAGTTCTACAATACAGCATGGATATTTGTTGATGGTGTTGTGTTCACCGAGCCAGATAGTCTAATCGCGAAGCCTTTGGTAGTCATTCTCAACAACACTATCACCGCTTACCTCGTGTAGGATATCTATATATCTAGGAAGACTGTACATTATTCCTGTTGTGAGACATTGACAGTAATCCATAGACTGAAGTGTGTGATATTTAGTAGTTAGTAGCAAAATTCCTTCTGTAATCTTGAGGTAATCAATGCCCCCCATGGGATTAGAATCTGTGTCATTTGATCTCATAGTCAAACCGTTCAAAAAGCTGTTAAGCTTCTATCATACTCATCTTTGTCATCGAAATTCTTATTTTTGAAGTATTCATTGGGCACCTGGGCAGTATCACAGCCCTCACACAAATCGAATGAGATTTGTGAGGCGCATATTTATCTGGTGCTTCCTTGTACCAATATTTATGTGTTTAAATAAAATAAAATAAAATAAATTCATTTTAATTAAGATCAATTCTAGACTCCTTGTAAACCTTGAAGCACTAGATGGTTTGGTGGTCTAACATCTGTCGGTTCATTATTTCAATTAAAACTCAACCATATACTGATATTTATTTTATTTCAGCCGTTGGAGGCTTACGTTTTTGTTCAAAGTACAGTTCTCGTCGAAATAAAAATGCTGTACGTACAAATGATGACGATGATGATGATGATGGTGATGATGATGACGATACTGAGTCACATTCAGCTGATCAAAACGCAAATGATATTCGTTCACCTTCAGTCAGTCATTATGAATCAGATGATGATGTAGAAAATGGTGATAATATCAGTCGAACTGTTGCAACTACAGACGAAGTTCCACAAGTGAATGATAAATATGTAGATGAATCTTTTATGCCAACACGTAGATCAACTAGATTAAGTGAGTTGTCCAAGAACAGAACACCTGTAAATTGTTCTATTAACTCCAATGGAACGTCTTCATCGGTAAGATATGTAATGTTTATTGTTTCTTGTTATATTTATTTACTTCCTCTATTTTGAATATTTTGGTATGTCTAATAGATCATAACGTTTCAACCAGTTTTACATTACTTTTATTATCTTAAGATGCGAATAGATTAGGTATATTAATTGATAGAGTTTGTTCTATACTACTCAAAGTAGTATCATTAGCCGTTACAAATATGATATGAACCTGTGCTGTATTTAGTGAGTTACATAATTGAATAAACTAAACCAGTGGTTATTTAACTATAAACTAGGTGATCTGATGTTCTATTAGCGGGAAAAAATTTATCACTTCCTCACACCGTGCAATGACACTTGTTTTTGATGCATCTAAAAAGGAAACTGGGTTAATAGTGCTCATGTCAACATAAGCACTTGAATTCAGAGCCCAAGGGACTGCTGTTTGTAATTGATCATATATAAACTTTTTGAATAGCTCTTGATGTTTGAGCTTGCATCTTGAGAACCTTATCCACTAGTTTCAGGAATCCTGGAGGTTACGGTTGATCTTTTTTAATCCTTTCCTTTAATTGTGAAAATGTAGCATCTCTGGAGGTTCTGGTTTTTTGAGAGAAACATCTTATTGATAAGTCTTTTGACAGCGCTTGAATCGTTTTCCTTAGCTCTTCTTATTACTCCAGGCTAAATCTGAAGGACAACTTGAACAAGGGAGAAAAGTCGTGAAGTATGGAAAGAGCGCTTTACTCCATGGTTAGTTTATGTACAGAAAATTGAGAGTATTTATAACATTTCAGATGGTCTTGGACTTCTGGAAGGTTCTGGGACGTTAATAAACATAGTAGCAAGATAGGTAATCATCCACCCGGAGATGTGACACATGACTCTCCACTTTCTAGATATTTTTGAGGAACTTATATTCAATACTGATTGCATAAAATACTACCAAATATTTTCAGTACCCCTCTAAACTTTTTTGAAGGAATATTCTGGGTCCACTTAACACCTATTGTCACCACAGTCTAGTGCCATCGGTAATGGAACTTCGGTCTCTTATCTTAAGTTGATGCTTTTATTTTCACGGCTCTCAAAAATCAACCTATCTGATTGATTGAGTCATCACAATATACAAGCATGACGACCACACCAATATAACAACATAAGGGTATGTAAAGCTATTGCAGAATTGTAAACTAATCTAATCAAGTTTTATAATAATACAATTTGTTTATGTACTTGTATATATATGTATATGTGTGGTTTCAGTTACCTGAAGATCAAAAACATGGAACTTCTAAAGAGGTGGTGATAGAACAGTCTGATCTGAAATGTAACCAAACATTTTCCGATAAACAATTGACTCATTCTGATCAATTATGTGATAAAATTTCAAATGAAGATAATTGTGATGAGAATATAATAAAAGTTGAAGAAAATCTTATAACTGTAAGTATTTAACATTGTTTGAATGTCACTTAGTGATCCAGTTCATGATCACTTGAAGCTATAGTTGTTTGTATCATGGTATTTATATAGGTACTTTGAATGCATATACTAGATGTATTACTTTTTTGTTGAAATGATGGAAAATATTTGTAGCTTAAAGTTCAGTATCAGATCAAGGCATCAACTGATTATAATGTGCCTGTTAAATCCGGATGAGAATGAATGAATAGTAACCAATATTATACGTATATTCTTATTGTATGACTATTAAATGATTATATTATATGTGTATTCTCTTCCAACCATTGGGGATGGTTGGAAGAAAGTTAGGGGCGGACAAACCAAAACGTGGTATCAGTCCTTGAAGTCACTAACTTCTAGTCTAAGCCATGTTGGCAGATGCAGACTACCTGGTTAGGGTCCGAGTGACTATCGTAACCAATAGTTGGAAACTCAGTGTGACATGGCTCAGAATCCATCACAATGGCGTAGGTGTATACACTCTTTATCTTCCCTTAATCTATGAGATTAAAATTGCTTCATAACTTTTTTCCTTCCTATACTATATCCTTATATACAACCTTTCTTTATATACTACCACCACTAAATTAACTACTATGAATCCGTTGTTCATCTTGTTGTGCTAATGAGTGAGGTATGGCAACTTGGACCGATGCATAAATGTGCTTGGTCCTACGTTGTAGCTGACTGAATGACTGTATTCATATTCCTTCCATTGTAAGCTTTTATTTGATCTATTAACTATTACCGTACGATTTACTATTCTTAAGATATTCTTGATTTACTAGCTACAGTTTCTCATAATAGCATCCACTTTTAGCTTGGTCGTATACAAATGTTACCTTTTTTATTGTGTGGTGTTTGATTTTGATTGTATATGAACCAAGTATGTTTGAAATATATGATTTGTATGGCGAAAGATTAGTTTGGCGTTTTGAACTTAACAGGCAAGGCTAAAAGGAAAAAAAGGATCAATCGAAACTCTAGGCTTCCTTTACTCGTGGGTCGTATAAGTCACTGTATCTAAATTGGCAATCGTATTTCGCGGTAATCGTAAAACTAAGGACACGCACTGTCACTTACCTAAAGAAAGCGTCAGTCTGTGTGTAACCGACCTCAAGTAGTTGTCCCTTGGGCACTGCGGTCACGCTCTCAGGTCATTAAGACCACTTCTAACTAAATTTTCTTTTCAGGTCCCTCAAGAATGGTTCTTGCACGGTGTGGGCAGCCTGGAAGCGATAACTGCCCTCATATCTCTAACAGCACTCAAGATCACTGATCTACTGTTTTGTATATAAGGCAGAATATGATTGGAAGATTTCAGTTTCAATTAACTGACCTTATTGTGAATGAGTTCTTTTGTTTTCGTTGATACACATCTGCTGTTTTTTTTAAATGAAAATGAGATGTACTACTTATTGTTTCTTCTTAATAGGAGCCATCTTCTGAATTATTCACTTTAATTGCAAAAGATTCACAAGAATTAAATCAATTATTAATAATTCTACGACAAATCTTATCTATTAATGAAGAGAAATTAAATAAGAAACAATCTATTGATGAATTAGATTTGAATTCTGATTGTGACAATCCAATAGAAGAAGAAGCTGATGATGATGGCAATATCAACAACAAAGAATCTGTCACTAACAAAAAACGAACATTAGCGGAACAAAATGAGAATACTAAAAATCAGGTAAATGATTCATCAGTAATATTTATGTTTTATTAAGGCAAAAAAAACATAAATCTTTTCCAACCTGTTTGACATTTCAGAAGGGGTTTGGTGGATAATTTAGTATTTTCATAGTTGAAATCATGAGTCCATTCAAGTTAGACCAGCTAGCTCAGTGGTCTATCGGTTAAGTGATCTGGCGTGAGACTGGTAGGTCCTGGGTTCGAATCTCGCTCGCGAGGCGAGATCGTGGATGCGCACTGCCACTGAGGAGTCCCATAATACGACGAAACGGCCGTCCAGTGCTTTCAGGTTTCCCATGGTAGTCTAACTTCAATTGATTCATGATTTTTTATATTTGTATTGTTTCATGTTAATTAAGAATAAATGTTTAATTTACAGAGTTATGATGTGTTGTGTGCTACTGATATCGATAAATATAAGTAGTATATATCATCAATAAAAAGTGAAATACCTGATAGCAGAAGGTTAAGAAGAGCGAAGCAAAGAGAACGAGAACAAGAAATGATTGATGTTGTCTGGGACGATTGACTGGTATTCGCAAAAGGAACAGTCAAGTTTAAGACAATTGATTGACATTTTGCAGATTAAGTATTTACTGTATGGTGATCACATACATTTGATTATCTCCACTTGTGTTCTCGTTCACTACAATAGTATGGTATGGAAAACTTGGGTTAATGAACATTTGTGTCAAGTTCAATATTAATTTTTATTTATGTCTGATTTCAATTAATTGAATAAGACTAATTTGGCTTCCTTCCATTACTAATATTATGAATATTATTACTAAGTTAATAATTCCAATGCAAATGTGTGCCTGGTCCTAAGTTGTAGCTGACTGATCATTACATCATTACATGTACTGCATTTGTACTTGTGAATTGTTCTGTCGTGTTCATCAAATCCAATGGGTCTTTACCTTTACCTAATCATTTTTTTCTAATTTATATTTAATGAAATACAATATGATTCGGTTGATCTACCAGTTATATTTCTAATAATTATCATTCCACCTTTGCTTATAATGCTTGTGAATTAAGGCTTTATCGAGACAATACGCACAGCATGCACATATGCCAATAACAGACTGAACAATTGCAGTCCTAAACATCAATGGGAAGATTCAAACAAATAATACCGAGTGAATTATTATTTAAGAGTTAATTAGATAAACTAAATTATAATAGATTATCAGCTCATTGGTGATTTTATCAATGACATTGGAATGATCGTTGCGTTATGTAGCAACTCGACAAAAAATTTAAAATTACATAATTGGAAACTGAAAAGTACTTCTAAAGGTTAGGCCTTCTCTGCAGAAATTCGAGATCCTACATTCAATTCTTGTTTACATTGTGTTGGTTTTCACTGATGAAACGTTTTTTAGTAAGACGAACTGGTTGTTTAGTGCTTCCTAATTTTTACTGGTACCCCAAATGATGTTTATCAGTGGAGAATACATCTTACAAATAGGAGATAATTTGTATAATTTTCTTAAATCACTCCGTAAATATGTTCACATTTGATTATTAAAACAATCATTAACCAATTGTTAGTATGATTTCAAATGATTTGGATCAGATTATTTTATATTTTTAGGTTACTTATTCCGTAGGATTTTCAGGTAATGATGTTACAAGCCATTACTCAGTCATCCAGTCACAACATAGAACTTCGTACGTACGTACATCAGTTCGAGTAATTACTACTAGATTATATTGAATTTTCAACTAGATTTTAATTTTAATAGTTGTGATCATGAGTCATTTAAAGCTAGACCACCATGGAAAACCTGGAAGCACTGGACAACCGTTTCGTCTTATTGTGAGACTCCTCAGTGGCAGTGTGCATCCACGATCCCGCCTCACGAGATTCGAACCCAGGACCTATCAGTTTCACGCGAGCGCTTAACCTCTAGACCACTTAACCGGCATTCAACGGTGTTAATGTCTAACTCCAACCGATTTTAATTATATACATACTACTTACCGCTTTTTTCTTTTCTACATTGTAATTGTTTAAAAATGAAGCAAACTATACGATTACGTAATGCAATTGGATCATTAAAAAGTCTTATTGCAAATTTAGAAGAATTATATAAATCTGTATTGAATCGTGAAAATGAACGTGTTGATGCTCAACGATTAGCACGATTACGATTACGTAAAGACGTTGAACAATGGGAAGCAAATGAGGTAAGTGGATAGAATTTTAATTTGCATCATGTTAAAAAAAGACAATTATGTAATCAAACATAGACTCCACTGTGTTAGATTATCAAGTTTTGAGTAAGTAAGATGTGGTAAACAATTGAAATTCGTGGAATGTTTTACACTAGTGAATAAATAGCCCCCAAATGCCCTGGTACGGCCGAGAGTGGAGAGTGTCCGCTCTCCTTCTCGAATTGCTCTCACTTGGCCACGCGTATATAGTCTGTGCCAAGGAAGTCCTACTCACTGCCTTCTCGTGACATTACTGTTGTTTACGAAATTGAGAGGACGAAAAGCGAATGTCCGGTGCTTTAACCGGGTTGAAGGACACGGAAATTCCAATTAGGGGAGTTGGAAAACCTTGATTCCAAACCAATGGTGTACATGGGCTCCAGTATCCTGAAGGAACAAATGGCGTATGAACCGATTGTTGGTGACCGGCTACCACAGGACTGCATCTCCTTATGATGTTCCACTGACTTGGGGATCAGATTTTTAGGTTGAAAGGCTCCGGGTGTGGTTCCTTAAGAAAACTACCTGCTTCAGTTTGGACACCTGAGCGGTATCACTCCCCTCACACAAATCCAATGATATTTGTGCGGCGCATATATATCTGGTGCTTCCTTGTAACAATATTTATGTGTTTAAATAAAATATTAAAAAAAGTGATTAAATAAGTGAGGGTTACTTAAATTTTCATTGTTGTACGCTTGGTGTTAATATTGATTTCCAGGTATCATTTTTAAACTTCACTCTATCTACTTTGATTTAGACAATCGCGTTGTATTACTAGCTCACAGTACATAAAATCTATATTTTTGATGTATGGAAGAGAATGATAATAATTTGTTGTTTGCTCAATCAGACTTGTAAATAGTCTAACAGGCGTAAGATGAGTTATATATTCTGCTATCCTTATTATTATTGATTGTTGTTGGATTGTTTCGGATTGTTGTTAGTTTTTGGCATAGAAATATATTTACGTTCTAGTCAAGCTAATTACGTGTTCTTGATTTGAGTTGTGTTGAAATCCTGTAGAATTCCACGAGAAGGCAGTGAGTAGGACTTCCCTGGCAGTGGCTGTATACATGTGGCCGTGCGAGAGCATTTTGAGAGAGCGGGCGGCTCCCATCCACTCTCAACCGTACTAGATGTGTAGAAATACATCAATGTAACCAGTTATGTATCATGTCATCCAACATCTGTAATCATTGATTACAAGTGACATCAATCAGAGGATATATACTTATCAACTTCATTTCATCTAATGACACTTTTAAATCTACACAATGTAACTACTTTACAATCTAATTATATGCAATCTAGTTACCAGATTAATGATCGTGTTTGTATGAAGTTTAGTATTATTGTTGTCTTGTCTAAGCTAAAGTAGATGGATGATTGTTTGAATCTAATTGTAAACTAATTTGATTCCATTCAAAATAATTATCTTGACTCTTATAAATTATCTTAATATTATCCCATTTTACATATTTGTCAATCAGTCAGTCAGCTACAACGTAGGACTAAGCACATTTATGCATCGATCCAAGTTGCCAACCAAAAAAAAGGTTGTATATGAAGATATAGTATAGGAAGGAAGACAGATATGAAGCAATTTTAATCTCATAGATTAAGGGAAGATAAAGAGGGTATACACCTACGCCATTGTGATCGATTCTCAGCTATGTCACCTAGTCTCCAACCATTGGTTACGATAGTCACTCGGACCCCAAACGAGTAGTCTGCATCTACCAACATGGCTCAAAATAGAAGTTAGTGACTTCATGCACTGATGCTACGTTTTGGTTTGGCCGCCTCTAACTCTCTTACAACCATCCCCTACAGTAGTCAGCATAGCGCGTCTCCACTCTATAAGAAGTAGATAGAAGGTTGTTTATGTTTTTTCTGCAGATTTCGTATAAAAACTCATCGTCTTTTAAATCTTGATTAATGAAATCTCATTCGTCATTTTTGTTTCAATTTTTCAATAGGCTGAAAAAAGTAGAAAACAATTAAAAATGAGTCAAACTAATAAACTGAATAATCAAGAATCTCGTTTAAATCTTTTGGCATCACTTCAAACTGACCTATCAAAAGATCGTGCTGAACGACATTCAAGACGTGAACAACTACGTGCACAAGATTTAACTAATGATGAAGCATATGAAAGTGAATCTAATGATAGTGAATCTAATGAACAAAATATGAGAAGACAATCCAATAATTCACCTAAATCAATTACAGTTACAATGAGTACTGATACTAAAACTAGTAGTATGAAAAATATTAATCAAAATAGTTATCAAGCATTTGCATCACGTATTAGTGCTAGTGGATCGCCGAAAATACCTATATCACGTTTTAATAGTGAAGATTTAATACCGAAAATTCGTCGATCTTTCATGTTTGATTCAAGTAAGAATGTCTCAATTTTGCCTAGACCATCAGGAGGAACACCAGTGAAACCAACTAGTCCTACAAGTTTAAATAATAATAATCATAATACTAGGAGTGGGATAAATCATTCATTTCCGCGTGTATCACATTCAACATTCCGATCAAACACACCTCGCTCTCCTGCAATTCTACGTACTAGTCTTCCTAAAACATCATCATCATCGGGTACAAATCATCCAAATGGGGTATCCGCCCTTAATCCAACTACTTCTCCACTATCGAATAAGAGCAATATATCCTCAAATGTTTTATTATCACCGAAATCACCAACATCAATCATGGCAACCAATACTTCGAGTACTTCTCCTCCTACTTCTATTACTAATACTAATACTATTACTACTCCTACTAGTACGTCATCAAATAAGACATCTACCCCTGTCCGAAAAATCTATCGTGTATGTAACACTTTGTTTACTGAAGATGCAAAACCTGTAAAAATTGGTCCTAATGGTTCGTTAATTCTTATACCACCAGATAGTATACCATTAAATCAACGTCAATTAGCACGTCAAATGATATCACGTTATCATCAACATGTGAATGCAATTTCTATAAAACCTAATTCAAACATTCATTCTCCAACAAGTTCATTGTCATCAACATCATCATCATCATCATCATCTACATTATCTGTTCCTTCGAATACTTCATCTCTTGCTAATACAACAACTTCTACCACAACAGTGACATCCAATCTATCATGATTGTTGAATAGTTCTGTTTTAATTATAAATATTTATTTTAATACTTGAATTTTGTACACATTGATCAAGTAAATATCACATATTTACAGCTGTTACCTTCATAGTGGAGCATACGTCATCCACCACGTACTCTCCATCTTCATTCTATCTTAGGTATATTTATACATATGAATATCTATCATAATTACTATCTAGTCATGATCATCATTATTATCATTGTTACATCATGGTAATCTTGTTAAATATAATCCCAATAATTGTATTTACTCATCTTTTCATTGTTTAAATATTTCATTCTTACTCAATTCATTTCTATCTCTATATCTATGAATGTAATGTTTATTGTGAATTAATCTTTTATAATGAAACAAAAAAAAAAGAAGAAAATCATGTTTATTTTCTCTCTCTCTCTCTCTCTCTATTTTCTTCTTTTTTTTCTTCTTACAGCTAGCTGTTTATTGGCTTTTTTCTTTTTTTCTTTTTTCTTTTCTTAAAATGTATTTCTCTGATTGGTCAATTCTTTTGTAAACGATTATTCTTCTTTGTCATAAGATAAATACCCTCCCCCCTCCATACACACACACACACACCCACATAAATAAATAAATAAAGTTTACTCTCAATTATTTTTTTTTTATTGTTTATGATTGTTTTACCGGTTCATTTTGATGTTTATCCCAATTATGTTACCTTATCCTGTTTTCGTTTTTGTTTTGTTTTGATAGATTGATTGTTTATATATATATCTCTATCATCACTAATGAATATTGTATGCATTTATATTTAGAGTTAAGTTGAATGGAGTTTGTTTTGTATATATAAGAAAAAAAAAAGAGAGAGGGGGGAAGGAGAGAGAAAAAAAAGTAAAGTTCGTATCCATTTTTTTTGTATTGTGTAAAAAGAAAAGAGTCGTTTTTCTTTCTTTTGTGTATGTGTGTGTGTGTGTATGTTTTGTCATTTCAGTCTACCTTTGTTCTTCAATTTAAAAAAAATAATAATAATTTGTATAATTGTAAGTTTGTTGTTAGATGAAATATGTTATTTTTAGTTGATAAGTCATTTGTTCTATTCTTACATTTGATCTTGTATAGTATATATCAGTTATCATTAGAGTAGAGCGTTGAACAGATATGCATTGATCCAAGTTGCCATATCATATTAGTTTCGACCGTTGCTGCTACCTTGATGTGGTGGTCAGGCTTGCCTATTGTGATGAACCAATTGAGTTATATTGGCTGGAATAATCATTCCTCAAGGTCTTACCATGCCAGATAGGTCGGTTGAAAAGCGGTAAGAATAAAGACAGAAAACCCAAGGTCTGAGTGCAAAGTCGTACTGCTGACTGTACAGAGGTGTGACAGCAGTAAGGTGTTTCCTCCAGACAACAGCGATGCTGCCTTCCCACAAGGAAGGGTGGGGTTAGAAAAAGTCGACCCTAACAATACACACCTCGCCTTATCCCATGGATATCCGTCTCCGGTGGTACGGTCCCAACAAGGACGGAGCCAACACAAAAATTGCCTTTAAAAAGGTCGTGTGTGATCGAACTCAAGCAGTTGTCCCTTAGACACTGCGGTCACGTTTTCAGGTCATTAAGACCATTTCTAATCCAATTTTCTTTTCAGGTACCTTTACAAGAACCCTTCCACGGTGTGAGAAAACTGGAAGTGGTAAATGCCCCCATACCTATAACAGCACTCAAGCTCACTGTATTCATAATCAATCTCCTTCAATATATCAGTATTTCTTGTTGCAATCGATAAAAGGAATAGCAAATGTGATCGAAAGTATGTATTGGGAGCAATTATGGGGATTAATGAGCATTGTGAATATGTTTCGAAAAAAACAACCTGAAAATGTAACGACTGAATTCATCTTCACTATTAGAAACGATTCTGAACCATGTTACCTAGTATACTCTAATCACTGATTGTGGATTTCGCTCGGACTGTAACCAGGTAATCGTCATCTAAGAATATGGCTTAAATCATCGGTCAGTTACGCCATCCAGTTGTGAATTGTTCTAATCAGGACAGTCTTTTTTTTCTAACCTACTTCTACTCCAGCAAACTTAGCCTGTCGACGTTGACGATAGTTAACCAAATGTAATATACGTCTTAGTAACCTTGGTCAGTGAAAATTTACAGCTTCATCAACCAACTTTTTATGTTTGTACACTATCTTATGCTTAATCTCAACGTTATTTGTTCAGTCGTTCTTGGAACACATGCAACCGTTCGAAGACACCTATGATGAAAATTTTGATGCCTATGCTCGCCTCCCACTCTCAGAGATCATATTTCGCAGCCATAAAGGAGAAAAGAGCCTAGTTCTGTGTAGCATGTGCAGTCGCTTGATTTATCATGTGCTAAACTCACCAATCAGTGTTTTGACTATAACTTTTCTTTTTTCGCATCTACTATTCAGCCTATAGCCTGGCGTCCTAGATTTCGCAAATTACACTTTACGCCCTGTACGATTAGCCTTGAACCAGCGTAACCTACACTTTTGTTAATCACCTATCCTCAAGTTTCTCCTCTCTTTCGTGCCTTGAGTCTGATGAGAAGTTAGTTGGCAGCTTCTACCATATTTCGATCACAGTTGAGTTTACATACAATCATACTTGACCATATCGCACCGTAAAATAAAAAATCACAATTATGCACAAACAAGTCAAAGTGTCTATGATCAGAGCTGGTTGTAAATAATCAATTGGGAATAGTAAGCCGTTTAACAATAGTTAATTCTTTAAACGTAAGCTTGCAATAAACGGAATATAGAGACAGGAGTCCAATTGTTTAGTGACAATGCAAAAAGAATATGTATAGTAATAATCTATAAAATAATTCCATTAGCTACCATAGCTTCAATCTTTGTTCCGTTACATCAGTATGCACTGCTCTTAGTTGTCAGATAGATATCTCACCTACACGACAATTGACAGGGATTAACGAAGGCCAACTCTCTTTTTTGAATCTGTTCTGAGATATTGTCAAGGTTAGGGCTGGTAAGACTTCCAGGATAAGTAAAAGGGTCTTAATACTCAACTATTTCACTCTTAATCATTGGTACAAACCAGTCCTTAAGCAACAATGTACAGCTAGAAGGTAAGAAGCGCATCTTACTCATGCTTGGATTGTTGCTTAAGGCAAACAGAAGATTTACCATTCCTCAAAATCTTTACTAAAAAAGCATTATTATCTGCCTATCCCAAATCGAGAAGTGAGATTTCTGGTGTATGATCAATCCCTAAAAAATTAGGTGAAGAGTGTTATTTATAGTAGGATGTCTGTGACAATTCATTGGAAAGAAGGATATTTAACTGCACTGACGAGCTCCGTTTTTGGGTGATAGTTCTAATAACAGTTCATCATAACCTGTGAATCGAATGGTAGTGTTCGAGTAACAAATTTGTACAAAGCTTACTTTATTACTTTTTCCGTTAACGGTCATTACCATAAAACCTGACGGTCAATAGAGTTCAATATTGCTTTAAAGTCAAGAAATACAACTATAGTCGGGTTTCGGTGGGTATTCCTGTGTTCCATAAAGTGAAGAAGAGTGACAATAAGTTTTGTTAGGGAACACATGCAAGTCTGAAGTCAGCCAGATTCCTCCGGCTTCACTGTTATTGAACAGCTGATAAGCGTCAAATGATTATGGAGGCTAGCACTTCAGATACCATACTCATCAAAGTGATTCCCGTCTGGTTATCACAAGGGGATTTTAATCCTTTCTTGTAATTGTGAACTATCGAGACCATACAGATGGGTTAACATTTAACCCCTCAACTCTAGGTATTATTTCAGCTTAGCTATTAAAACTGGACCACGAGTTAATCTATCGATTCCTTCTGTCATTTCTTTGTTCAAATTAGACATCATAATCTACATTAATGAAATATTATTTTAATCCCCGGATCGATCCGTTTTATCAATGGGATTTGATATATGAGTGATAGAAAACAGTTGTTCCATAAATCAAGTTATTTTAGTGGCTTTAATTGATTTTTTGATTCGCAAACAAAATTTTCTAGAGGATCATTACATGTCAGAAAACATAAAAGTTGTTTCTTTGTAGCCTTACACTTCTCAGTAATTTTCATTTACGATTTCACAAAAGGATAGAAGGTAGGAACTGAAATTTATCACGGCGAGTATAGTATTTTGGCAATATCAAATCAGAATTGAATGATCTATACTTTCAATCAGTTTGTTATGCATTACATTTATCATCTACTATCATAGTTGAATTACTACACAGAATTTGGTTTCCTACGTTAAATTTCGAAAATCAATCTACAGGTTTATCCGTTACTCGTAATTAACACTATTCTAAGTTTTCCCTAGTGGTCTAGCTTCAATTGACTCACGTTTTTAACTATGAAAATACTAAATCTCCACAAAAACCCCTTCTGATACTTATTTGTTATAAGCTGCGAGTGTGCTTCGTATCGTTATAATCCTTCTTCCTGTAGAGTTGAAGATAACTTGTAGGATTATGTCAATAAATGTACCATTGACAATCCAATTGTTTACAAGTAGTGACAAGGTTATAATTATCTTGCCTTTCTGCGGCTCTTTAGATTAACTGTTGTCAAGATTCAGTCACAATATTTCATAGTTATTTGACATCAATTATATACATCGGCTGATATGAACTCCTGAATGATATGTACTACGTTTAGCAGCTAATATTCTATAGGAATTATGGGTCATTGTAAAACTTCCTTTCAAAGTTTTGGATTCACTTTTAACTTTATATATTTGTTATTTTTATTGACTAACTTCCATAAGAAAACGACAATCACAATGGCGCTTTTGAATGCCAATGCTGAGTTTCAACTATTATAAAGCTTTTGTTTTAATCTTAAGCACTGTCCATTAAAATTCTGTCATAGAGCTTATTCTTATTAAGTAGGTATCCTTACCAAGGTTTGACTTGACAATAAGAAAGGTATCTTGTGGAGATCGTAGTAATTTAATAGTTGGGTTTATGAGTCGATTAAAGCTAGACGACCATGGAAAACCTGGAAGCACTGGACGGCCATTTCGTTTTAGTATGGGATTCCTCAGCAGTGCGCATCCCATATTAGGACGAAACAGCTGTTAAGTACTTCCAGGTTTCCCATGGTAGTCTAGTTTTAATTGACTCATGAATTCAACTTTTAACTTTCAAATAAATTGAGTAGAGAGAGCAAAAGTAAATATTCAACACTTAAACTTAATTATTTGAGTAGGAGAACATTGATTTCAAAGCAATAGTACTAATAAGATCCAGGATTGTTTAAGAACGAATGAAATAAAAATATGACCTGGTCACTGGTTGTCAATGAAATTAAGTTTACCGATATCGCTCGATTGATTTATCAACGTTTCGAGGTTAATCTTTTAAACGTACCATCCTTTTATTAAAATTGAATGCTCTTACACTATCCCAACCTTTACATAATCATGGATATAGATAATGTCCTGACGAGAATTATGAATGGTAACTATTGGGATCTATTCATGATCTAATGCTATACATATATTTTTTCATTGTATAATTGCTAAGCAACTAAACTATGCATATTCATATGCCTCTTATTATAGGCTTTATTTTGATCCATAGACTATTATAATACGATTTAACATTCTTGAATTATGCCCAGTCTATTCATTACAGTCTCCAAAATTCAAAGTCATTTTTGGCTAGAACTTGTACACATGTTATTTCCTATTGTGTAGTGTGATGTGGTCTGTTTAACTTGTATATAAACCCAGTTTGTTTGAAATACATTATTCATCTCATGGAGGTTGAGACTGATGTTCTGGACTCAACTGGTAGGGTTATACAGGAAATAGGACCGATAAGGACTGTAGATTGCTCGTACGGTTTTTTACACGTGATTGATCTTGTTGATAAATCACTGTTCTCTATTTGGCACAATGCCGACAAGATATAATAATAATGAGTTATTTACTTCATTAATCAACCAAAACATATTTTTAATTGGTAAGCAGAGATGGATAGTGGTAAGCAGTGGAATCCAGGACGCGCGTTTCGTCCTTTTTGGGACTCGTCAGCTAGATGTACCTGCATCTCAGAGTTGATGTTCACCTTTCGCTTCAAACGCCATCGCGTTATCCACTCGACCACTGAGTCCTGATAGCCACTTGCTTGTGCGATGGGGTGAAGTTTAAATTCATTTAGTATTGCTTGTTTGAAACTTCCCATTGATGTGTTAGGACTGGAATTGGTCAGTCTCTAATTGGCATATGTGCATACATTTATAATTGCTTAACACCAATAAATCTCTTCTCACATTCATGATATACATAGACTTTACTTTGAGGTAAATAACAACAAGCTGTAAGTTACAAGTAATTCATTATAATAATAAGGATATAAAATAAAAAGGAAGCTTCATTGTTGAAGTGGAAAATAATTTGTCATTTACCAATGATAACCCAGAGACATTTTTTTATATTCATACCCCAAAAAGAGTTATTCTCCCAATAATGCCAAAAGTAACTTGCGAAAATCTCCTGATGTATCTTCTCGTACAGCTTCAATTAATGGTTTACCAAAATATTCACGATACATTGATTTCAATGTATTCATATCAACCTAATGAGAGAAAAAATTATGATATCAATATGTAAGAATAAATTATTGAATCTAGAAGACTGTGGTGTGTGCTACTGATGTCGATAGATATAAGTAGTATGTATCACTAATCAAAAGTGCAATCCCCTGTAGCAGAAGGTTGAGAAGATCAAAGAAAAGAGAATGAGAACAAAGAATAATTGATGTGGAAACGACGTAACAATGAAGTCTGAGACGATTGATTGACATTTTACAAATGAATTATTTACTATATAGTTCTCAGATTTCCCAGGACAGAGTGAGCTTGGAGAATGCTGGTCGTCAGTCTATGCTCCATTGAGTGTAACAAGCGTAAGGAAGTAAGTAAATTCTCAGATTTTACAAAGATATTCTGTTTTGTGTTCAAATATATTCCGTTGTACCTCACTGTTATTGTTGTTCACTACAGTCGTACATTCTTTAAACTGTTTGGATCTAGTTTATCTTGTTGTATTGTTTAATTAAGTGTATAGTCGTTACTTTCTCCAGCATACTGATAGCTTTGTTATAACTAATTATCGTTCGGATAACCGTTGAATTATCTATTTTGTTATATCTTGGGAAATTTAACCTAAAACATTTAATAGTTGCATATATCAACTATTTACAACCTTAGTTTTCTTCTAATCTACTTCTAATCCAGCAAACTTAGCTACCATCAAAGTTGACGATAGTTAACCAAATATAGTATACGTCTTAGCCACCTCGGTTAGTGGGAAAAAAACTGGAAATGTAAAGAGTGAATGTATCTTCTCTTTTATGAACAATTCTGAACCATCTTACATAGTATCTCTAACCACTGATTGTGGACTTCGCTAGTACTCTAACCAAGTTGTCCGCATCTAAGAATATGGCTTAAACCATCGGTTAGTTACCCCATGAAGTTATGGATTGTTCTGACCAGCATAGCCTTATTTTTCTTCTAACCTACTTCTACTCCAGCAAACTTGGAGCCCATCGAACTTGGCGATAGTTAACCAAATATAGTATAAGTCTCAGCCACCTCAGTTAGTGGAAATTTACAACTTTGTCAACATCAACTTTTCATGTTTGTCTACTAACTTACCAAATTTAATCAAAAAAACATTTAGCAGTTACATATATCAACTATATACATACCTCGCATCGTAAACATGTTATTCGTATCAATGTATCCTCTCGTGTTCCAAGTCCATACATACTATCATACAATTGACAAACTAATAACAGACGTAAATCCACCAATGCCATAACTATTTTAAATAAGAAAAACAAACATTGTAGATTTAATATACAAAACACATAATTTTCATAGTTGAAATCATGAGTCAATCGAAGCTAGACCACTATGGAAAACCTGGAAGCACTGAACAGCTGTTTCGTCCTATTGTGGGACTCCTCAGTGGCAGTGCGCATCCACGATCCGGCACTCGCGTGATTCGAACCTAGAACCTACCAGTCTCACGCGAGAGCACTTAACCGATAGACCACTATGAAAATACTAAATTATCCACAAAACCCCTTCTGATCTAAAAACAGATAATGACATTGAATTACATTGAAATTTTATGTGTTGAGAATTGCTAAACTTTGGGCTGTTTCAAAATTAGTTTCAATTGAATTTAGCACCTTACTAGTGTCGTCAACTACTCATGGATTAAAAAAGGTACAATTGTAAAATGATTATTTCATAGTTATTCAGCGGACTGTGGTTATTACTTTGTGGTGTGTGCTACTGATGTCGATAGGTATATGTAATATGTATCATCAATCGAAAGTGGAATGCTTAACAGCAGAAGATTAAGAAAATCGAAGAAAAGAGAACGAGAACAGAGAATGATTGATGTGAAAACGAAGGAACAATGAAGTCTGAGACGATTGATGGATACTTTTCAAATGATCACAATTGTTTGATCACTGGGTGGTGATCAATGTCATGCGTGTCATTAGTCAAGGTGGCTTGACACTGCGTGCACTATGTTGAGATAAGATGGTGTTTGGAAATGGTCAACAGTAAACCCTGGACCTAGGTTTCGTGCTACTTGGTATTCGTCAGCAAGGTGCACCTGTAATCTTGAGGGAACTGGTACTCCCTGACAGATTCGATACCGTGTCACTCAGCTTCACACTCAGAGACGTTACCACTGAGCTATTGTGGCCGCGACCGACCTCCTGTAGGACTGAGGATTTCCTATCCAATAATCAGACACAGACCTAGCTTACCTACTTTTTCGTTTTGCTAATGAATCACTCTCTTACTTCTTTTAATAGTTTGTGACAGGATTTCATTCTCAACATTAATTATTCGTTTGTTATTGAATAAGTCATACTATTTCAATTGAATGTTTCTAGAGAAATGGCAGTTGTTATTGATATTTAGTCATCTAGTTGGTTAATTCCTTTTCTTATAAAGTACGTTCAGTAGTGATTCCAAGAATACCTAATCAGTTCTACCATTTGTGTGACTGTTGTATTTTGTCACTTGACTGATCAGTCATAACAGATCTTTGGCTTTGCATGATTATCACGATAAGAATCATCAGGGTACATTATTTTATGTTACAGAAGTCTATGAACAGGTCTAGCTCAAATCCTATCTTACGAATCTGTGCTTTAACTAAATGAGATTGGTAAGTCCTGGGTTCGAATCTCGCGAGTCGGGATTGTAGATGTTCACTGCTACTAAGGAGTGCTACAATAAGACGAAATGGCCTTCCAGTGCTTCCAGGTTTTTCATGGCGGTCTAGCTTCAACTGACTCACAATTCCAACTATATATATATATATATATATATATATATATATATATATATATATATATATAAATGATAATTTGTTTAGCATGAATCTCAGGCTATCAATCTATAAATGTATTAGAATGAATAAAAAGGATCATATTCATTTCAGATTATATAACTCTTCACAACATTACGAAATGGTTAACCTTTCGTAAGATTTTGGTGAATCTCGATAAAGTTCACTAACTGTTCACGTGACAAATAGTCGATATGATAAAAATTTTAAGGACTGAATACATGTTATCCTTACTTGGTATCCGATATCAATGTATTACAAATTCAATATAGATATATTATCTACCAGACAAACAGCCTTTTAAAGTGAAATACAATTCAACTTTCTCTATATGAAATAAATCTAACTGTCAGAAAGTATTTTGTTTGTCTTATAATAAGAAAACATCCTGGTACGGCAGGGAATGGATGAAGTCAGCTCTCCCTCTCGAAAACGTGCATACATAATCTGCTAGAGGAGTACTACTCATTGTCTTCTCACCATAGGGGGTGTTGTTTAACGAATTGAATGGACAAAAAGCAAATATCCGGTCCTTTTACCCGGGTTACTGGTAAGGAGGATATACCTAGAAGAGCTACAAAACCTCAACTCCGAAACGATGGTGCACATGGGCTCCAGGATCCTGATGGAACAAATGGAGTATGAACCAATTGCTGGTCACTTGCTATTATGGGACCAAATATCCTTACGTTACTCCATTCTCTTATGGATTAGACCTCTAGGTCAAAGGCTCCTGGTTTGGCCATCTAAGAAGATCACCTGTTTCGGTTCAGGCACCCGGGTAGTATGTCAGCCCTGACACAAATCGAATGATGAAGTGTAATCCCTCCTTGTACCAATGTTTATGGGTTTAAATGAATAAATACATTCATATATAGTAAATGTTCACTTACTCATTGTATTTAACCCTGATCTAAATGGTTCTGAGAATTTTTTCGATATAACTTCAACTATTGTATTATGATATTTCTACAAAAACAGAATAAAAATTACATATGTAGTATGATTTCTTTTGTTAAAGGTGAATATCAAATTATCCCTTATTTGATTTTTCAATGTTTTTCTTAGACTATTTCGGTCGCTCTTATAGTAACTACCGCAACCACCATCAAAAACATAGAAGTATTTATAAACCGGTATCTATGCAAGATACTCAATATCCGTTGACTGGTTACTATCAGCAACAGCCTATTTTGGGAGAGGAAAAACCAACTTCGAACTGAAGAGGAAATTAGGTAAAGACATTAGAAGTGGTCTGGATATACATCACGGAAATCGCCAAACTGCATCATGAGGCAAGCGCTAACTAGGAATCATAAAGGAAAAGGGTATTCTCAGCATAAAGTATTTCAACAAGTTTCCTTTTCTTATTTCTTCATCGACCTTTGCGATAAATATTGATTGGTCGCCAGTAAGATGTTAACAGTTTAGGATTTGATATCTGATTAATGTATATTCTTTTCGATGCAAATTACCAGCGACCACAATGTCTCTGATTGGGATCTTTTGTAACTTGTATAGCGAAATGTTGTAAACCAATGAGAGTAATAGGCATAGTCATGTTGTAAAAGAAACAAGCAAAAAACATGACTTGTTGGAATGTCAAGATGGCAGGAACAAGTAGCATATGTGTTTGAGAAGGCAGCCTGGTATCTAATTATTTCATACACAATATCATTATCAATCTAAATCATATCTATGTCTACAATTGAGGGTAATGGAAATTAGAATCCGGTTTCTCTAACAGAAACATTTCGTATAGCTTAAATGATAATATCTCTAATATTGTATAAATTTTGATCCTGTAAAACGACCTAGAAATCATTCCAAATTACGTAGTTAGTTTACTGAGAATTTTAATAGTTGAATTCATGATTCAATCAAAGCTAGATCTCTATTGAAAACCTGGAGGCACGGAACGACCATTTCGTCCTAGCATGGGACTCCTCAGCTGTGCGCATCTACAATCCCGCTCTCTGGATTTGAACTTCGAACCTATCAGTATCGCGTACTTCCAGGTTTTCCATGTTGGTCTAGATTTAATTGACTTATAAATTCAACTATTCTATTATTATAATATCCACAAAACACATTTTTGATTATTGAGTTTTGTTGAAAGATAAAATATAATTGTAAATACCTTTCTGTAAGATACTCAGTAAATTTTTTTCGTTTTAAAATGAAATAATTAACAGCAAGTGGCTGTCAGGAATCAGTGGCCGAGTAGATAACGCGATGGCGTTTAAAGTGAAAGGTACTGGGTTCGAGTCCCAGAGTGAACATCAACTCTGAGACGCAGGTACATCCAACTGACGAGTCCCAAATAAGACGAAATGAGAGTCCTGGATTCCACTGCTAGCCACTATCAATCTCTGCATATCAATTAACATTATAGTTTTATTGAAGGTACTAGAAACAGCTGCTCTCTCATCATTTAAAGTCGAAATATGAAATCATAGAGTTAACTGTCACTGCTTACAAGAAATAGGCTTCCTACTGACTTTCACATTCAACTAGGAATATTCTATTTAAAAAGGTGTTACTGACCTAAAAACAATTAAACAATCCTTGTAGACTATACATATGCATTTCTCTCGTTTTGGGATTCGTAGAAATGTATTTCCACAACTTCTTCATCCAGTAACCATGTTGTCTGTAAATTACTGAATGTAAATTCAGTGATTATTATTGTTAACATTATTTGATTTATGAAAGTTTATGACCATGATTAAGTTCACAAAGTATGTGTGTGACTATAAATATTGATTAAAACTTGAGTAAATTAAGTTGGCCTACATGCCTTTTTCACTGGCGTCATTTCGTTTCACTTCATTCTCACTCTTCTTCTCTTCCTTTATTACATCTCTCTGATTGTCTGTTCCTATCAACAATTGTACAAAATATACCTATTCAAAATTCATTCTCATATTCAACTTATTTTTTTAATTCTGTTATATACACTAAAGCGGATTAAATCAATGATTATATACAAGGATAACAGATATGTATATTTCAATAACAATCCACTTAAAGTCAGATATCCCTTCCATATATAATAGTGAAGCATAGTAGGCCCTTCTGGAGAAGAGTGCTACATCGAAGCATGGCACAACTACCGGGGCGGGATAGCTATTTCTGCACTGCTTACGTAGAATCATTACATAACTCTCACAACTAATTTTTTCGCCTTTTGTTTGGGCAGACTCATTTTAATGTTACCACTCTTTTGAACCCTCAGTAATTATGCAATGATTCTATGTAGCCTTTGTAATCGTTCTCTGGTATTGGTAGAGGGGTTGATTAGACCGATCTCCACCACCCGAGTCACCGCTCATGTTAGCTCATGGAGACAGTCTCATAGAGTCACATATCACGTTAACAAAAATCATATTATGTAATGATTATCTTTATTTTGTCAGTCAGTCAGCTACAACGTAGGACCAGGCACATATATGCACCAGTCCAAGATGCCATACCTCATAAGCACGACAAGATGAACACCGAATTCATAGAAGTAGTTACTTCAATGGTAGTAATATATAAAGGAAAGATTTTATATAAGGATATAGTACAGGGAGAAAGGCAGATATGAAGCAATTTCAATCTCAAAGTTCTTACTTACTGCTAAATATAGATCCCATATTTCTTTTACATGATATTTACTTCGTTTTGTTAGAATTTTTATGAATGTATCAGAATCCCCTTTACCTGCACGTCTATATCATACACACATACATAAACAAAAGAAAATAGTAATAATTGATAAGTGAATATACTACATAATGTAGTAAATAGGGTCTATTCTAACAACCAGAGCAATAATTTTTATAGGTACATGGAACGTCCGGACAATGTGGGAGACTGGAAGAGTCTTCCAAATTGCTGCTGCAGAATTCTAATTGAACAGAAAGAATTGATTGATTGTAGGTAATGTTTGTTACTAAGTGAAATCAGTTGGAGAGCTGTTGTAATAGAACTGAGCTGCGTATTGTCTTGACAGTACCTTTTCCTAATCACGAAGTGAGGTTTTTACTAACTCTTTGGCCAAGGTGTCTGGTAGTTTATCCAACAGAGATTTTTTCATAAGCGCAACTGAATTCGTAGATACATATAGAAGTGGAATAACCACATGACTTATCTTTTAGTTGAGGAATTACCATAGATTGAAGTCTAATGATTCATAGATTGAAATTCTGTCAGTTTGCAGTGGAATCCATGACGCGCGTTTACTGCTATTTGGAACTTTTTCAGCTAGATGTAACCGCATCTCAAAGTTGATGTCCACCCTGGGACTCGAATCCAATACCTTTCGCTTCAAACGTCATCGCGTTATCCACTCGGCTACTGAGTCCCGAAAGCCATTTGCTTGTGCGATGGAGTGAAGTAGAAATTCACTTGATATTGTTTCCTTGAATGTTCCCATTGATGTTTAACACTGCAATTGATCAGTGTGTTATTGACATATGTGCATACTGTGCGAATTGCCTCGATATTGCCTTAAGTCAGAAGAATTCTAAGCAAAGATGTATAGTGGCTAGCAGTTGAATCCCTATAATCACTTATAATTTATTAGTTGATTCTTGATTTATTTGGCGTGATCGATTTTGGCTCAACACTAGTGAGTTGTTAAATATATTCGTGATGGATTTTCTGTGCTAATGTCAGTCTCTAATTAAATTTATCGTCGCATTGTGCGAATCTTATCCGAAACCACCTCAGTAACTTAAAATAAGTAGGAACAGAAATGATTATAAGAGAATAGATTATTAAGTCAGTGTTAATTAGCCACACCTATTTTGTTCTGCGCCGGAAATTGGAACCAGATATCAAAAGTATGAATGGCAACTGGAAAAAACTCAAAGTGATTGTGTGGGACGGAGTTCGATGGAGGATGCCGGTGGGCAGCCTATGCTCCTCCACGAGGGATAAAAAGCATAACAAAGTAATTATTTTGTTTAGATCAAAGTGATTAAAATAACAGATCAACCTTCGTCTTGTCTCACATACTCAGTGTTCCAATAAATACTGGCAACTAACGCGATTCATATTTTGCTTTCGATTTCAGTCATGAATATAATTTGAAATAATAATCTTTCGAATTACATAGGCAGCATCAGTCTCCTCAGGAATACATGTACGTTTTATTGAAACGTATCGATTGTCCCGAAACCTAGGTCTAGGATTTCCTATCTATTACCTTCACTCATCTTAAATCTCTTTGACCTTTTTAGTCGTGTATACCAGTAAACGATGTTCAGTCAATCTTCTACTATTAAAATCAAATCAAATATTGACTAGTTATTATGAGTAGACTTACTTTTCTCCAGCATAATATAAATCTTCAACATCTTTATCAACTTGACTTCGACTAACTAATCTTGATGTACTTCTAGTTCTTATAGCTTCTTCTACTAATTCTGGTGGATCTTCATCACGTCTTGCTTGTAATAATGCTACTAATAATTGTTCATATGGAGGTTTTGTTTCTTTTATTATATCACTTTCAAGTGTACGCTGTGAAGCTTCTACGTAAAAATAGTAAATGTAATGATTTATTCAATGGTTCACTGTGAGTTAATGTCATCTATATGTTTTGTTAAATATTTGGTTAATATTAGAAGGGTTTTTTGTGGATATTATAGTAATTTTATTAGTTTAGATCATGAGTCAATTGTAGCTAGACCACCATGGAGAACCTGGAAGCACTGGACGACCGTTTCGTCCTATTGTTGGGACTCCTCAGTGGGAGTGCGCATCCACGATCCCACCTTGCAAGATTCGAACTCAGGACTTATCAATCTCCCGCGTGAGCGTTTAACTTCTAGACCATTGAGTCGTCATCCAATGGTGTTAAGGTCTAAATTCAACCGATCCATTCTATCGTTCTTCTGAACGATATCATCAGAAAGAAGCTTCAAGTAGAAGTGTTTTATTCGAATTTCGCCATATATGACTCAGCTTATCCTGTGGACTTTGATCATGATTGGTTATTGTTGGCCATTAAACTGTCATTGTCTTTGAAATAGGACAATTTTCTAGTTAAGTTAAAATAACTTATTGGAATTCTAATTTGTTGGATGAGAAATCTAGCTTCTAAATGTAACCTCTAACATTAAAGGTTGAATTCACCGTCTCACAATTTATTACACTATTTCTTAGTTTTGAGTCAGATCCATTGGTGAAACTGTTAGAACATAAAGGTTCCTCAAGTTTCAAACTCCAAAAAAAAAATTGATTGTGGTTTCAGAAAACATAAGATGAGACTAAGCTTAAATTAAGAATGATACTCAGTGTTGATACTGGATAATAAGCACATCCTGACACGTAAACAAAAAGATGAAACTCAGTGGTTTATAGACAATATAATGATTACAATGAACGAATGAGTAATTCCTCATAACTTATTGAGGTTAAATTTACAGGAATTCATGATAATTATCTTAAAGGAGTGTTGTAGAGAAAGTAGTAATTTAATAGTTGAGTTCCTGAATTAATTGAATCTAGACCACCATTGAAAACGTAGAGGCATTGGATAGCCGTTTTGTCCCAGTATGTGACTCCTCAGCAGGTATTTCTAATTCTGGAGTTTTAGTGAGAAACCGTTAGCAGTGGAGTTCAACCAGATCTGTTGTGAGACAGTAAGTCACTAAAGATAATGATGGACGATCGCTCTATCTCTTGGATTGGTTGAGACGCGATAAGTGGTAGAGGGCTCCATACTAGGATGAAACGGCCGTCCAATGCTTCCCGGTTTTCCATGATGATCTAGCTTCAACTGACCATGATTTCAACCACTGAAATTTAATAATTTTCCATTAACTACTTATAAACAATATAACGGTAATATGAAAAAATATTTTAGAAATAAATATTAAAAATCCTTACTTTTTGGCTCTTCTTCTTGAAGGACTATATAAATAGAAGTATTAGGTACATATTTATAATAATGAGTTATTATCAGTTATTTAACTAACAGATTTCTTAAATGGTCAATAGTACAATGAACTATGGATTACGCAAATAACAAAGTTACATTTTGTTCATTAATTCTTATTATTTATGTGAAGCATTGATATATAGGGGCACAGGATACATATATACCACACAAGTCACGTGATTTATGTGTCGGATATGATACTGCCAAGGTTTCCAAACTGAATCAGGCAGTTTTCTTAGGTGGCCGCAACTCGAGTCTTCGACGTAAAGGTTTGATCCACAAGGCAATGGAGCATCGTGAGGAGATGCAGTCCCATGGTAGCCGGTGACTAACACTAGGTTCATACGCCATTCGTTCCATCAGGATCCTGGAGCTCATGTACACCATTAGTTTGGAATTATGGTTTTCCAACTCCCCTTAGTGGACTCTCCGTTTCCAATAACCCGGTTGAAGCACCGGATGTTCGCTTTTCGTCCTCTTAATTTCTTGAATAACAGTAATGCTACGAGAATGCAGTGAGTAGGACTTCCCTAGTAGTGGTTGTATGCGCGTGGTCATTTAAGAGCATTTTAAAAGTAAGAGCTGACTCTCCTTACTCTCGGCCATACTAGTGCATTTGGGGGCATAGAAAGAATGTCACTGTCAGGATTCAGGTATTATGTAATTTATTATGTAATTAGTCACAATATCTATGATAAAAGTATACTTCATTGGAATGGATTTGATCGCTTTATTCCCTTTAATCTCTTTGAACGTCTATAGGTGAATAAATTCTTGTTTTTTTTTGTTAACTGTATCATTAATACCATTGGCATTTTGACGACTTTTCAGAAGATTATGTAACATTTTAAATGACATTACCTGTATCAAATGTATATGACATACATAGAAACCAATGTTTTCTTCGACTTTAACGAGAGCTCATCAGATATCATAAGAATAATCTAAATGTTGATAAGTCAAGTGAATCTAAAGGGATCACAATTATGTGAACGTGATTGAATTTATTCAAATGTTATTAGACATGATCACTAACAACATTTCAGACCATATTTAACATGGTTAATGTTCATTAGACATAGAATTGAATCATTAATATTTTGAAATGAAGCCACCACCACCCCCCCCTTTACGTAAATGGGTTAGATAACCATTAGATAACTGAAAAGTGACTGAATAATATTGTTGACTAAAAGATATTGAACTTAAGTGTTCATATATTCTACGAAGAATCAAAGATTGATGGTAGTGTATTTACTGTTTCAGTTACAGTCTAAATAGACTTAGAAAGTATTAAGCGGTTCAAGGTAGTCGACAGGATACCATGGACTTAGGTTTTGAGCTATTCACCACTCGCCAGTAAAGTATATTAGCAACATTAAGATAACTGATGTAATATGCGGTAGTAGATATACTTTACTAACTTGTTCCAAGTAGCGAAATATCTAAGTTCAAGGTTTATAGCCGACGTCCTTGAAACATCTGAAATCAAATGATATTGTATACTATTTTGAGTCATTTTACTAGTGGCCTAACTATAACTCGACCGACGGGATTCCGTTTGCCGCAAAAGACTAGATAAACATTACAGTATCCACAATTCAATGGTTAGACAACTGCGGATCGGGGAATCAAACTTTTAATAAATACACACCATCAAACGTTTCATCATCCACTCAAGCTAGTTACCATGGTGAAGGTGTGTTTACTGACACAGTTATCGCGATGATATATACAAACTATTATGAACTTTAATAGGTGACTCATGGAAGATTTTCATTTCTATATGGTCACCATAAGAACTGGGTTATGTGTGTACGTTTTCAATGGTTTCTGAACCAAGATAAAAAAGCGACTCTTCAGCTTTGATTTCCAACGATTCTTCAGTGATCTGCACCAATATAAACCATTGTATCCTATGCATCCGGTTTATTGAGAAAGCACCTATACTCTTGAACAGTTTGGTTTTCAAGTTAAAGAACAAAAGTATGTTGCTTGTTCAATATACATTAAAACAACAAATCTTATCAGTTTTTAATATGAATATATTTCTGTTAAGTTCACAGTTATATAATATACCCCTATGGGTCAGAGTAATTTCCTACTGGTTTTCAGAAGAACCAGATACCATCCAAACTTTCACTTGACAACTCAAACAGTACAGTTCAATCCCATTTTACAGGAGAGCCAGACACTGCCTAGGCTTAATCTGAGCAGTACAGCTCAATCCCGCCCCATAGGAGAACCAGGCACTATATGGGCATCAACGCTACAATCCGAACAATACAGCTCTATTCTGTGGCGCGACCACACAGGTACCAAGCACACTGATGGACCAATTTCTGTTAAGTTATGTATTTAAAATATGAAAATCTACATTTTCCATTGAGGATTAACTACTGTTTAATGTTATCATTGGATGATTCTAGTGATAAAATTTGCATATGTAAACTTTAAAGAAGAATTCATCATGGAATAAGTTCGTAATAGGCAGTATATAGTTATTTACTTGTATACTTTCTGAATAATGTCAACTTGATGAATGTTTCTTTCTTAGTAATGAATATCAACTAGTACATTTGCAAGAGTTAAAAACTATATAGTAAAGATTACTTAAGAACATTTGATATCATGGTGGTGAGTACTACTGATGTCGATAGATATAAGAAGTATATATCTCATCAATCGTAAGTGAAATGCCTGGTAGCTGAAGGTTAGGGTGATCGAAGAGAAGAAAATGAGCACAGAGAATGATTTATGTGAAAACGAAGGAACAATTAAGTCTGAGACAAATACATCCAGTTATCCCCTCTTGTGTGTTCACATTCATATTATCATTTCAATCAATAAACAAACAATAAAATTCCTTTAGGATTACCTTCTTGATATGCTTGTTTCAACATAATAATTTCATGATTATTACAACAACAAATGATCTCATTAACAATATCTGGTTTCTTTAATCCTTTATATAAATCATGAGCTAATATTTGTATACTTCCACGAAATAAAGTTTTGATAAGACTTTCATAATCACCTTTTGTTGAACTACATAATACATGAACTAAATCCTTGAAGAGAACAAAACAAAAGAGATGATACATATATCGGATTCATTAGTGATAAACAGTGAAAGAAACTAAGTATTGTTGATTTGAATCTTCCCATTCATGTTTAGGACTGCAGCTGACGAGTTTCAAGTAGGACGAAACGCGCGTCCTGAGTTCCACTGCTAGCCATTATCCACTTTTACTGAAAAAAACTTGTTTATCTTGAAATAAGAACTCTCGGTATATGTAATTTCTGTAAGATTAAGAACGATGCTTTTAGGCCTTTGTAAGCAAAGATGGATAGTGGCTAGCAGTGAAATCCAGTTTGCGCGTGTTTCGTACTATTTGGGACTCGTCAACTGGATATACCTGCATCTTACATGTGATATTCACTCTGGGACTCGATTCCAGTACCTTTCGCTTCAAACTGAGACTGCCAGTTGCAGTCTTAAACATCAATGATAAGATTCAAACAAACAATACTAATTGAATCTTTTTGACTACTGTTTTATTTTGACTCATCTGTGTGATATTCCAATATGTAATTCATGTTGTAAATTGTTTTTATGTAACTCTGAAGGAGGGTTTTATGGAGATTTTAGTAATTTTATATGGTTGAAATCATGAATCAATTGAAGTTAGACCATCGTAGAAAATCTGGAAGCACTAGACGGCCGTTTCATCCTATTGTGGGATTCCTCAGCAGTGCACATCCACGATCCTGCCTTTCAAGATTGTAAACCAGGACCTATCTGTTTCACACTCGATCGCTTGACTTCTAGACCAATGAGTCGGCATCCAACGGTGTTAATGTCAGTAGTTTTGTCTAACTATTGAAAATGTACTCTTTCTTCTGACAACTCATATGATTTCCTAACCTTAACATTATTCTGCTTCAGTCTAAGCACCCAGGAAATATAATAGCCCACACATAAATCAAGTGACTTGTGTGGCGTATATACATTTGGTGCATGTACATTATTGTGCTAGATTCCTTGAAATTATTCTAAACATCTAATGTAAAGGTATTGTTAATACTTGGAATAAAGTCTTTATCATTGTTTATGAATTACGATTTAATGACAGAAAAGATAATGTATACAGGAAATACAGTCCTAGGATTTATCATTATCTTTACATTGTTATTGGATTAGAAACATGGTAGTTAGCAAAAAGTATTTTCTGAGATGTTGGAGATTTGTAGCTTAGCTACCTGAAGTTTGTGAGATTGGTGTCTTTCAGAAGAAAGATAGAAGCTCCACAACGAAGCCGTCCACCTCAGAGAATGAAACTCCATCGAAAAAGTAATTTCTTTGACTTATATTAAGAGTTTTTATATAGTTGAGATCAGTAGTCATTTGAAGCTAGACCACCATGGAAAACCTGGAACCACTAGATGGCCGCATCCACGACCCGCCTCGCGAGATTCGAACCCAGGACCTACCAGTCTCGCCCCAGAGCATTTAACCTCTAGACCACTAAGCCGGCATCCAGCAGTGTTAATGTATAACTTCAACCAATCCACGAAGTTGCACGACCAACTTCCATTGTACTCAGGTAGATACCTGTCTCTACCTGACATGCATTAGCTCCACTGATCACTACTTCTTACTAGAACTCCAAGAATTACCTCATGGAGCCTGTCACTTGTGAGCATATTGATTATATTAAGAGTAACTGTGAAGTTTAAGTAAGACATATTTACATACATCAAGATTTAGGACGAAATTTTCTGATTCTGACTATCAATAGACTAGTACAGCGTGAACGTGCTTGTCATGTCATAGAATAGAAAGATCAATCCTTTGCAACTATTTACTCAGTATTATGATAAAAGTTGAAATGACAGATTAAACACTTACCTTTTTATATCGTCTATGAAACGTTTCTCTTATTTGATAACGTTGTTGTAGATTTCTGTGTCCTAAAATTTTAGTAATGGTTTCTTCATCAGTAGCTAAATTATAGAATAAATGTGTAAATATACATACATAGTTACTAACCAAAGCGATTAAACTTTTCAAGTAAACAATTATATCCAATGTAATTTGAAGTATTATTGTTTAAGATAGATGAGTAAGTGTGGTGTGGGTCTTCTTATACCTCCATAAGTAGTATATGGGTGATGGTCAGACATAGAATGTATTTTGGCAGAAGATCGATAAGGAACGAACAGAAATGAAGCGCAATCGGTACAATAATGGATGAACAATAATAATCAGAGAAGATGGATTGATATATACATAAGGAATAGTGAAGATTGAGACAATTAATTATTATTGTACAAATTAACTGTTTACTGTATGGATATCAGATTTTAGTGAGATAGTCTGTAATTTGTGCTTAAATACATTTGATTGTCCCCACTCATCTTCTTGTTCACTACATAATGAGTGATTTACAATCGATTTGTTAATCTGTTAGTTGGTTTGAGTAATCTTTTGCATACTGACCATGATGAATTCATTGTTCAAATGATAGTCTTAGGTAAGAGGTATATTAATGGCGAAGATTTATAGATTAAGTATAAAAAGATAGGTATATATTAGTGGTTCTCCTTTAACTGTGATTGTTTGAAGTTAGACATTAACACCGTTGGACGCCGATTCACTTGACCTAAAAATTAAGGGTTCATACGCGAAACCGATAGATTATGGGTTCGAATCCTGCGTGACTGGATCGTGGATGCGCACTGTTGAAATCAGTAATGATGTTTACGGTGTTCTCGATCACAAATGTGACAAGATGAGAGTTGATGTTATTGTCAAAACTTTGAAACCATCTTGATCATTAATGGAATTTGTTTTTTTTTTAATTCAAGTTTATCTTTGTTCATTTACTCACATATTTATGTCAATATTTTTATCTTTTATACTAGAACTAAAACAATTGATTTCTATTGCTTACACCAGAATAGATCCAAAAAACAACTCACATATAATAATTCAATGAGCAAACATAGTGGCTGGAAGTGGAATCCAGGACGCGTGTTTCGTCCTATTCAATGATACTTTATTTGTTATTTGATCAATAATAATAAGCACATCATCATCGGAAAGAAAAAAAATGTAGTTTACAAATACAATAATGTTGGTAAACTTACATAATCCTTTACAAGCATTATGTAATTGTTCTGCATCATTTTCAGCGCTAATACGATCAGGAAATGTAATACTTGGTCCAGTTTGATGACTTATCCTAAAAATAAATCAATATTCAACTTAATCTCTATTTAAGGAAGTCCCAATTCTTGATTAATGATAAGTAACAACTCTGGTTATAAAGATAACTCAATTTCTTTTTTAAGGAAAGATACCAGAACGATGCAATTTACCTCTGATAATTCCAAGTTAAATGTCATACATTGGTTATCAGTTGGTCAGTTAAACGTAATATAAAACCAGAAGTATACTTGAATCAGTTCAAGTGGTTACATGCCGTTGGCATAATGAGATTGAAGTTGTTAAAACAAATCACAATGTAGTAAAAGTAGTAGCAATATTAGTAACTGTAGGGCCAGTGAAATGTCACTGTACCCTAGCCAAATCATCCGGCAGTTGGGTCACTGAATATCGAACAGATCATCGATCCACGTCAAAGTCAACGACAGTCAACGTGCATCAGTTAATCATACGCCATGAACTGGCCCATTCAGCAGTGATTCTACTTTCGCTTGCAACTACTTTAACTAATATATTCCTGTAATGACCTCCTTTGTGTTGTACAGTCTTCAGAGCATCCATGGTTTTTTGATGGGTGGATGGGCCAATCCACGTAAAGTGCTGATCGTGAGGTGTGACTTTGAAGTTAGCTTGTTCGTTACACCGTTCCCCTCTAATTTGAGTAGGCCTCCAATCATTCGACATAGATCATCAATGTTGATGGTCTACATAACCATTGGTTACGATAATCATAAGGAATTCAACTAGGTAGTCTACATTTACCTACAAGAATGGATTCTTAAGGCAGATTTATCATCTGGATATCACAACTAAACTTCCTAGGTAACCTGTTTTCCTACATTAAGCGGTTAAGCGCTCTGGCGCGAGACTAGTATGTCCTGGATTCGAATCTCGTGAGTGCGGGATCGTGGATGCACACTGCTGAGGAGTCCCACAATAAGAAGAAACTGCCGTCCAGTGCTTCCAGGTTTCCCCTGGTAGTCTAGCTTCAATTGACTCATGATTTCAACTTTGACACTACATTAAGTTTGATTGAAATTTTTTAATTTAAACTTGAAACTTTATTTGAATCATTTTCTCACCATTCTAAGGCATGTTCGTATCATATTTTAATCAACTACATGTTATCTATAATTATAATTTAAATCTCAAAATTTCGCACATTGTGACAGAAGTGAGGTGTGTGTTACTGATGTCGATAGATACAAGTAGTATGTGTCATCAATGAAAAGTGAAATGCCTGATGACAGAAGGTCAAGAGGATCGAAGGAAAGAGGATGCGAACAGAGAATGATTGGCGTGGAAACGAAGACACAATGAAGTCTGAGACAACTGATTTACACTTTGTGTTATCGTTCACCATAGTAGCTAATGAGAATTTATATTATTCCGTTCAAATGCTTATTATCGTTTCACCTCAATTATCTGTATGGAATTTCTATAAAATTCGTTATGATTTAGTTATCCAAATTAGTAATGAATTGAGATAAGATGGTGATTCGAGGTAGTCAACAGAAAACCCTGGACCTGGCATACATGACATTGATCATCACCCAGTGACCAGTCAATTGTAAATACATCTCAGCACAATAGGAGGTCAGTCGCAGCCCAGATAGCTCAGTGGTAACATCTCTGATTGTGAAGGTGGGTGACACGTGATCGAGTCCATCAGGGAGCATCAGTTCCATCAAGATTACAGGTACACCTTGCTGATGGGTGCCAAGTAGCACGAAACCTAAGTTCAAGGTTTCCTGTTAACTACCTCCAATCACCATCTTATCCCAATCTAGTACACTCAATGTCGAGTCACCTAGACTGGTGACCACATTGCAACTTGATCGATAGGATTCGATCTGCACCAAGAAGGACCTGACACACATGACATTGATCACCACCTAGTGATCAGTCAATTGTAAATTAATTGAGAACATTTAACAATCCAGAAAATTTACTTAACACATCATGATTGCAATATATCTCTATGAGAACCTGTAATATCAACTAATACTCTTGTAACAAAGGGTTTTTGTGGAGGAGTCCCACATTAGGATGAAACGATCATCTAGTGCTTCCAAGTTTTCCATGGTGACCTAGTTTCAATTGACTTATGATCTCAACTATCAAAGTATTCGATATTCTGTATATTTCTCTTAAAAAGGGGCCGCATTCCTTGATGAAAGTTAAATAGTTTTGGTCGACATCAGTGAGTTTATCGATTATTTATATTATAACTTGTTGCTGTTGCGTAATATGACCTTCATTTCTGTTTCATATCTGTATAATTATCACCTTATGTATGTTTCTAGACGAAGTTTATATTTACATAATGCTGTCTAGTAGGTTTGAAATCTTTAGTGTTAGAAGATTAGCAATATTGTTATATTTTAATTAATCCATGATTTGGCACAACGGTTCATCCATTATCTGAGGTGGATAACTGTCTCCACTCGAAAAGGATTAGACTCCACTGGTCACGGCTTCTCACTAGAACTTCAGGAAATCTAACTTGAAGCTTGTCACTAGTCAGTGAATCATTAGTATCGGTAATGGCGATTTGGGGAGGTTGTTATATTTTGTCAGTTGAATTCATGAGTCAATCTAAGATAGATTACTATTTAAATTTTGGAAGCACTGGACGGCTGTTGCGTCCTCAGACAATCGATGAAGTGTTGTACAACATTATGAGTCGATTGTAGTTAGATTTTAACACCACTGGATGCCGATTCAGTGGTCTAGAATTTCAGCGTTCGCGCGCTCCCAAGTTCGAATCCCATGTGCATGTTCGTGGATACACACTTTTGAGGAGTTAATGATAAATGATTATTAGAGTCTCTTCTGAAGATCCTTAATGTAAAGATTGATCTTAGATTTGAATTGTTTCGAACGATTTACTTCATATCAAAATGATTATCATTTCATCAAAAATGTAAAACTATCAACAGGTACATGATAAAAAGATGAACAGATCAATAGACTACTGAAATCTACTTATAAATAATTTCATTTCTAAAGTTTAACGTAGTACAAGGATAGTTAGTATAGGGGTAACACTCTGTTTAAGATACTTAACATTTAATTATTAAGTTATGAAATACCTCATAGGCTGTTGGTGAGTATTCAGTTGATATCAACTTGTGATCGTTAAACACTATCATCAAATAATGATGGCTTGTTTAGTGAAACGATTATAAGGATTAGTCTACTTTATTAGTCTCCTATCAGACAATAAGTATATACAATTAGATGGAGGCTTTCAAACAAAAGATAACTGATTATTATCTCAGTAAGCAAATATTAGTGAATTTTGATATTCTGTTGATTGGACAATAATTTCGTCTTTTTTAAATACTTAAAATTACATAAGTTGATGAATTAAAGAGTATAAGGAGTATAGGGTTGTGAAGACTGTTGAGTTTTTGATTGAGATCATGAAATGATCAATAATAGGCTACTAATGAAAACCTGAAATCACTGGACGGCTAGTTCATCCTAGTACGAAACTCCTCAACAGTGCACATTCACAATCCTGTACGTGAGATTTAAACCCAAAACCTTCGATCTCGTACACCAACCTTTAACCTATAAACCACTAAGGTAGAATCCAACAGTGTCCAATGGTAGTCAAACATCAGTCGATTCATAATCTCAATCAAGAATTAAAGAGTGTTTCATTATACATAATAAATACTTTATATTAATTTGAACAAAAAAAGTATTAATTAAACTTGAATAATTTTAAAATTCAATTTGGTAATTTCTTCATAAGAATATTACTGTAGAATATCTATTAGTTACCTTGGCAACTATAAATTTACCTTGGTTGAAACTCTAGTAAACAATGATATTCTCTGATGATACAGTTTTCCCACAAAATTTGAAGCAAATATTTGAGTATGACCATAAATGGTCATTTATAATATTCAAAACAAAACAGATATCTATTAATAGTTGAGATCATGAATCAATTGAAGATAAACCACAATGGAAAACCTGGAACCACTGAACCGCCTTTTCATTCTGTTGTGGGACTCCTCAACAGCGCTCATCCACGATCCCTCCGGCTCAGTGGTCTACAAATTAAGCACTCGCGCGCGAGCCTGATAGGTCTTCAGTTCTAATCTTGCAAGGCGGGATCGTTATTGTGCATTGCTGAGGAGTCCTACAATTGGACGAAACGGTTGTCCAGTAATTCCAGGTTTTCCATGGTGGTCTAACTTCAATTGACTCATGATGTTAACTATTAAAATCCCTAATAATATCTATACCCTTTCTGATAGAATTGATTTTGTTTGTTTAATACACAATAATATTTCTATGTAACTAATAGTTACCTGAATTTTTGACATTCATAATGATAATATTTCACTCATTATTATTTCAATGTTAAATGTTTCTATTTCATTGATATTTGAATAAGCTGACATATGGGAGAGTTAAGTATGTTAGGTATAAACACAAGTAAATTACTTTATTATGTATTATATAAATATTATAGAGTTGAGATCATGAGTCAATTGAAGCTAGACCACCATCGAAAACCCGGGAGCACTGGACGGCGGTTTCGTCCTACTATGGGACTCCTCAGCAGTGCGCATCCACGAACCCGCTCTCACGAGATTCAAACCCAGGACCTACCAGTCTCGAGCCGAAGCCCTTAGCCGATAGACCACTGAGCCGGCATCCACCGGTGTTAATGTCTAACTTCAACTGACCCACGATTTTGAGTAACCGTTCTTAAATCGTCTTCAGTGAGTTGATATCTGACAACAGACGTGGTTTGAACTCTACTGGTAAATGCTTCTCACTAGAACTCCTGGATTTACCTTTCAAAGTCAGTCACTGGTGAGCATATGATTATTATTATTATCAGAAGGGATTTTGCGGAGATTTAGTATTTTCATAGTTGAAAGCCTGAGTTAATTGAAGCTAGACCACCATGAAAAACCTGGAAGCACTGATATATATATATATATATATATATATATATATATATAAATGTTTTATTATATAAATATTATAACTTGCAGCCTTGTGACTTATTAATTGATAACGTAATGATGACGCCGATTTGAAAACAGTGATTTGTCGACCAGATCAATCACGTGTAAAAAGCCGTACGAGCAATCTACAGTCCTTATCGGTCCTTCTACCTGCATAACACTGACAGCTAAATCTAGAACATCAATCTCAGCCTTCATGAGATGAACCATGTATTTCAAACATACTGGGTTTATATAAAAGTTCAACAGACCACATCACACCATAAAATAGCAAATAACATTTGTACGAGTTGTAGCCATAAGTGGTTGTGATTGTTGTAGACTGTAATGAATAGACTGGGTATAACTCAACAACGGTAAATGGTATAATAGTAGTCTATGGATCAAAATCAAGCTTATAAGAAAAGGAATATGAATATGCATAGTTTAGTTGCTTAGCAATTATACAATGAAAAAAATATGTATAGCATTAGACCATGATTAAATCCCAACAGTTACCATTCATAATTGTCGTCGGGATATAACAATAAACACTACATTACGTTTTTACACTTGCATGTAAAGTAACCTTGACACGATAAATATAGAGTTCGATGTTAAACACTTACATTCTAATGCAAACTACCTGAAGTTATCTATCTTTAGGAGGACAGAACGTTTGTGAGGAAGAGAACCACTTTGTTTAGAATTAAGGGTATTTCTTAATGTAGTGTAACATCTAACTCGAAACCTTGGCTTAATGAGGTATTCTGTTAACAAATTAACATCATCTTATATCTTTATATAATGCACATGGTTTCGAGTCAACTAGATTAATAATCACACTAAAATTTGATCAACAGAATTAGATGAGGGTTGTATATTAGACCATAGTGTCATTGGTTATAAATCGTTGATCAACCAATGTATATTTTATCTAAATATATTCTAAAACGTCAGCAACATTCTACTGTGGGAGAGAACAAACCATATTTCAGTGGAGGAAGAAATCAGGAAGTTGAACTGGAAGTGGATAGGACACACAATGGGGAAAGCAGCCAACTGCGTCATAAGGCAAGCCCTCGCATGGAATCCTGAAAGCCAAAGGAGATTAGGAAGACCAAAGAACATATTACGCCGAGAAATGGAGACAGATATGAAAAAAATGAACAAAACTGGATAGAACTAGAACGGAAGGCCCATGACAGAGTGGTTTGGAGAATGTTGATTGCCGGCTTATTCTGCTTTGGAGGTGAGAGGCGTAAGTTATTAAACAAATACTCAAATGTTCATTTAAAAAGTGTTTACTCATGAGTGTTTATTAAAATCAGATCATAATATGTGAAACTGAAGATGTTATAAGAATCATATATGAATTGGAAGTAAGGGGGAATAAGTTGTTTTTTCAAGAGAGTGTTCAATATCAAGTGAACACAAAACTATACAGTAATGAAGGGCATTAATAGTCATGGAATTACAATACTGCAACATTAGATTAGGATTCATCAGTTTTTCCTTAAACTCATTTATTTTTGATTGATATCTTTTTGGTTAGGCCTTCTAATCCGTTAACAATGACAGTAGTACCAGGTGTTTGCATTGCTCTGTCAATGAATCTGTGATCAGTGGACTTCAACCAAGGTGGGTACCTACTAAAAACAATAGGGAATGAACGAGTAGTATCTTGGACCGGTTGAAGTTAGACATTCATACTATTAGATGTTGGTTCAGTGATGTAAAATTTAGGCGTTCGTATGTAAAACCGAAGATCCTATATTCGAATCTCATGTGCAGCATCGTGGATGTGCACTGTTGAGGAGACCTATACCAGGACAAAACGGTCATTCGATATTTTTCAAGTTTTCAATAATAGTATACCAATGATCGGTTCATGATCTTGTGGCGGTAAATAAATCCCCAAAATTAATAGCTCTGCAAGTATTCGACATTGGATGCTGATCATATTAGTTTTAGTGGACTCGTTTAATTGAAGGCGCTTGGTCATGCATCTGTGCCAGATCACATTACAGAACAGCGTGAGAAACATCATATATTGATAACCCATCAAATATATCTTCCAACCTCTTCGCTTCTGACTTCTGATTTTAACTAGGTGGGCACGATTTGGTTATAGAAGATGTTACTGGTAAAGTGTGCAATCCTTTATGGTGTAGGAGTAGGTTGGAAGAAAGCGTGGGGCGGTCAGACCAAAACGTGGCATAAATCTATGAATTCGCTGACAATTGGACTGAGCTATGTCGGTAGGTGTAGACTACCTGGTTGGGATTCGCGAGATGAAAGCAACCGATGGTTAGAGACCATGTATGACATGGCTCAAACTCGTTTGCAATGGTGAAGGTGCATCCAATCCTTGTGTTCTTCCAAATTCTCATCTTCTGAATTCCTCATGTCCCTATCCTTTTTCTCTTTCCAAATCTATTTCATTGAATTATGCTCCTTCAACAACATCTTCAAACCCTAATCTTTCGGATTACTGTTTATACTCTTACTATTCCTACCACTATGGGATTTGAAATTACAACTACATCTCTGTGTTAATGTGGTATGGCAACTTGAACTGATGTACGTACGTACGAAGTTCTACGTTGTGACTGACTGAATGAACTAACTGACTGGTAAAGTGTTGTCAAAATTACAATACACGGTGGTATCTTCAATCTCAATAAAAATATTTTTCAAAAAAACTACCAAAGTTACAATAAAACATTATACTATTTATTATAAATGATTAGTTACTTACATTCTTATTCATTCAATGTACTAATCCCAATTTATCAATTTATATAATACTAATTTTAATGAGTTACTGATTTTGTTTTAATCTATTATCTCTCTCTATTTATATATATATAGAGAGAAAAGAATGACCTTGATCAAAAATACAAAAGAGAGCACACTTTAGTGTGTGTGTGTGTGTGTGTGTGCAGTAAAAAAGGTTACACCATCTAAAATAGTCAATCTAAATAGTTTAACAGTATTGTTCATTCACATTTACTTTAGTCAAATTTATGTTTAGAATAGTTCTACAAAGAATGTGCATATTGTGTATATATTCCAATTACTTATCAATGCCAAATAAGTATTGATAGTATTGTATAGTGCATATATGTTTGTATGTGTGAGTGTGTGGGTGTATGTGAGTGACGGAGTGGATACATGTGTATCTGAGTCAATGCAGATACTGTAAAATAAGTTTACATAAAACGGTTTTTTGTTTCTTTTTTTTGTTTTTGATTGTGCATTATCTTAAAGAATGTGTATTTTATGTGAATGATGAAAAAACTTGAGAAAAATAAAAAATTTTGAAACAAAATTTTTGTATTGTAAGCAAAGATGGATGGTGACTAGCAGTGGAATTCAGGACACGCACCGCATCATCCTATTTGAAACTTGTCAGCTAGATGTACCTGAATCTCAGAGTTAATGTTACACAAGCAAGTGGCTATCAGAACTCAGTGGTCGAGTGAATAACGCGATGGCGTTTGAAGCGAACAATACTGGGTCCTAGTCTCAGAGTGAACATCAAATCTGAGATGTAGGTACATCCAGCTGACGAGTCCCAAATAGGACGATGTGACGCGTGCCCTGGATTTCACTGCTAGCCACTATTCATCTTTGCTTACAATCCTTGTGAATTAAGGCTATATCAAGGCAATAAGCACAGTATGCCCATATGCTAATTACAGACTGACCAGTTGCAGTCCTAAACATCGATGGGAAGATTCAAACAAACAATACTAAATGAATTTGAAATTTTTGTATGTTAGTTGATTGATAGAATTCCATATCAAAGATTACTAATGGAATCGATAATAATCACCTTCAATAATAGTTCTTTGATATTTCTCTTCTTCTATTGAGGAAATCACTCAATTGCATCACAAGTCAAACCTTCACTTGGAATTCTCAAAGTCATAGGAAAAGAGGAAGACCAAAGAACAGATTACGCCGAGAAATGGAGACAGATATGAGAAGAATGAATTTTGTGCTGATAATGTTATTCAGAAGAACTATGAAAGCACCACAATCAAATCATTCAGCTCAGAGAACAAAACTCCATCAAAATCTCTAATCTTTCATCAAAATTCCATATTCACCATATACATACATACCTACAAGGTAGTAGATCATATAACTTATTGATTTAAACAAATCACTGTTACACACAACTTCATAGAAGTATTCATATATCCAATCGAAATAAATACGTTATCGAATTTCGATAATGTAATGAGATGACGAAGTGGATGTGCACTGTTGAGGAGTTCCACAATAGGACGAAACGGTCGTCCAGTGCTTCCAGATTTTCCATGGTGGTCTAAGTTCAATTGACTGATGATTTCAATTATGAAAATACTAAATTCTCCACAAAACCCATTCTAAAGATGAAGTTTGTCAGAATTATGTGATATATATGTGTGCAATATACTTCGAACAATCTGATCACACATAGTATATTTGTTAAGAACATTTTTCTATGAAAATTAAAAGATCAGAAGGGGTTTTGTGGAGAATTTAGTATTTTCATAGTTGAGATCATGAGTCAATTGAAGCTAGACCACTATGGAAAACCTGGAAGCACTGAACTGCCGTTTCGTCCTATTATGGGACTCCTCAGCAGTGCGCATCCACGATGAAAGATAAGCCGTAACAAAGAAAGAAAATAAATAAAGTACACAAAAACAATGTGATGATCACTTTGGATAATAAGTCAGCGTTACCAGGGTAGGTTAAGGGAAAGAACAAATTGTTTTTGGACACATAATGAGGGGTTTCAATTTCCGTATAGCCAAGGCTTCAATAAACCTTAGTAATACGTCTTTGAAAGCTTTTGTACAACACTACAAATGCTAACTTGATGTCAAGTTTGTGAACAGTTTCAACCAAATGGTTCGCAATGGAGGAAGATATCTGTCTATTTTGTGATCTTACTTGACCATTGGAATTCGTTTGTTTCAGCAGCCATTTAGGTATGTGTTCCGCCACCCTTAACTGCTGATCACGATTGCTCCTCCCTATGTACGTGTTCCCTTACATACATGTAAACTGATATACACAATGGAATGTGACACAATCGCTTATGTGCTGTTTAGGTTTTTGGTGAAACATCGACAAGTTTAGCAGCATAAAATGTCCTGTTTATGGCGAATTTCAGTCTCCATTTCAACATGAGACTATTTGAGTCACCCCTAAATGGTCACATAATAAAAACTCGCTTTTTGAATGCCAGAAGCGTCATAGATATAATCCAGCGGTTTATGGACTTCAATGAATAACCATTATTCATTAACGTATCAGTTAAGAGCTTCATCTCTACTTCAATAGTATCTCTAGTGCAAATACGATTGATTCTATTGAATAAGCTCTTTATTAATCCACTTTATTGAATGTTTAATGACCAGTTGCAGCCCTTTACATTAATCGGAAGATTCAAACAATCCATAGTAAGTGAATTTAAACTTCACCCCATTACACAAGCAACTGGCTATCAGGACTCAGTAGTTAAGTGGATAACGCGATGTCGTTTGAAGCGAACAATACTGGGTCCTAGTCTCATAGTGAACATCAAATCTGAGATGTAGGTACATTCAGCTGACGAGTCTCAAATAGGACGATGTGACGCGTGTCCTGTATTCCACTGCTAGCCACTATTAATCTTTGCTTTAATAACAATGATTAGCTTATTCAACAACAAGAAATTTCCCTCTTTGTTTTTACTTTACAATAGATTAATTCAATTCAGTACTGTCACAAGATAACCTATACATATTGTACATATGTCTGGAGTATCTATGTGTGTGTCAGTGTGTGTGTGTGTGCAATGACTGCTAAACATGATTTTCATTCTTTCAGTCAATAATTTTACAGAAAATTATACACTAATCAATCATGTATGAATGGCATCAATAATGAAAATTATGGAGATGTTCACATCAATTATAATAGTTTTGTGAGGGGGAGGGGTTGATAGAATAACGAATCATTTGTTTTCATCTTTTTTTTTAAAAAAAAAACAAAAAAAAAAGAAAAACGACTCAGTTACTAGGAGCGATCAATAAATTCTTTTTAAAAGTACGTCCATTTTTTTAAATTTTTTTCTCTAAAAATGCAAAAATTTCTTACATCAAAAAAACACAACCAAACCATGTAAAGTAACAAAACTAACACAATCTAATGGTGATTCATAATGATTAGCTAATTGGTAACATAATCATCAATCAAATTTTAGAAAAATCTGTTCTGAAAATTATGTAAGAAAAAAATTGGCATAATTGAAATCATGAGTCAATTGAAGCTAGACTACCATCATGGAAAACCTGGAATCAATGGACGGCCTTTTCGTCCCATTGTGGGACTTCTCAGTGGCAGTGCGCATTCACGACCTCGCCTAGTGAGGTTCGATTGATTCATATTTTCAACTATGCAAAATACTAAATCTTCACAAAAACCCTCTTCTGATTATAAGAAAAAATTTTGTTATTTATTTGAATCATTTTTCTACTAGAGAAACATAAATTAAGAGGGTATGATTTCGATATGTTCATAGATTTCTGTTACTGATATTTTGACTTACGTCTGTTATCCCTTGTTGAGGAGGATAGGCCGTCCAACAACACTCTCCATTCAACTTTGCCCTCAGTAATTTTTCCAGTTCATTCCAGTCGCTATTCATCCTTCTCATATCTGCTAACGATTCCCGACTCATTGTGTTCTTCGGCATTCCTCATTTCCGTTTCCTTTCACTATTCTAATTTAGGGATTGCTTCATCATGCAGTTTATTGATTTTCTAAATGTGTGTTCTATCCACCTTCAACATTTTTTCCTAATTTTCTCTTCAGTTTGAAGTTAGTTTGTTCTATCCCACAGAACGCTGTTGCTGATAGTATCTGGTCAACGGATATTCATTATGTTGTGTAGACAATTGTTTATAAATACTTGTATCATTTCGATGATAGTTGTGGTAGTTCTCGAAGTTTCAGTTCTGTACAATAGAACTGACTGTCTTGATGTTCATATTGAAGATTGTGACTTTGATGTTGGCTTACAGACATTTGTTTTGAGTTCCATATATTCATGAACAGCCTGAATGCTGTTCTTGGTTTAGACAATTGTTTATAAATACTTGTACCCTATTGATGATAGTTGTGGTAGTTCTCAAAGTTTCAGTTCTGTAAAATATAACTAACTGTCTTGACATTCATATTGAAGATTGTGACTTTGATGTTGGCTTACAGACATTTATTTTAAGTTTCATATGTTCTTAAGTTGTAGGAATTCGGCCCTTAGTTTACCTTAATGATTTCTATACATATGAATATAAAATCTTGAAAATGAATGAAAACTACTGTAACTTTGCTCTATGAAATAAATGCCTGATAACGATAATCAGTTAAAGTATAGACAAACATTTTATTCTAAAATATTACTTAAAGTCATGTGTTTTCAGTGGCATAGAGAATCATATGATTGTGTAGATTATCAATGAAGCTAACGTTATTAGATTGAAATTCGATTAACATTTGTTTCAGTTATCAATTTCTTATTTAGCATTAACTGTCTCATACCCTAGTAAGAATCCGTGACCAATAGAGCTAATCTATGTCGGGTGTGAGACAGTTACCCACTGAAGACAATGGAAGCTCTTGATGCAATTGCGTGGATTGGTCGAAGTTAGACGTTAGGAATATTGGATGTGGGCTTGGTGGTTTAGAGATTAAGCGCTCGAATGCGTAACTGAAGGTCCTGGGTTCAAATCCCAAGTGTGGAGTTGTGGGTGCACACTGATGAGGAGTCCCATTCTAGAGTGAAACGGCCGTCCAATGATTCCAGGTTTTCAGTGGTGGTCTACCATTGATGAATTCATGACCATAATCAAATACTCAACAATCTGCAAAACCTTAAACAGATAATCAACTGTATTGTGAAATAAAAGTAATTAAAACCGGAGCACCATCAGTTTTATCAGTTGACAAATACGTTTAGCTAATCAACTAGAATAGCCGAGTATTCTAATGATGGCAGAAATTTGTAGCTTGGATGAATGTTTTTTATATTGTCAAGTTCGCTAAACCAGATGCTTTGATTCCTGAGCATTCATTCTGGACATAATCAACCCTTAATCTACTTAGAATTCTTACATGTTCTTAAATCAAGGAACTGATCACCAGCAGAATGAGTTATTTTTCATTGAATGTTTTCGAATGTTTCAAAAACTTTCAGCAATACTGTGAGAAATCAATCAGATGTTCTTTGGATGATATAAGTCTAAAACAGACTATCAAATGATTTCATATAGAAAAGTAAACAAAAACTCTTTATTTATAACAATAACGAAAGTGAAAATTGTGAGCATAGATAGATAGTGGTTAGCAGTGAAATCCAGGACTCATGTTTCGTTCTATTTGAGAATCGTCAGCTGAATGTACTTGCATCCCAGATTTGATATTCTCTCTGAAACTAGAATCGAGTATCGTTCGCTTCAAATACCATCGTGTTATCCACTTTCTTGTGCAATGGGGTGAATTTAGAACATGGGAATTGTTTGGCTGAAAGGTTTCTAGAAATTAGTGATAGTTTATATTACTAAAGAACCACCGAAAACTAAAAAAATACCAGACTGCACTTTCATCTTGTTACAGGGTTTTTCAACAGTTTGTTACCAAGATGAAATGCAGGACAATGATGCATTATGATGACGTAATATTTCGAAGCTACTTTCAGCATATGGCAACTTAAAAAAGTGAAGTTAATTCATGTCAGTTAATAATATAGCTGTTGGAAATAGTTTTAATTAGATTTTATTATGATCATACCAAGTTCATTTCGCTCATTGGTAAGCAACGGTTTTAATATGATAACAGAAATATTACCCTAATCACAATTGATTGATCACTGGGTTATGATCAATGTCTTACGTGTCAAGTCCGTCTTAGTGCTGATCGAATGCTATCGATCAAGTTGCAATGTGGCCACTTGTCTAGGTGGCTTGACCCTGCGTGCACTATGTTGAGATAAGATGGTGGTTGGAGTTGGTCAACAGGAAACCCCGATTGATAATAGTAATATGCACATCGCTCTCCCTATCTTGAACATCAACAAAGTCTATACACAAAAACTGTTTATAAGTAACTAATCAATCACTCAAAAATGATCTTGTATTCCTATTTATTTTCATGTAGTTATTAGTAGTAATATTGTCTCTTCAGTTTTGTTTAAATAATTTTGATTTTCAACTTCCTCAACTTCATGTATGCTTTATATGCTTGTTATGATCTTTGAATGTCAAAGTACAGTACTCATTTCTATTTACTACACTTGTTATTCTTTATATTCCCATGAAAACGTCTAAGATTTTGAAATGACTATCTAATCAACCAACTCCGCCTGGAACCTCTCTGAGGCTACCACCGGTCCCAAGCCCAGATAAAGGAGGAGGGTTAGATATGGGGTTAGCGAACCCATCCTGTAGAAAAATAACTCGCTAAAAAAGCACTAACCAGAAATCAAATGAACTACATATGTGATTGATATTGATAATTTTTCACAGTAAAACATACAATTTATCATATAATTATGCTGAAAACTGAATTCTCTTGTGGGACCAGTGAAATGTCACTGAATCCTAGCCAAATCATCCGGCAGTTGGGTCACTGAATATTGAACAGATCATCGATCGCCGTCAAGGTCAACGACAGTCAACGTGCATCAGTTAATCATACACCATGAACTAGCCCATTCAGCAGTGATTCTACTTTCGCTTGCATCTACTTTAACTAATATATTCTTGTAATAACCTCCTTTGTGTTGTACAGTCTTCAGAGCATCCATGGTTTTTTGATGGGTGGATGGGCCAATCCACGTAAAGTGCTGATCGTGAGGTGTGACTTTGAAGTTAGCTTGTTCGTTACACCGTTCCCCTCTAATTTGAGTAGGCCTCCAATCATTCGACATAGATTAGCAACGTTGATGGTCTACACTCTTTATTCGTCCTTTTTCTATAAAGTAACAATCCAATACTAGTAATTCAAATTAAATAAATACTTTTCAATTCCGAAGATTGTAAACAGTTCATAATTGATGGAATAAATGAATTAGTATTAAATGAATCCTTTTTCATTAATTTGACACAAGTTGCTGTTGAAATGATAGTGTAGTGTGTGCTACTGATGTTGACAGATATAAGTAGTATATGTCACTTATCGAAAGTAGAATGTCTGATGGTAGAAGATTGAGAAAATCGAAGAGAAGAGAAAAAGAACAGAGAGTGATTGATGTGAGAATAAAAGAACACTCAAGTCTGAGACAATTGATGGACATTTTACATATGAAGTATTTACTGTATGAATTCACTTGGCATTATTTTACTTAAATTTTTGAAACGAACGGCATTGGGTTCTAGTCCCAGACAGAATATTAAATCTGGGATGCAGGTACATCCAGCTGACCAGTCCTAAATAGGACGAAATACACTTCGTGCATCTTAAAGATAACTACTATTCATTTTTGGTTATAATACTTGAGGATTGAGGCAGTGAGTAGGACTTCCCTGGTAGTGGTTGTATGCACGTGACCATGTGAGAGCATTCTGTGTGAGAGAGAGAGAGAGCAGACTCTTCCCACTCTCGGCCGTACCAGAGCATTTTGGAGCTTTCACTATAACAGATCAGAGATAAACAAGAAATAAAGAAACACCATTATGTATATAATATCACTATATTTAACTATTCAATTGTATACAATTTACTTCAAATGATTAGTAAACTAGTCCATCATAGTTTAATGTAGTTGTTGTACTATTTCACAACCTAATAAAATCAAGATTAATTTTTTAAACCCCCCATGAGTTTCTGATTGTAATGCTTTAGCTAATGGTTTATAAAAATATTTTTCATACATTTCTTTTATATCTTGTAAATCAATCTGAAAAAAAGAAAAGAAAAAAAAGAAGAGAAAATAGAATTGAAAAGAAGCAAAGATGGATAGTGGCTAGCAGTGGAATCCAGTACGCACGTTTCGTCCTATTTGGGACTCGTCAACTGGATGTACCTGCATCTCAGAGTTGATGTTCACTCTCTCACTTGAACCCAATACCTTTCTCTTCAAACTTCATCGTGTTATCCACTCAGCTACTGAGTCCTGATAGCCACTTCCTGACGAGTCCGAAATAGGACGAAACGCGTGTCCTGGATTCCACTTCTAGCCATTATCCATCTTTGCTTACAATGCTTATGAATTAAGGCTATATCGAGGCAATACGCACAGTATGCACATATGCCAATAAGAGACTGACAAGTTTCAATCCTTAGCTTCAATGTCATCTTATTGGTGATGATGATGAATGTATCATTCTAGGGAATAGTTTAATGGATTTCCCTTAGTAACGCATATGAGATTCAACTCTATGACGTCTTATATATCTCTATGATTGATCATACAATAAATAATTCATTGAAAACAAAGAAACATGTTAGAATTTTGATGTGGGTTCGTTCTCTGAGCTGGATCGTTCGGTCGTGGAGCTTTTATCATCACCCACCTAAGTTACAAATCTTCTCCACCATCTCAAAAATATGAGAAATTAGATCATTTTGTAAACTAACTCATCGGTAATCAGTAGAGAATGTGTGTACCAAGTGTTATGTATTAATTGAAGATTGTTCTAGGTTTATTCATTGGATTGATGAACTTACCTATTATGAATATAGTCTAAAAGTTGATTACACAACAACTACTATCAGTTGTTAGTATTTATAACATAAAAAAATAGTTTGTATTAGTAGATTTCAGAATCTAGTGATTAATAATAGAGTCTGAAGAATGTTCTTTATTTGACGTTGGTTCATAAAACATAGGCTTCGCATTTTATGCGCCTTACGTTCTATCATTTAACACATCAACATAAGGCTCACAACGTCGAGTTGCCTGAACTTTTGTACTTATTGCAACGTAATCGATGGAATTCAATTAAATCCTTGCTTACTTACTTACCTAATTACTTACATACATACATACTTACATGCGTACCTACTTGTGCCCCTTGTGGAGGAGAATATGCCGTCCAGCAACACTCTCCATCCAACCCTGTCCTGGACAATCCGTTCCAGTTCATTTCAGTTTCTACTCATCCTTTTCATGTCTGCTAACGATTCCCGACTCATTGTGTTTTTCGGCATTCCTCATTTCCGTTTCCTTTCACTATTCTAATTTAGGGATTGCTTCATCATGCAGTTTATTGATTTTCTAAATGTGTGTTCTATCCACCTTCAACATTTTTTCCTAATTTTCTCTTCAGTTTGAAGTTAGTTTGTTCTATCCCACAGAACGCTGTTGCTGATAGTATCTGGTCAACGGATATTCATTATGTTGTGTAGACAATTGTTTATAAATACTTGTATCATTTCGATGATAGTTGTGGTAGTTCTCGAAGTTTCAGTTCTGTACAATAGAACTGACTGTCTTGATGTTCATATTGAAGATTGTGACTTTGATGTTGGCTTACAGACATTTGTTTTGAGTTCCATATATTCATGAACAGCCTGAATGCTGTTCTTGGTTTGCCTATACTCGCTTTTACATCTGCATCCGATCCTCGTTGTTCATCGATGATACTACCAAGATAAGTGAATGTTTTTACCTCTTCCAAAGTTTTTCCATCAAGTGTGAGTAGATTAGAGCTCTCTTTGCTGAATTTAATGATTTTGTATTATCCTTTATGTTTGTTGAGACTTTTTGAAGTATAAACAGACTACTGCTACACTAGTTGTCTTCACATGCATTTGTTGATATGTATGAGATAGAAGAGCTTGGTCATCTGTGAAGTTCAAATCTTCTAAATGATTTCGAGCTGTCCACTGTATTCCGTGCTTCTTGTAAGATGTCTAGGTCCTCATAATCTAGTCGATCACCGGATACTTTAGACCCATAGACAGTTAGTACCAATTATTCATTAATTGATTTAATTTTTATATTCAACACTGAACACATAGTTTTATCTTTGAAAAAATTCAGTTTTTTTTTTCATAAAAATTCAATCACATGTTTATATTATGTTTTCCATTAATCATAAATATGGAAAAAGTCATGAGTTACAGTTTGTTATTGAATTTTCCTGGAGAACTACTACATCCATCATCAAGAAGGTACAAGTATTGATGAATAGTTGTCTACTCAAAATACTCAACATTCATTGGCCGGATACTATCATCAACAGCATTTTATGGGAGAGGACAAACCAGCTTCCAGCTGAACAGGAAATTAGGAAAAGACGTTGGAAGTGGATGGGACATACATCAAGGAAATCACCAATGTGCATAACGAGGTAAGCCCTAACTTGGAATCCGGAAGGTAAGTAGAAAAGAGGAAGGCTAAAGAACACAATACACCGTAAAATAGAAGCAGATATGAAAAGGATGAAAAATAGATGGAAAGAACTGGAAACAATTGCCGATGACAGGGTTGAATGGAGAATGCAATAACAGGCGTAAGTAATAAAAAAGTAAAATTATATGAATTTTTCCAGACCAGATTGCGACACTACGGATCATCGTTGAATAATCAGTCGAGTGGAACTCATCACTATACGTCAACTTCATCGACTATGAGAAGGCGTTTGACAGCGTGGATAGGAGAACATTATGGAAACTTATTCGACACTATGCAGTTCCTGAAAAGATTGTCAACATTATTCAAAACTCATACGATGGACTACAGTGCAAAGTGGTGCATGGAGGACAGCTGACAGATGCATTTCCAGTAAGGACCGAAGTCAGATAAGGCTGTCTACTGATTGACTGGATTATGTAGAATTCGACATCTGAAAGGAAATACGGAATACAATGGACTTCTCAGAATCAATTAGATGATTTGGACTTCGCAGATGACCTAGCCCTCCTCTCTCATACACACGAACAAATGCAGATGAAGACAGCAAATATAGCAGCAGCCTCCACTTCGATAGGCCTCCACATTCACAAAGGAAAAAGCATGATTCTCAAATGCAACACGGAGAACACCAATCCAATCACACTTGATGGCGAAACTCTGGAAGAGGTGGAAACATTCAAGTACCTGGGGAGCATCATTGATAAACAAGGAGGATCGGATGCAGATGTAAAGGCGAGGATTGGCAAAGCAAGGGCAGCATTTCTACAATTGAAGAACATATGGAACTCAAAACAACTTTCAACCAATTTCAAGGTGAGAATCTTTAATACGAACGTCAAGACAGTCAGTTATACTGTATGGAGCTGAAACGTGGAGAACTACTACGACCATCATCAGGAAGGTACAAATATTTATAAACAGTTGTCTACGCAAAATACTCAACATCCACTGGCCGGATACTATCATCAACAGCATTTTATGGGAGAGGACAAACCAGCTTTCAGCTGAATAGGAAATTAGGAAAAGACGTTGGAAGTGGATGGGACATACATAAAGGAAATCACCAATGTGCATCACGACTCAATCCCTAACTTGGAGTCCGGAAGGGAAGCGGAAAAGAGGAAGGCCAAAGTACTAACTACGCCGGGAAATAGAAGCCGATATGAAAAAGCTGAATAGCAACTGGAAAGAACTGGAAAGGAAGGCTCAGGACAGAGTTGGATGGAGAATGCTGGTGAGCGGCCTATGCTCTTCGACGAGGGGTAACAGGCGCAAGTAAGTAATGTCGATGTTCACTTGATTATTCAAAATTGTATACAACTTTTAAGTTAGTTCTCATTTTATGATCTGATATCAAATAGACAATTATTGAAAGTGAATATCGATTACATTCTTCTTTGAGACTACCAAGGGATTAAATAAGGAAGCTCCAAGTATCATTGTACGAACGTTTTTTGTAAAGAGATATTTAAATTGAACTTTTTCCTGTCGGTGAATTCCTAATAAAGTTTGATGATGAATGAATGTAGATGACAATGAACTGATTCATCAACATCATAGAGAAAAGCAACTAATGGTGACTTATCATTTACACAACATTAATCCATTGAAGTTTTATATCAGAAAGTTTTTGTGTGTGGATATTATAGTAACTTTAATAGTTGAGATCTAGAGTCCATAGAAGCTGAGGAGTCCCACAATAGAACGAAACGGCTTTCCAGTGCTTCCAGGTTTACCATGGTGATCTAGCCATTGTAGTTTGTTTAGGAAATTAAAATTTACAATATATAAGACGTATTACATTGCTTAAATGACTTAATTAGGCAAAGAGTAAGTTTAAGAAATAGACTATTAATCTATTGTCAGTCAGCTGAACAGATTCAACACAACCAAACCAGCTGTGGATATTCTTTCAATGCAATCGATGTGTTCAAAGTTAAAAAAGACAGAAGGTCCTTTTTTATTAGTACAGAACTCGGTGATATATTGAAGAGTTCTGCTGAAATCTTGATTATTAATACAGGACACATTGGTTACACAACTAAATTGCTATTTATAAGCAACGATATATAGTGATTAGCGGTGGAATCCAGGACACGCGTCCTATTTGGGACTCGTGATCTGGATGTACCTGAATCTCAAATTTGACGTTCACTCAGAGACTCGAACCCAATAGCGTTCGCTTAAAGTGGTTAACTCAATGGCATTTGAAGTAGATTTGGTCAGTCAATGTAAATATTAACGAACTAACTAATACATATTCCTGAAGTGTTGTAGTTGTCTTATTTCGTCTCTAAGTGAACTGAGAGCTAACTATATAACTAAATATCAATATCGTTTTCAGTTCATCAGTTCTGTCAAATTTGTGCTTACTTACTTACCTAATCACGCCTTTAATGCCGCCTACCATCATTCTCCATCGAACTGTACTTAGCGTATTAATAAATACTAATTCAACAAGGAGCAACGTCATATAACATTAAACTAATATTATTTTGAACCAATGAAATACTTTGATTTAAAAAAAAACCATCTCTTTCAATATATGTCAATTTCATCCTATCTTACCTCACATCGAAGACAAATTATTCTGATAATTGAATCATCATTGGATCCTAAGCCTTCCATACTACAGTAAAGTTGACAGGTCAATAATAAGCGTAGATCAACTAGTGCCATTACTTCAGAGGAAAACAAATAAAAAGAAAAAAACGAACATTTGAGTAGTTTATGCGCTTTAAACTTACTAAATAAGAGATGTATATTACATCACAGTAATTGTCTTAAGACTGAATAGCTAATAGTATTCATCATGGAATGATATATGTTGGAATACTATTAAAAATCAGGGAGTGGTTAACATTAGTTTCATATTAATATTAAACTCTCGACTAACTCACGTATATAACCGTACCGAGGGTCGGACCTAAGAATCTCCGGTTTCGAAGCGAGCGCTTAGCCTTTAAACCAATTAGCCAGCTCCCAGAGGTTTTACATGTTCAAATTCAATTAAATTGTGATACTGTACAACTGTTAAAGAACTTCATAGCCGGATAAATAGTATCTACCTGTTGTTTAGCTAATATAGAATGCATAGTATACTTTCCTTATTAACAGCAATACTATCTAACAGCGTAATTGATCTATCTTTAACGATGTCGATAAATGTTGTATTCACTAGAATGAAATGGAGTTGGAACTTATAGTCGACGATTGTTTTTTTGCTAGACAGAATCATTAAGTTGATGAGAGAATATCTCCAATGTTGAGTTGTAAATACAGGTTTAGAAATCTCATTCTATTTATTACTTGGGTTGAATTGTAAAAGGCAATAACAACTAATACCTTTTAAAGAGAAGACGACTATTTCAACTTAGGAGCTCGATAAACAACGCCCTCACATTTCAAGCAACCACAATAATTACTCTCTGTCTCTGTTCGATGTTGCCAACCTCCTACTGTCAGGGATTTCATCTCTGATTGGTATTACATACTACTTATATCGACATAAGTGGTATACACTACACAACTACAGGAAACCTATATCAAAGAAGTATAGCAGAATATATCGTCCCTGAGTTGTTTGCTTACTATGCACCACTTCAATACTCCATACAACAGTTTAACACAGCATTTCAATGTGGATCTATAAATTTTTATGTTCTCATTTGATACAAGTGGTTTGACAGTAATCTTTTGCTTCTTGAATAGACGTTAATGTGTTTTATATACATAGCAAGTGGCATACGAATAATGGCATCTGATTCCCTAATATTAGCTCAAAATATGCTCTACAGATTTAAAATGAATCCCTAACTGCTTGAACAAAAGCCATTAAAGTTTTACAAGTCTAATTACTAATTGATTGAATGTAATTAACAAGAAACTCAGAGTCAACCACTTGTTAAACTTGATTATCAAATGTATATTCATTGTGTTCATTCTTATCACTTGTTTATCCGAAAAGTCCTACTAGTTGCATAATAGTGAAAGCATAAACATAGATAATTAATGCTTCCATGGTAAAAGTAATTATTATGATAACGTTTTATAGCATTTTTTTAGCCAATTAGTTTTCTACGGAATGCGGTCGCTAACTCCATGCCCAATCCTCCTCCTTTATCCGGGCTTGGAACCGGCAGTAGCCACCGGAGGGGCTACAGGCGAAGTTGACATATAATAATAACACAATTTAATAAAATCTGAAAAAAACAAAATTCACTCACTGACAGTATTCAGTGCATTACGAAGTGGATTTGAGAATTTTTTTGATATTGATTCGACTAGAAGACAACCATATTTCTAAAATGAAAACAAATATATAGTCATTAAACAAAGAAATGGTAGTTTACACTTTCGTAGCTTTTCTTCTGTTGAAATTGACCAAAATTTCTTTAAATAAAGATTTTGAATGTATTCAGTGCGTTAAAAAGCATCTTACATTGGTTAACGTCCTTAAACTTAAAATTATACTGGACCGCTTCATTAAGGTGTTAAGGTAAAAACGAAGAGATTTTTTAATTCTTCTATTTCTAATTTATAATTGGATTACATTTGTTCTGCAGAATACTCTTAGGTCGGCAAAGCGAGAGCAGCATATTTAAACTGAAGAACATCTAGAACTCAAAACAGTTGTCACCCAACACCAAGATCAGAATTTTTAATACAAATGGGAAGACAGTTCTACTGTATGGGGCAAACACTTGGAGAACTACCAAAGCCATTATCCAGAAGATACAAGTGTTTATCAACAGTTGTCTACGCAAAATACTTCGGATCCGTTGGCCAGACAGTATCAGTAACATCTTACTGTGGGAGACAACAAACCAGATTCCAGTGGAGGAAGAAATCAGGAAGATGCGCTGGAAATAAATGGGACACACATTGAGGAAATCACCTAACTGCGTCACAAGACAATCCCTCACATGGAATCCTGTACCTGCATCTCAGAGTCAATGTTTACTCCGGGTTTTCAACCGAGGACTGAAATCCTAAGACTCAATGAGGAGATTCAAATAAACAATACTAAGTGAATTTTAACTTTACCCCATTGCACAAGTAAGAGGCCAACAGGACTCATTAGCTGAGTGGATAACGCGATAACGTATGAAGAGAAAGGTACTGGGTTCTAGTCTCAGAGTGAACATCAACTCTGAGATGCAGGTACATCCAGTTGATGAGTCCAAAATAGGACGAAACGCGCGTCCTGGATTCCACTACTAGCCAATATCCATCTTTGCTGAATCAAATACAGAAAATAAATGAATTTGCATTATATGTACTCAACTTTTAATTATTATTCCAAATCTTGATGTTTCTGGAGTGGATGAATGAATGGATTGCTTTAATTTAATCCTTTTGGATAAGAATTGGTCGAAGGTGTAGTGTGCTTAACAAACCAAATAAGACATGGTATTTTAAGATTGACTAAAGGAAGATGGAATTTTTGACAAATCTGAAAAGAGTGAGAGGGTTAATTCTGAATTAAAACACCATTTATTCATTAATATCAGCTCCCGCATGCAGGACTCGAACTCAGGACTTTCGATCTCGCGCGTGCATTCTTGACATCTAGATTGCTGAGCCAACATCCAAAGATGTTAATGTCTAACTTCAACCAATTCACCAGATTACGCTACCATTCACCATTGTCTTGAGTGAGTAAGTGCCTCACAACAGAAATGATTTAACTCCACTAATCACATCTACCCACTAAAACTTTAGGAAACACATCATGAACTCAGCCACTAGTGAGTACATGATGCTTTTTGTCAGAATAAGAGTTTGTGGAAATTATATTAATTCAATTGTAGAATTCATGAGTCAAATAAATCCAGAACATCATGGAAAACCTGGAAGCACTGGACAACCATTTCATCCTAGTATAGGACTTCTCAACAATGTAAACGCACGATTTTTTAATTAATAGTTGAAGGCCAAAGAAGAAGAGGAAGACCAAAGAACACATTACACTGAGAAATGAAGACAAACATGAGAAGAATGAACAAAAATTGAATAGAACTAGAAAGGAAGGCCCAGGATAGAGTGGGTTGGAGAATGCTGGTCGGCGGCCTATGCTCCATTAGGAGTAACAGGCATAAGTAAATAAGTAAGTAAGTAGGTTGAAATGAATGAATAAAAGTATTTAAATTATCAATCAACTTACTTTTTGATATGCTTTATATACTTCTTTTATATGATATTTACTACGTTTTGATAGAATAGAAATAAAGATAGAAGGATCACCTTTGCCCATTTGACTGTATAAATAGTTTGTTAGAAAGAAATGTACAATAAAGTTTATGTATAAATAGTAGGAGGTTCGATGTAACTGAGATAAATAACTGAACATATCTTATGAATAGGGTTATATCCCGTGGAAATTTATGAATGGTAACTTTGAGGACTGTTTATGGACCAATGTCATAGGTATACTTATTTGTGTATAAATTTTAAGTAACTAAACTATTCATATTCGTGTCCCCCTTATCATAAGCTTTATTTTGACCTATAGACTATTATTATACGATTTACCATTCTTGATTTATCCTTAGTCCATTAATTACTGTTCCTCCTATTCACAGCCACATTTGACTAAATCTTGTACAAATGTTATTTTCTACTTTATGGTACGATGTGGTCTGTTTTATTGGTATATAAACCCAGTATGTTTGAGAGTAGTATTGATTCATATTGCAGAGGCTGTTATTGGTGTTCTGGACTTAACTGGCTGGTCTAGGCAGAAAGTAGGACTGATAAGTACTCAAGACTATTCATAAGGCTTTTGTGTATCATTGGGCGATCGATAGAACACTGCTCTCCGATTGGGCGGTCATATTAGGTCATATATATTACACAGGGCACGTACGCATTCAATCGATATAACGAATAGTTAATAGCTTATATAAAGAATAACTCAATATGGTCAATTGTTGATAACATTACTTCTGAACAGAATAGTTTATTATCAGAAAGGGGTTTTGTGGAGATTGTAGTAATTTTATATAGTTGAGATCATGAGTCAATTGAAGCTAGAACACCATGAAAGATCTGGAAGCACTGGATGGCCGTTTCGTCCTATTGTGGGACTCCTCAGCAGTAAGCATGGGTTCGAATCTCGTGAGGCAGGATCATGGATGCGCACTGCTGAGAATGGATTATCATAATAGAATAATTGGCCCTAAGGCGCTGCACAATAAGAATATTATCTAGTAAAATTCCAAACTTTTAGATAACCGAAATTCACTAGTCTCACAGTAGTTACCATAATTATTTGATAATCTTTAGTTAAAATTCCTTTCACAGTTACAATGACTTATTTGAATAAAACTTACACCATAATCGTGAACCTTTTAATTGTGTCCTTTAACCTTTTGATCTTCTCTTTATGTTCTATGTCTCCGAATGCCCTGGTACGGCAGAGGGTGGGAAGAGTTCGCACGTCTTCTCAGAATGCTCTCACATGGCCACGCGTATACAGCCATTGCCAGGAAAGTTCTATTCACTACCTTCTCACAGTGTGGGTGTTGTTTACGAAATTGAGACGACAAGAACTGAATTTCCGGAGCTTTAACTGGGTTGGTGGACATGGAGGATCCACCTAGGGGATTTAAAAAACCGTGATTCCAAAACAATGGTGCACATGGGTTTTCGGGATCTTGAGGGGACAAATGGTGTATGAATTTATTGTTGATCACCTGCTAACGTTCCTCCACAGCTTTGTCGATCAGACCTTTAGGTCAAAGGCTAGGGATGTGGTCCCCTAAGAAAACCATCTGCTTCAGACTGGGCACTCCCTCTTAATTCCACTTACTATATGAATCCATATTAAGATTCCAAGATTTGTTATTTCCCACAAACATTAGATTAAAAAGACATTAAATATGAAGTTGTTGAGAGAATATTCTACTAGCTAAACTATTTACTTGGATATGTCCTATGCTTACGCCATTACTTAATGATTACGTATATGATTCAGGTTAGTAATGTTAATCAATGAAATACATTCAGTTGACGAGTCTTACATAGGACGAAACGCACGTATTAGACTCCACTGCTAACCACCATTCATCTTTGCTTATAGTGAAATAGTTTGTTTCTTAACTATCAACTGATTTGTAGTAATCTTCTATTTATACATCTACTTTATCTATTCTTATTATAAGTAATCTGTTTTAAGTAGTATAAAGTCAGATATTTAATTAGTTTGTAACTATGCTTAGTTCTTCAGTAAGAATTTTGGATAACTTGTGAAGGTTTGTGCTTACCTTATAGCATATAAGATAAAGATACTTATAATTAAAATTCAGTAGTAGTAACTTATAACTGATTAAGAGATTATCAAATAATGATAAACCTACCCTTCTCCTGCTTCAAACAATTCTGTTACATCATCATCAACTAATCGTTGATCAGCACCTCCTTGAACTGTAGTTGCTGTTTTCTCTGTTTTGGCTGTATTGTCTTCACATCGTTCACCTTTTAATAATTGTTCCATAAGTAATCTATAAGATCCTTTAGATTCTTTCGTAATATCGATCTGTAACGATCGCTGTCTATAACCTAAGAATGAAATTACGAATAGGTATATCAGAAGATAGATTTATTTTGCTTAGTTAAAAATTTATGCACTATACGTCGAAACTGAACTCCATCTGAAGCCTAGCTGCGGCTACTGCCAGTTCCAAATTTGAATAAGGAACGAGAGCTAGGCATGGGGTTAGCGACCCCATCCGGTAGAAAACTAATTCTCTAAAAAAACGCTATCCAAACAGGCAAAGAGAGCACTTATAGGATGGGAATCTCATGGACATAGGATCATCACAACCTCATCCAACACAATGATAGAGGGTATTACAACGAACGTCATCCAATGACACATAGACTTCACCCGATCACAACACATAGAACCGAGTTGACCATATCTGCATCAATACAAAGTTCAGAAGGACGATGGAAGATGTGAGAACAAGATGAGTAGCTAATATAGCAACAGATCATCACTTGCTGATGAAAATAAAACTTACGAAGCACTGGAAAACGGCGCGGACAACATCACAAAAGTTTAATATGGTTTTTCTTTGGGATACTGACAAACTCAACAAATTCAAGATATTTAAATAAAGCAAGAACAAACATTGATGCAGAATAGTATGAATTCATATTATTTCGAGGTTTCTCGTCAGCTGCTTACAAACCAAAATTGTGATAGAATTTTTACATGAAGATAGCGTGAAACAATTGACATAAATGAGTGTAAATAACGTGATTACAATAATAACTATATATATATATGCTAGAAACAGGTCAGAGGTCAAAAGAGGGAGGTTAATCCAGGGTGGGTGGTGTAATAATTTAGTGAAGTTCATAAATTGTGTGATAATTGTAGAGATTAATGGAATTGACTAATGATAAGGTAGATTACGTAATAATAATTAAGTTAAGATGATTTAAGAGGATCAGGTGGTGGAAATGTGTGAATAAAATTTATTTTAAGAATTAGGCAATAGGGGGGGAGTAAAATTATCTTAGAATAAGTAAATGAATAAAATAACCAAAACACAAAACAAACAGAAACAAAAGGATTACCCGGGTAGTGATAAGTTTATTAAAGTCTCTTTTTGGATGCATAAGTCCGGTTTCAGTTTCTTAATTGCAATGGCTTCAGCAAAGCGGAGAGTGGTAGTGGTTCTTTGTCTATTGATAATTTTAAACGCGCACATAATATCGACGGTATGCCCGGTGTCAAGTAGATGCCGAGCTATTGCACTGTTAAAAGCTTTAGTCCCTCGCAGTGTCAAGTTCTTCGGAATATGCTCAGAAATGCGAACCTGTACTCTTCTCTCAGTTCTTCCAATGTATGTGCTACGGCACGTACATGTGAATTGGTAAATGCAATTGCAAGTGCAGGGGCATCACTCTTCTCTCAAAACCAGGAAAAGTCTTCAATATGGTATTGTTAAACTGAATGAAGGATTCCATAGACGCCCAACTTCGAGATCAACAGGCTGGATTCCGTAAGGATAGACCGTGTACAGACCAAATCGCAACAGCAAAGATCATTGTGGAACAATCAATTAAATGGAATTTATCACTCTACATCAACTTCATTGACTACGAGAAAGCATTTGATGGGGGTGAACAGGACAACACGATGGAGGCTTCTTCGACACTACGGCGTGCCTGAGAAGATAGTCAATATCATACGGAATTCCTATGATGGATTAAAACTGTAAAATCGGTCAAAGAGGACAACTCGTTTACTCGTTCGAGGTAAAGACCGGTGTTAGGCAAGGTTTCTTACTCTCACCCTTTCTCTTTCTCCTGGTGATCGACTGGGTCATGAAGACGTCAACATCTGGAGGGAAGCACAGGATACAACGGACAGCTAGGATGTAACTAGACAATCTGGACTTCGCAGATGATCTGGCTCTTCTATCACACACGCAACAACAAATGCAGGAGAAGAAAACTAGTCTAGCATTAGCCTCAGCAGCATTAGGTCTCAATATAAACAAAGGGAGACGCAAGACTCTCCAATACAACCAAAATGCACCAATCGAGTCACACTTGATGGAGAGGCCTTTTAGGATGTGAAAACCTTAACATATCTGTGCAGCATCATTGGTGAACACGGTGGACCTGATGCATATGTGAAGACGCAGATCGGCTAATCAAGAGCAGCGTTCAGCACAATCATCTGCGTTGTAATATGTTTTCATTGAACAAAAACTGATTTAAAAAATACCATTTACGAATAACAATGAATGAAGCTACTCAATACTGAATGACATATCTATACATCTTTTCGAGTAAATATAAGACATGTATATTTTACAGTACTACACATTGAATATTGAAAGTTCAGTGACACTATAATTTATGTCTACGCAAAATACTTCGGATCCGTTGGCCAGACACTTTCAGCCACATCGTACTGTGGGAGAGAACAAACCAGGAACTAGTGCTGGAAGTGGATAGGACACACAATGAGGAAATCACCTAACTGCGTCACACGACAAGCCCTCACATGGGATCCTGAAGAACAAAGAACATATTACGCCAAGAAATAGAGACAGACATGAGAAGAATAAAGAAAAGTTGGATAGAACCAGAACGGAACGTCCAAGACAGAGTGAATTGGAGAATGCTGGTCGGCGGCGTTTTCTCCATTGGACTTGTGTGAAGGATAAAGATTATGATTAACAGTTGATGATTATTGTTTGGTATTAGATTTAGGGTTTACATCATGAAATGACATCAACTAAATTGTCAAGAAGCTATTTAGCCAATTGGATAAAGTATTTCGCGCCAAAATCTAAGACCTTTTATCTTAAATCTGATTGGTTCACTCATAAATCATTGTCCCGGAGAAAATTCTATAATAAAATAGCTATTCACAAAGGAAGTTCGTCATAGAACAAAAAATATATAAAAGGTACTCTTTCACTATCAATGAAATGAAAGGTTCTGTCATTTACCTTTTGGATCTTCTTTCATTAAAACTATAAAAAGGATAATGAGAAAAAAGGAACTATTGAATATTGAACAACAAAAAAACAAACAAAACAACAATAATTATTAACAGAAGGGATTTTGTGGAGATTTAGTGTTTTCATAGTTGAAAGCGTGATTCAACCATGGAAAACTTGGATGCACTGAGCGGCCGTTTCGTCCTATTATGGGATTCCTCAGTGACAGTGCGCATCCACGATCCCGCACTCGTGAGATTCGAACCCAGGACCTATCAGTCTCGCGCTAGAGCACTTAACCAATAGACCAGTGAGCCCACCACTGCGTCCCATAATAGGACGAAACGGCCGTTCAGTGCTTCCACGTTTTCCATGGTGGTCTAGCTTCAATTGACTCACGCTTTCAACTATGAAAACAACAATTACTCCTGGATCCTAATGAACATCATTCATATAAACTGTGAACGATTAGTTAAAGACTAAACATTAAATAGAACTTAACGAATATTAATTCTATGTTTGTAATGAAAATTATTGATAAAATAACTTTTTCAGAAACTATATAGTCTACTAGCTGATAGGAAGTAGTATAATGAATTTCATGGAAAAGTAGTTAGAAATTTTCAATTAGAATATCAACGAAATTTTCATCGAAACATTAGCTGCTGGATGATATTCAATGAAAATTTCAGTGACAATAAACCTTTCTGAAAGTTGAAAATAGCAAAGATCAGACGAGAACCGGTGCTTTCAACGTGATATGGTCGCCGTCACGTTGAAAATAGAAACTATTATAATTCTCGGTTTTCCTCGTCCACATGAATGCTATGCTAATTTGCTTTAGACGTATATTTACATTAGATACCCTCTCAGTATCTATCCTATAGGACTTCAGCGCAACTCAGATCAAAAACTGGTGGTTAGCCTGACTAGAACGTCAATATATTTCTACACCAAAAACCAAAAACAATCCGTCAACAATCGCAGAAATAATAAGGGCAAGAGAATATATAACTCATCTTGTACCTGTCAGACTATCTGCTAGTCTGAATAAGCAAATAGCTTATCATGATCATCCTCATGCACACATCAGGAACTTATTATCTAAATGTTTTATGTCCTCTCAATTAAACATTCAACTCGAGGGTTAGTTTTGATATTAGGTATTGTTCTTTTTGTGAATGATTCCACAATTAAAGTCGATCCATAATAGTGATCATAAATTATTTCAGTTTGAATCTTCCCATTGTTGTTTAGGACTTCAAGTGATCAGCCTCTTATTAGCATATGTGCATACTGTGTGTATTGGCTCGATATAGCCTTATTTCACTAGCATTATAAGCGAAAATGGCGCTTAAAGCGAAAGGTACTGGGTTCGAGTCCCAGAGTGAGCATCAACTTTGGGATGTGGCAGGTACATCCAGCTGACGAGTTTCAAATAAGACGAAACGCGCGTCCTGGATTCCACTACTAGCCACTATTCATCTTTGCTTATTTCAGTTTATGTTTGAATATACTGTTTAGGTGTTTAGTTTATTATTCGTTTAGTTGTAGTTATCACAAAAATTACCAAATACTGAATTTGAATATCCTACTTAGATCCATCCTATGAAAATATCCAACATGTTCTTGTTTACATCACATAAATCGGTTAGGTGATTTGAAGATTCTATTCGCATTTCGATGATGTACTTTTGAATGTTCCATTCTCTTTGTTTACCTAATAGAAACTTTAATGGTTGAGATCATGAATCGATTGAAGCTAGACCACCATGGAAAACCTGGAAACATTGGACTGCCGTTTCATCCTCTTGTGGGATTCTTCAGCAGTGCTAATCCACGATCCCTCCTCGTGAGATTCGGACCCAGGACCTACCAGTCTCGTGTCAGAGCATTGAACCAAAGGACCACTGAGCCGGCATCCGATGTCCAGTGCTTCCAAGGTTTTCTTTAGTGGTCTAGCATCGATTGACTAACGCTTTCAACTATGAAAATACTAAATTTCCACAAAACCCATTTCTGATTAAATAACTTCGCCTAAAGTCCCTCTGAGGTTACTACCGGTCTCAAACCCAGAGAGAGGGGGGGGGGCGGGAGTTAGATTTAGGGTTAGAAACCCTAACTCGCTAAAACAAAAAACGCTAACCATATAATATACTGATTGCGTAACTTACCTTTATCATATGCTTTCTTTAATAAATATATTTCTGTATTATTACAACAACAAATAATATCTGTCATGATTTGATAATTTGAACCAAGATTTTTCATTCCTTTATATAAATCATTCGCTAATATTTCCATTGGATTTCTAAATAAAGTTTTCACTAAACTGTCATAACTTCCAATTAATATAGAACCAAGATGTTCAGTGATTTCCTTTTGATGTATTAGGTAAAAGAAAGAAGATTAGAAGGTCTATGAAGAGATTCAATCCATTCAATGATAACTAAGTGTATATATGATAGCTAGTTAATCAAATCACTTTCTTAACGTTGTAAGAAGTAAGGATACATTGCTTATGATTCATCTGAATAAGATGTGTGGCTTTTATAATTCAAGTGATATCATCAGTTGACTAAATTAGATTATTATGATCTTATGAGCGAGGTCATGGATGTACACTGATGAAGAGTCCCATAATAGGATGAAATAGACGTCCAGTACTCCCAGATTTTCAATGGTGGTTTAACATCAATCGGTTTTATGGTCTTAACCGAAAAACTTAATAATCTCCACAACTCTATTACTTACTTACTTACTGACTGACTTACGCCTGTTACCCCTCGTCGAGGAGCATAGGCAGCTCATTAACATTCTCCATCCAACTCTGTCCTGGGCAATCATTTCCAGTTCTTTTCAGTTGTTATTCATCCTATTCATATCTGCTTCTATTACCCAACGTAATGTGTTCTTTGGCCTTCCTCTTTTCCGCTTCCCTTCAGGATTGGATGTTACGGATTGCCTTGTTATGCACATTGGTGATTTCCTTAATGTATATCCGATCCACTTCCAACGTTTTTTCCTAGTTTCCTCGTGGTGTAGCGGTGAGCACTTCAGACTTTGAATCCGGCAACCCGAGTTCGAGTCTCGGCTAGGCCTTGTGATGTGTGTCACAACTCCATACTTATAGAAAATAATCATCTAATTGATAGATTATAAACTAGACAAAAGTGTCATCTAAATAACTCTTGAGTCCAACTATTAAAATGAATAACTTTTTCACGAAACCCTTATTCTGATATTGATTATCATGTGCTCATTAGTGACTGGTCCCAAGATGATTTTCTGGAGTTCTAGTGACAAGCTGTGACCAGTGGAGTCAAATCCGTGTCGGGTAGAGACAAATATTTACTTCAGACAATAGATGAATGGTTACTCAGCCATTCATGGATCGATAAAAGTGAGACATTAACACCGTTGAATGTTGGTTCAGTAGTTTAGAGATTAAGTTTTTTTTGTTTTTTTATTCGAAATCATACATCTTGAATGACGTTGATCGCATTTAAAAAGGGGAATTAGTTTTGTTATGTTTCAAGATTATTTTATAGCTTCTCTGTTTCATTTACGTGGTAAGGCGAAATTCCAGTGTGTAACTGACGATATTCCTTATCATTGTGAGTCAGCGCCTAAATCGTTGCACTCTAGTACGTTGTTTGATACCTATTGCGTTCTTATAGATTGTAACTGCTTTTCGTAGTATTGTGTATGCTACTGATATCAATAGATATAAGTAGTATGCATCATTAATCGAAAGTGAAATGCCTGGTGGTAAAGGTTAATAATATCAAAGAAAAAAGAACTTGAACAAAGAATGATTGATATGGAAGCCAAAGAACAATGAAGTCTGAGATGATTGATTAACATTTTTGCAGAAGAAACAGTCAAATTTAACACAATTGACTGATATATTACAAATAAGGAATGGACTGTATGCTTCTAAGACTTCACTCAGAGATTCTGTAATTTTGTGTTCAAATACCTTTGGTTGTACCCCACTAGTGTTCTCGCTCAATACAGTATTTGTTATCATATCTAAGTGTACTTTAATTAGTTGTCTTAGAGTTTGTTCCTTTTAATATTGTGTGTCTAGGTAAATGAATCTAATAGAACATTGTGTTCACGTGACTACAAACATACTTATCCGATTGAGAAATAAGGGAACAAGATATAAATAATACAAAGTGTACTGATAATTTAAGAGTGAAGGTATAATAAATCATGCGATTGATGTCCAGTGATCAATTCGGATAACAATGAGCTTAAGTAGAGTGAAATAGTATCATACCATTCAATCTATTTTACGACTTAAGCTCATTGTTATCCGAATTGATAATATTATATTTGATAGTATTATACCATTCAATCGCCCCCAAATGCCCTGGTACAGCAGAGAGTAAGAGAGTCCGCTCTCTCTCTCCAAATGCTCTCACATAGCCACGCGTATATAGCCTCTATCATTGAAGACCTACTCACTGCCCTCTCATGGCATTCCTGTTGCTTACAAAATTGAGAGGACGAAAACGAATGTCCTGTGCTTAAACCGGGTTGGTGGACACGGTGAATCCACCTAGGGGAGTTGGGAAACCCTGATTCCAAACCAATGGTGCACATGGGCTCCAGTATCCTGGGGGAATAAATGGCGTATGAATCATTCGTTGGTCACCAACTATCATTGGACTGAATCTCTTCACGATGCTCCACTACCTTGTAGATCAGATCTTTCGGTCAAAGGCTCCAGGTTTGGCCCTCTAAGAAAACCACCTGCTTCAGTTTGGGCACCTGGACAGTATCACATCTCTCACACAAATCAAATGTGATTTGTGTGGCGCATATTTATCTAGTGCTTCCATTTACCAATATTTATGTATTTAAATAAAATATAAAAGAAAATAAATATCATTCAATCATAATTTCATAAGTCTATTATATGATAAAATAAGCTTCCAATACCTTATCATATAAACGTTTATAAGTTTCTTGTATAGCTAAACGTTGTTTAAGACTTCTATGACCAAGTATTTCATTAATAACATCTTCATCAGGATCTATGATAGAAGAAAATAACAAAAGATTAAACATATATGGATTATACACTTAATTGACTCTATTTATAAAGTTAGATTCATTTGTTTGAATCTTCCTATTGATCAGTCCCTTATTGACATATGTGCATACTGAGCCTATCACTTTCATAAAGTGGCTATCAAGACTCAGTAACTGAGTGAATAGCGCGATGTCATTTGAAGCTAAAGGTACTGAGTTCGAGTCCCAGAGTGAACATCAACTCTGAGATTCAGGTAAATCTAGCTGACGAGTGTCAAATAGGACGAATCCCGAGTCCTGGATTCCGTTGGTAGCCACTATTCATCTTTGCTTATTTATAAAGTTAGTTTTTAAGTTTGACTAAATATATCATCAATTCAACAGATTTAAAAGTTTAAAAATGTTCAGGGCGGGACTATAATTTATGGACGAGCCAATCAGGACCGTTTAAGGAATTTCAAGGTCACAGCGCCAATTTTAGTACCTGGTACTCATGTACGATCGGTTCACAGAGAATTATAGAGAAGATTTGACACTTAAGCAGTTACAACAAATGAAACTACTAAGAACTTCCTGTATTTGTAATTACTGGTATTAAATGACTTGTAGACCTTGTGCATACTACCGTGATGTTGTCCTTCGATGTAATATATGTTGAAGGAAGACGTTTGCTAGAATAAGAACCTTTATCGCTCGATTCAGATTGAGACTAAGGCATATTATAATGATTGCTGCGAACTGTTTGATAAAAGCACCAGTAATATTGGCTGCAATAATCGCAGATGTTACTGAAGCTTCGGTTGTTCAGTAGTATGAGTATTGTAGGGACATATCCATAATGAAAATGATAAACTTACACAACTGGAGTATACACAAACAATATTGAAGCTATGTATTACAGGTTGAAAGAGTATTTGCGACCTCATTGTGGCTCCAGAGATCGACTATTATGGAGGCATATGGATGGGTTCCTCTACCTTATGCCTTAGGATTTTAAAACCTTTGAATCTGTTTCTAACCTTGACAAGTTTTTGGACCATATAAAAGAAGTGTATCCACTTTAATTATTTGGTTTTGTATAATATATTATTACTCTTTGCTGAAATTCCGCCTGTAGCTCTTCTAGAGTTACTGCCGGCCCCAAGCCCGGGTAAAGGAGGAGGGTTGGGCGACCCCATCCCGTAGATAAGCTAACTCGCTAAAAAACGCTAACCAGAAAAAATAATTCAAACCATTTAAACTCTGCCCTCCAAGTTGACGGAATCATTATGACGTCTCATGATGAAAGCCGAAATTCTTCAGAAGTCACCAGACCGATGCACCTTCTAACAACCAGAGCAACACTCTTTATAGGTACACGGAACGTCCGGACAATGTGCGAGACAGGAAAGACCAGTCAAATAGCAATGGAAATGAGGAGATACAACTTGGCAATACTCGGAATCAGCGAAACCCATTGGACACAAACTGGACAACAAAGGCTAGGTACAGGAGAGATGCTGCTGTACTTCGGTCACGAAGGAGAAAACGCTCCACACACTCAGGGAGTTGCTCTAATGCTGTCCAAAGAAGCACGAAATGTACTTGTGGGATGGGAATCTCATGGACCCAGGATAATCAAAGCATCATTCAGAACAAAGAAGCAAGGGATCACAATGAACGTTATCCAATGTTATGCACCCACCAATGATAGCAACGACGATGATAAAGATCAGTTTTATGAAAGGCTGCAATCAATTATAGAGAAGTGCTCACGAAAGGACCTCACCATTCTGATGAGAGATCTAAATGCTAAAGTTGGAGTGGACAACACAGGATATGAAGATGTAATTGGACGACATGGATTAGGAGAGAGAAATGAAAATGGGGAGAGACTTGCAAACCAATGTGCATTCAACAAATTGGTTATAGGCGTCACAATATTCCCACACAAACGCATACACAAAGCTGCATGGATCTCACCGGACCACACCACAGAGAACCAGATAGATCACATCTGTATCAACAAAAAATTCCGAAGATCAATGGAAGATGTGAGAACCCGGAGAGGAGCTGACATAGCTTCAGATCACCACCTGGTTGTGGCCAAGATGAGACTGAAGCTTAAGAAACACTGGAAGACTGGACAAACATCACTACAAAGGTTCAATACAGCCTTCCTTCGAGATACTGACAAGGTCCATGAATTCAAGATAACTCTCAACAACAGGTTTCAAGCTCTACAGGATCTACTGGAAGAACAAGAAACTACTTTGGAGGACAACTGGAAAGGGATAAAAGAAGCACTAACTTCAACGTGTCAGGAGGTTCTTGGTCCTAAGAAGCATCATCACAAGGAATGGATCTCTATGGGAACCCTGGACAAAATTCAAGAAAGGAAGAACAAGAAACTAACAATTAACAACAGCCAAACACGAGCAGAGAAAGTCAAAGCACAAGCAGACTACGCAGAAGCAAACAGGGAAGTGAAGAAAAGCATTAAAGCAGAAATACATGGGAGAACTAGCAACGACGGCGGAAAAAGCTGCAAGAGAAGATAATATGAAACAACTATATGATACAACGAAGAAATTGGCAGGGAGATATTGCAAACCAGAGAGACCAGTCAAGGACAAAGAAGGAAAGACAATCACTGAGATTCAAGAACAGAGGAAAAGATGGGCAGAATACTTCGAGGAACTGCTGAATAGACCAGCCCCATTGAATCCACCGAACATCGAAGCAGCCTACACTGACCTTACAATAGATGTCACTCCACCAACGATCGAAGAAGTCAAGATGACCATCAGACAAATCAAAAGTGGGAAGGCGGCAGGACCTGACAATATACCAGCAGAAGCACTGAAGTCAGACATTGAAATAACTGCAAACATGCTTCACCTTCTATTCAAGAAGATTTGGGAAGAGGAACAAGTGCCAACGGACTGGAAGAAGGATATCTCATCAAGATACCAAAGAAAGGAGATCTGAGCCAATGTGAGAACTACAGAGGTATCAGTTTGTTATCAGTACCAGGAAAAGTTTTCAACAGAGTGTTGCTGAACCGGATGAAAGACACAGTAGACGCCGAACTTAGGGATCATCAGGCTGGATTCCGTAAGGATCGGTCGTGCACAGACCAGATTGCAACACTACGGATCATCGTGGAACAATCAGTTGAGCGGAACTCATCACTATACGTCAACTTTATTGACTATGAGAAGGCGTTTGACAGCGTGGACAGGAGAACATTATGGAAACTTCTTTGACACTATGGAGTTTCTGAAAAGATTGTCAACATTATCCAAAACTCATACAATGGACTACAGTGCAAAGTCATGCATGGAGGACAGCTGACAGATGCATTTCCAGTAAGGACCGGAGTCAGACAAGGTTGTCTACTCTCCCCATTCCTCTTCCTTATAGTGATTGACTGGATTATGAAGAATTCGACATCTGAAGGGAAATACGGAATACAATGGACTTCTCAGAATCAATTAGATGATTTGGACTTCGCAGATGACCTAGCCCTCCTCTCTCATACACACGACCAAATGCAGATGAAGACAGCAAATGTAGCAGCAGCCTCCGCATCGATAGGCCTCCACATTCACAAAGGAAAAAGCAAGATTCTCAAATGCAACACGGAGAATACCAACCCAATCACACTTGATGGCGAAACTCTGGAAGAGGTGGAGACATTCAAGTACCTGGGGAGCATCGTTGATAAACAAGGAGGATCGGATGCAGATGTAAAGGCGAGGATTGGCAAAGCAAGGGCAGCATTTCTACAATTGAAGAACATATGGAACTCAAAACAACTCTCAACCAATTTCAAGGTCAGAATCTTTAATACGAACGTCAAGACAGTCCTACTGTATGAAGCTGAAACGTGGAGAACTACTACGGCCATCATCAGGAAGGTACAAGTATTTATAAACAGTTGTTTACGCAAAATACTCAACATTCATTGGCCGGACACTATCAGCAACAGCGTTTTATGGGAGAGGACAAACCAGCTTCCAGCTGAAGAGGAAATTAGGAAAAGATGTTGGAAGTGGATCGGACATAGATTGAGGAAATCACCAATGTGCATCACGAATCAATCCCTAACTTGGAATCCGGAAGGGAAGCGGAAAAGAGGAAGGCCAAAGAACACACTACGCCGGGAAATAGAAGCCGATATGAAAAGGATGAATAGCAACTGGAAGGAACTGGAAAGGAAGGCTCAGTACAGAGTTGGATGAAGAATGCTGGTGAGTGGCCTATGCTCCTCCACAAGGAGTAACAGGCGTAAGTAGTAGTAGTAGTAGTACTCTATGCTGACTGTTTACTGATTAGCTCACATTTCTTAAGGTTACTTAAGATTCATTCAAAGGTCGTCCATAAATTATGGTCTCGCCAATGTTGGTATTCTATCATTCCGACATCAAATATTGAGTGAATATGAAGTGAATATGACTTAAAGTATAAAGAAAATACTCTTCTATGTCATGAATGTCATAAATCTTTCTCTTAACGATTAACTAACAAAACAAAACCCATAATAAGAAATTGTTAATGAGAATATAAGTAATATAAGATAATGAACTAAAAGAAACTTTTCTTTTAACTAAAAAGTGGATTAGAACATTAAAATATTCAAAGTGAAGAGATCTATAAAATGTTACTTACTTACTTAGTTGCTTACTCAATCACTGACTCACTTACTTACATACTTACTTACTTGCTCACGTACTTACTTACTTGCTCACATAATTACTTACTTACATACTTACTTACTCATTTACTTACTTACTTGCTTTACCTACTCACCTACCTTCTAACATACATACTTACTTACTCATTTACTTACTTACTTGCTTTACCTACTCACCTACCTTCTAACATACATACTTACTTACTCATTTACTTACTTACTTATTTACTTTACTTACTTACTTACCTTCTTTACTTACCTACTTACTTACTTATTTACTTACTTAAATATTTACGCCTGCTACCCCTCATAGAGGAGCATAGGCCATTCACCAGCACTCTTCATCTAACCTCGATACAATTGAACTATACATCAACAAATATAAATTAATTATTTATTTGTATGAGACCAAAAAGAAGGAATAATATTAGGAAACATCATAGTTACCGAAATTTGCATAACTTCCGTATTTCATTCCATCAAGAATAGAATTAAGGTAATGTAATGGCAAAACCAGCTCTATTAAATAATTGCCTAATTATATTCAGTTGTTGAATTAGATAGACTATTAAGTTGAATATTGGAACTATATAATCAGAACTTTATGAATACTTCATGATGGAATTTGGGTCGGAGAATGCTAGTCGGCGTCTTATGCTCTGTCGGGAGTAACAGGCCTAAGTAAGTATGACTAAAGTGCTTGATTCAGACTTATTATCCCTATTGATGATAAACTACCTAATAGTCTAATCAGAAATATGCTGTAAACAAACTATCGAAGTGAAAAGAAAAAAGAAAGAAAAATAATCTACAACTTACTTAAAGGTTTTATGGATTTATTGATTCTTTCGGCATCTTTTTCAGGATTTATTACAAGTGGATATTTAATAGTTGGTCGTAATTTGACTTGTTTACTGAAAAACAACAACGACGGGTTAATTGAAATAGACTAATAATAAGTTTGGATTACTGAATACTTTTCATTTTTGATTGAGATCATGAATCGATTGATGTTGGATGATCATTGAAAACCTGGAAGTACTGGATGGTTGTTTCGTCCCATTATGAGACTCCTCAGAGGTGTACATCAACGATCCCGTTCTCGGAGTTCGAACCCAGAACCTTCGGTCCCACCCATGAACCTACTCTGATAATATTAGCTTATTATTCAGAGTGATTGGGTTTTACATTGTTTTTACATTATTTTCCTCGCTGTTCTTTTCTTCTCTTACCCTCCATTTCTAGTAAGGTTGACTTTATATTTTTATATATAAATGTTCTTAACAAGTATATGATCAGTATGATCAGATTGTTCGAAATGTAATGAGCTAATATCTCATCACATGGTTCTGATAATCTTCGTCTTCTTATTTTACGCTATCGAAATTTATCAAAGAGACTAAGTGCTTCGAAATACATTATGTCGCAGTAATGTATCTCTCTCATACCTTCATTATCTTTTGAATTGATTGATTTAACATAGTAACATTTAAGTTTAATATGAACAAGAGCACTGTTGTAGTGTCATGTCTTGCTGATCGTTCACCTCGATAGCCGTTATAATATAAATCTTAACGGTGCATAAAATTAGAAGGCAAAAAGAAGTGGCAGCTACAGTTTAATATCAATTAACGCAGGCCAGAAAGCTATAAGCACATGAGCAAATATCAGTGAGCGAAGCAAAAATGACACGCATTGGAGATGGCAGGTAAACCATAGCTTCAGTTTACACTGAATAATACATACAATGAATCATAATATCGTCACAGTTTTTAAGTAGCTTAATAGTAAAACCCTCGTCTATGACCATTGGAGCGTTAGTTACCTCAAAACTGTGGATGTTCATAAATAATAAAAATCATTTAGCGAGTAATCAATGTCCAGAATTTTCTAATTGCATCCAACTATATAATAGTTAATATTGAATTTTTTTCTCCTGAGAGTTTTTTGAGCGAGTTAGTTTTCTACGGGATGGAGTCGCTAACCCCATGCCAAATCACTCTTCATTATCTGGGCTTGGGACCGGCATTATCTCCCGGAGGAGCTACAGGCAGAGTTATAGTTAATATTGATATGCTTAAATATCTGAACCCAGCCAAATTGTTACATTACAAACCTAATCTTTAAAATCTGAAAGAAGGACTTGACACACATGACATTGATCACCACCCAGTGATCAATCAATTGTGATGCATCTCACTCCTACAGGAGGTCGGTCGCGGCCTAATAGCTCAGTGGTAACATCTCTGACTATGAAGCTGGGGGACACGGGATCGAATTCGTCAGGAAGCACCAGTTCCCTCAAGATTACAGATACACCTTGCTGACGAGTGCCAAGTAGCATGAAACCCGGGTCCAAGGTTTCCTGTTGACCATCTCCAACCACCATCTTATCTCAACATAGTGCACGCAGTGTCAAGCCACCTAGACTAGTGGCTACATTGCAACTTGATCGATAGCATTCGATCAGCACAAAAGAAGGATTTGACACGCATGACATTGATCACCAACCATCCAGTGATCAATCAATTGTGAAATCTGAAAGCTATTTAGAAATATTGGATATATGATACTGCTCAACTACACGATCAGTCAGTCAGTCAGTCACAACGTAGAACTTCGTACGTATGTACATCAGTTCGAGTTGCCATACGAAATTAGCACAGAGATGAGGTTGTCCAATCAAATCCCATAGTGATAGAAGTAGTAAGAGTATAAGCATTATGTGAAAGATTAGGGTTTGAAAATGTTATTCAAGGAGTATAATACTGTGAAATAAATTTGGAAAGAGAAAAAGGATACGGACATGAAGAACTCAAAAGGTTAGAATTTGGAAGAACACAAAGAGTGGATGCACCTTCGCCATTGCAAACGATTTTGAGCCATATCATTCAAGGTCTCTAACCATCGGTTGCTATCATCTCACTGATCCCAACCAGGTAGTCTACACCTACCAACATGGCTCGGTCCACTTGTCAGTGACTTCATGGATTTATGCCATGTTTTGGTCTGGCCGCCCCTATCTTTCTTCCAACCTGCTCCTACACCATAAAGCATTGCACGTCGGGACAATCGGTGGTTGAGCATACGTAACACGTGTTCCAGCTATCTCAACTGATGAAGTTTCACTACTTCATCAATCGATTTGCCATCCTTACCTAGTACCGGTATCCTAACAACTGCATTACTTACCCGGTTGTCCCAGGATATACGAGCAATGCTTCGAAGACATCTATGATCGAAGACTGGTAGCCAACTACACGATACTTTAATACAAAAAACATTTAAATATCATATATAAGAAGTATCATTTCTAATGACTTACTTAGTTTCCATAATCTTTGAAAGTATAGAATATCAAACCAATTCCTTGACAACTATACCTTTTGAATGATCACTTAAATGAAATGAAACACTTTTTATAGGTCTTCAAAGGTTTCTATTTTTTTTAAAATTTATTTATTCTTATAGTACACTGTACTTTCAATAGTTTTCATTATTATTATTATTACTGTTTTGTGTGTGTGTGTGTGAATGTGTATGTGTGCGTGTGTGTGTATTCAGTTTATCCATCATTGGATATGAATTGAATTCACGAGTCACTATTGTGTTGTTCTTTTTTTTTTAATTTTTTTCTTATCGCCATCATTTCATCATTTTCTTTCCAGAAAAAAAAGAAAAAAAAAAGAAAAAAAGAGAAAAGTTGACTTCTTGATCACGTGTCCTTAATGTCATTATGTAATGATGTTCTTTAGAAGGACATAAATTCTCTTTTTTTTAAGAAAAAAATATTAAAAAAAACGTTATCAGCTGATTAATAATAAAAATATATATACTCTATAAAATGATAATTATGTAAAGATGATCCATGAGTTAAGATAAGGGAACTCTAAGATGTTCAATATGAGCTGAAGATGGTTCATTCAGTCATCTCCTGGAAGAATATTTCAGTATCTCGATGTATAGCTTCCCTATTGGACAAATGTTAGAAATCCATGTATGTGGATTGAATGAATGTAATGATAATTTCGTTTTTATTAAAAAATTATAAATACGTGAAAGTTTTGTATAGAGATCGGAACGAATGTGAGAATTACAAAGGCATCAGTTTGTTGTCAGTACCAGGAAAAGTTTTCAATAAAGTGTTGTTGAACTGGATGAAAGATGTAGTAGACGCTCGACTTCGAGATCAACAGGTTGGATTCTGTAAGGATCAGTCGTGCACAGACCAAATTGCGACACTACGGATCATCGACGAAAGATCAGTTGAGTGGAATTCGTCAGTAAACATCAACTTCATAGACTATGAAAAGAAGTTTGACAGTATAAATAGGAGGATCACACGGTGATCTCTTCAACACTAATGAGTTACTTATAAAATTGTCAACATTATCCGGAACTCATACGAAAGACTACAGTGCAGAGCCGTGCATGGGGGACCGCTGACAGATGCATTTCCAGTAAGGACCGCAGTCAGACATGACTGTCTACTCTCCCTCTTCCTCTTTCTTCTGATGATTTACTGAATTATGAAAACTTCAGCATCTGAGGGGAAGCACGGAATACAATGGACATCTCAAAACCTAAATCAAGATGGGCTTACAAACAATCCATCCAAATCTCATGTCGACCACTTTGTTAATTCAATCCACAAGTTCCATTTCGATAGTTTGGCTTCTGCTACATTGGAGTCGTTGTTCATGTGATTCGAAGATGTGTTCAAGGCAGACCTAGAAAAATATAATGGTGCCGCAAAGGTCAGAGAAATACTACATAAACTTGGCACAGCTGAATATGAACCCTACACGAACTTCATTCTCACCAAGAATCCCAAAGACTTTTCATTTGATGAAACGAACGTAATTTTGTCGCAAATCTTTGATGAACAGTCATCTTCGTTCAATATTAGTTATCAATGTCTCAAGTTATCAAAAGCTGGAGACGAATACTGGGTGCAATACGCTAGCATAGTAAATCGCAAGTTTGAACGTTTTAACAGAAGGCCAGTTCAAGTGTATTGTTTTGTATGCAGTTTTCAGTTGCTTGAAGATGACGACATCACAACCACAATTCTGAGTAAAATTTAACAATGTCCAAATATGAGGCTACAATAAGTGAAAAGTGAATGTCAGAGGTTGGTGAACTTAAACATGACACTTCTAGCGTTGAAAACAGTGATCAGTCACTATAAGTACAGTTAATAAATGGCCAAAAAGATTCCTTTGTACAAAAGCATAGCAGATCAAACAAGCAGCCTCCATCCTCGTGATGGTTATGCAGTGAGTCGCATTACATGACGTTTTGTCCATATGAAAACAACTGTTGCACTAAATGTCAGCATAAAGGGCATAAGGAATCCTTCTATTCAAAAGAAATATGCAACGTCGTTCGCCATGGATTCATTCGAGAAGACAAACCTTATGCATAAACCAGTAAAATAAAGGTAGCAAACACATGAACAGAACATAGTCGAGGAAAATATGTAACCATCAAGGATGAAAGTCACCGAAGCTCGACAATGCCTTCGACACCGCACTCATTAGCCGAAGGGACTGGAAGTATATTAGAAAACTCCAGGTGCCCCCAACAATCCAGTTAGCCTAAAGGGCATCTGAAGGGAGGTTACATATTGTTGGAGAGGTATACTGTACAGTTTAAAAAGGAATTGCACAGTCAAACGCTAAATGATACCTTGTAAACAGTCCAGAACTAGATTTGCTGGGTCTAGACCTGATAGTAACACCACATATAACAAACCACTATATTTATTTATTTAAACACATAAATATTGGTAAATGGAAGCACCAGATAAATATGCGCCACACAAATCACATTTGATTTGTGTGAGGGATGTGATACTGTCCAGGTGCCCAAACTGATGTAGGTGGTTTTCTTAGAGGGCCACACCCGAAGCCTTTGACCTAAAGGTCTGATCCACAAGGCAGTGGAGCATCGTGAGGAGATTCAGTCCAATGATAGTTGGTGACCAACGATTAATTCATACGCCATTTGTTCCTTCAGCATACCGGAGCCCATGTGCACCATTGATTTCAGATCATGGTTTTCCAACTCCCCTAGGTGGACTCGCCGTGTCCACCAACCCGGTTAAAGCGCCGGACATTCGCTTTTCGTCCTCTCAATTTTGTAAACAACAGTAATGCCATGAGAGGGCAGTGAGTAGGACTTCCCTGGCAGAGGGTATATACGCGTGGTCTTGTGAGAGCATTTGGAGAGGGAGAGAGAACTCTCCTCACTTTCGGCCGTACCAGGGAACTTGAGGGCAAACACTATATTATTTACATATGTCGTGTGAGAAATGACAAACCAGCGGAAAAGAACCTCATGGATATTATTCTGGAGAAATATAGTCAAGTGTTTACTGGAAAAATGGGAGAGTGTATAAAGGTAAAAGTACTGCTGATTCCTAGACCGGGAGACACTCCAGTGTTTAGATGGTTAGGAATTTATGGTAATGACAATGGTTGTACTAATTGCTTCGAGCAACTGTCTACATCGTCAGTAAAGTCCCTCAATTTAAATGACGCTCGACAATTTATTGACATTCATAACTTTCAGATGATCATGATAATAAGTCAGAATCAATAATTTATGTGCTTCATTGGACAGACAAGTATTCTAGGTGATGTTAACATCCAGATGTTTCGATTGTGCACCACTTACAGTGTGATCCATCCAGTTCCGTAACTAATCAATAAATAGCTCACTGAATATTATATAATAATTTGCATATGATGATGTTTTGATAGTTCGTTGATTCACTCAAATGCAATTAGATCTTCTTAACCGAGTAAATACCACAAACAACTACCACAATATACTTCTCATTTTCCAGTATAATTCCAGTTGATTCAGAAATACAGAAAGGTCTTATTTGAATTATTCATTGAATCATTCATTACGATGTCTTCATAGAATGTGAACAATTCAATTACAATTACATTCTGTTTCATGCTTTTCCTTACTCATTATGGACAAGTATTAATGGGATGCAATTGTGTCATTCAGTGTATATTCAATGAAGTACTTACCTGTTTCCAATGGACTAATGATGTTGATCTGAAGTAAGACGATAATGATCAGAACAATTAGGATTTCCCGATACATAATTTTAAAATAAATGGTTTTATGATATTTTTCAACTCCGCCTGTAGTTTTTCTGGGGTTACTCTCGGTTTCAATCCCCGATATTGTGCCACCACCTACAATTGTCTTCAGTGAGTTACTATCTCACAACAGAACTAGTTTAATTCCACTAGTCACATCGGAACTCCAGGAAATACTTCTTGAAGCTAGTCACTGGTGAGCATATGTTGATTACTATCAGGAAGGGTTTTTGTGGATATTATAGTAATTTTGATTAACCATGCAACCAGTACAACAACTGACCATTTCATAAATTTCTATCTATCTATTGTTCATTTATTGTCTCAATACTTCACATAAAACAACCATGTATCGAATGATTATGAACTGGAAGTTAAAGAATATCCACCTTACGAACTTGATGATTTTGTGATCGATGATGAAAATTCGTCGGCAATCGAAAATGAGACTCCATTAACATGATACGGTCGTATTACCTCAAACACTTGTATGAACATGAAATGTATGAATGTCATTTAACTGGAAGAATGTAACTTTATTTTGTTGAAACTGTTTGCGATAATCATTTTTGATCAAGTTGTTGTTTACAATAAAACTTTTGAATCATCATATTTTCTATTTCGACTTCAGTAAGCTGTGAATGATTGCGGTGTTCTAGTTTGATTATGTTCAACTAATTAGATTGTATGACATCTGGTGCTGATATTCTATCTGTTAGTAATGACATTAAAGATGTTGTTTTAGTGAATTAGATGATCTGATTCATGTTGTCTATTATTTTGTTAGAACAAAACAATCTTTATAATAGTAATGATAACAATGAATCATATCATCATATGTCTGAATCTAGTAAATACCGATCATTTCAAATGAAAAAAATACATAAGAGAGTAGGCCTGTTTAAATACATTGAATATCTGATGACATTCAGCAGCTTTCATTCCTATAATCAGGTTAGATATTATCGAAGACATCGATAAACAAACACATCTCAATAGATCCTGCATTATTACTTGCAGATTTCATGAGAGTGGCTATGATATCATGTGGTCTATTGAGCGTCAGACGATTGATCACATTGAAGAAACTTGACTGTCCATTTAGTGGTGATTCTCTTCATGTTTGTTTGGAAATGGAAACATTGACCCTGATTTTGGACATTCCAAAATCGTCAGTTTGTTTTTTAAGGTCTCAATTAATCAGTTCACGAA